GACTTATCAGTGGGCTACAGCTCGGAAAGGGTTACCGAATAAGTCATTCGTCATAGAACAATAGAATATATGTACGTATAAGACCACTCACACGGTGCATACACATGTAGATACACATGTACATATAGTAATAATGTCTCCCTCTTCTTTATGCGTTTTTATGGGAGACGGATTTTGCGGTTAAAAACGGAGATTCACTTTAAACGAGTAGTAGTCTGACCTTCCCAGACAACCAACACCTCAGAAAATAGAACCAAAAGTGTATGAGAGTTCGAGATAGGGTGCGTACAAAATGGATTCACGAATGAATCAACATTTGTACGATTTCATTCAATTTGACAAAGACTCGGAGCCTCTGCCCTGGCGTGGCAGTTGTGCTGGGGTTCAAAAATCCTATGCACCATATGAAGTACTGTACAAAGTATGAAATGCTACACCGACAAATATGTGGGAAGACGGAAGACGAAGAGTATATAAAATATATTGTCGCAAAGAGTGTGATCCGAGACTTTACGCCCGAGTTCACTAAAAATCAACAACAGAAGGGATCAAATGGTGGGACATTTTTGTCTCATATTTGTTGCGATGTCTTGGATTCTGAATAATCCCAGCGGACTTTTTGCGTAACAAACTCAAGAAACCACCCAAAAGCATCATTCTATATTGAATTCGTATTATGTTTACGTATAATCCGTTCGTATTTTGTTCACTTCTGCGAAATGTTTGGGTTATTGTACATATATGTAAAAAAAAGAACAAAAATCGTGGATGGAACGACGACGACGACGACATCATGATGAGATGATGTGGTCAAATGTCGTCTTTCTCCGATGCACACAAATACACGTCCAATTGTGGCTTCTGTCTCAGTGATTTGTTTCCCAATCCCTACTTCCGCTCTTTGCTTTTTCTACCTTGAAGAACTCTAAATAAAATCAAGAACCTTTGTGCAAAAAGTAATGCTCGAGCAGAGCATTTTACGAACTACGGATGCAATTGGTTTTTTATACTCATCATCATCTTAGTCAGCATGTCACATAATTTGTTAAGTCGAAAAATATTCCCAAGCTTATCCGTATTTCTACTTTGATTTGGATGGAGCGAGGGTAAAAACCTTTTCCTTGAAATTCAGCAACAGGCAACCAACAGTCCAGTCTCGGTCGTAATTTTACACACACAGTGCTCCATCGTACCTCGTCATCATCATCATCATCTCAAGTCAAACCCATCCATCCAAGTTGAAAATTCTGTGTGTAGTCAGTTTTAAAATCTAATTTGTCTTTGGATTCGCTAAATGATGAATATTCATGTAGATAGCCATACATGTGAATGTGATTGTGTAGCTTTGTGTGTGAAAAATGATTATGAGCAAAAACAGTCAGCGTCGGTTTGACAAACTCGCGTCTCAGGTCTCAATTTGTTCTCAAGCAAAATTTAACCTCACTTTGTTGTTTTGCTCATTAATTCACATGAATGTTCACCGAATGTCTCGGGCTAATATTCTCTTAATGATGAATATACGCACATTATTGAGACATGTGTATTTATTTATGCAGTGGTTACCACAGCCATTGGGTGATATGAATAAAACCAGGGAAATCCTTTTTCCGAAAAAATTGAGGAGAATGCCCCAATATAGATGAATAAAAATTTGGGCATTTGCTTTTCCCCGAGGGAAAGGAAAAAGGGAATAGCTTTTCCCTCAACCTCAAGATTTTCCCTGGAGTCGGGGATTTTCGTATGAATAAAACCAAGGTGAAAGCCTTTCCTTCAGGCAATCTCCCCAAAAAATACCGATCAGCTACTATGCTGACCCCAACTAACAAAATTAGCAATAAAACTTAGTTTTTAAGCATCTGTTGTACTTTTTATGAATGTTGGACACTAGTTGGACATGTTAGGGCTTTGAAACTCACAAAACCAGATTTATCGACAAAAATATAGATTTTTATTTGCTATCGACATCGAAAAAATGTATTTTATATTTTCATTGAAAACCTGAAAATATTTTCTGAAATATTTTTAAATTCAGATTTCGGCCAACTGGTCATGCTACCGGTATCGCGCAAGTTGCATATAAATGTTGAAAATTTTCCAAGATTCTAATTAAATTCTGCTTTCGCTCATTTATTCGCCGTTTAAGGGTCCATTGCATGTGGGTTTTGAGTTTGAATTTTTGTGTCTCAACTTTCCATTCCTCCATATAAATGGCGATTTTGAAACCCATTCATCGTCGTGCATATTTTACAAAAAGGGAGGTTTCAAAATTCGAAAATTTTTAGCTTTATACAAAGTTAGGAGGTTAGAATTTTAGTATTTTTCCTGGTTAGGAAATTTTTGAAAATCTATAAAAAATTCAAAAATGAGTTTGATCTTGAATATTATAAAATAACTGTATGGGACAATAATCGTAAAAGAGTTTTTAAATTCCGAGAACAATTTGATCTTTGGCGAGCATTTGAAGGTGGTTTTTTCCAGGTTAGTCTGAGTGAGTTTGGAGGGTGTTCAAAAAATCAAAAATAGATTAAATTAAATACACTTATATACAACAAAACAACGCTGAAATTTCCTTGATTTTTGCAATTCTGAGATGCGCCGATACCGAATTTTAGCCTTTTTAGCGAACATCACAAACCAGTGGGGGTCATTGGAGGACATTTCTTTAAGAATTTGATCAAAATCATGGTCAGAGAAATTTTTGAAATGCATTTGTGTTCGTTGCCATGGTATTATTTTAATTACATGTAATTGAAGTCAGGGGATTTGCCCGAAACCAAGGGGATTTGCCTGGCGAGAAAGGTAAAAGTTTATTCATACGAAAAGGAGCAATAGCCTTGACCTGTGAGACTTTCCCTCAGGCAAATGCCTTTCCCTTTTCCCGTTTCCTTGGAGGATTTCCCTGGTTTTATTCATACCAGTGATTGGAACCTATTGGCATCTTACCACTCTTGATGTATAGTTTCCAAGATTGTTAGAAATATTTGGTCATTAGAATTCTTCCTGATCGGAAATGCATTATCTCGAGATAGAATGTGTACCTTGACAAAATCGTCAACTGCTATTATCCCTTTGACTCTTATCTGCTCGGATACAACAACGCTTTAGGCGCTATTGTAGCCAACAACGTTGATTGTAATTGCATTTTGCATCATCAATATTCATTCTTTATAGTTTTCTTCCTTCCTTCGCTCACTGCCGCTACGTTGCCTGCCTAGTGCCTGCCTACTACCAATGGTGGAAGTCTGTGTCTGACTGGCAATGACCATTAGATGGACAGCCGGAGACAAAAAGATTCTCATTTTCTTTTAACTCCATCACGGTCTCCAATTATTCATTTCATTCGGGGGTCAACAAGATGAAACAGTCATCATCAGCCTCAGCATCTTCTTTTGAACAGCATCTCTTAGTTAATGCGTTTCTCCCCTTCACTTGACTCTTCGGCAATTGTATAATTAGTTTTTTATGACTTCTCCCTGCGTGGAAAACGATTCTGAGGATAAATAAATGATGATACAATGTCTGCAACCAATTCAATCCCTGCATAATGCTCAGGCCAAATGGCACATAAAATCCAAATGTTCCAAGTTCTCCTTTAAACATTGACAAAGAACTCCTTACAAAGAACTTTGCCTCTCAAACTTTTTGCATATGTAATACAACATATCTAATAAAGGCAGCAGTAAGGTAGCAGCACATTCTTTGGTCAGTGATGGCTGGCGACTTAAAAAGCGACTTTGTCCTTAAAAGGTAAACGGCAGAAAGAAACCGAGTAATTAGCTGTGCTGTGTGGAATATAACACGACGGAAGAGAATTTTTGTCATGTGAGATGAGATGATGATGGTCAAGCCAAAAGTATTAGAAAACACTTGGAAATTAATGATGCAGCACAAGAACGTTGGGGGCTACTGAGAAGTGTTTTCAAGGTTAATAATTTTCCAGATTCATAATAACAACAACCTTCGTACAAAATGGATGCATTTTCTGTTTTGAAAGCTGCAGTAGCAGAAATGGAATGCTTACTAACTATGGTAAAAAATGATACATGTGGAAGTTATATCGGTGTAAAAGAGGTGTTAGAGCAAAACTGTCCAACACTATGTATAAGCACATGTAATAATCATGCACACGACTAAAATGGAAGACGAGGTATGTATGTGTGTACTTATGTTGTTGTTGGATAATTAGAGGTAAAAAGTTTGTGACTTTTCCCAACAACCAGATTACGCTGCAATTCTATTTAATTCCTCCATCCCGATCAAAATACATCACAATACTGTTTCTGGTAGCTCCACACGGGATACATAATAGAGTCGAGGTGTCTATTCTGTTAAATAACATTTCATCTCGTCCAACATATGCTGCTGCTTTTGCCCATCTTTCATTAATCATAATTTTCCTTGGCGATTGCTACTCTTCTACCATCATCATCAGGCAGCTTTAAACTTGTAAAGAGGTGAGATGGTTCTTTCAGAGAGGAGAAAAAATCTCACAGCGTCCACAACACAAGAAGAGCATACTCTTTCACGAGAGAAGAATAGTCTTATCAAATTGGATGGCCGCATTATGTTCATCCTTCCGAGGATGCATGAATAGCTTTTCACTTTATTCTTGGCAAGAAATAAGGATGACTTAAGGGTGGCAATTATTGCAGCCCTCTCCTTTTTATACTGTAAAATTCCTATCGTGGATTTCTGATCCATTCCGTCAACCTCGACACAAAAGTCAAAGCGCTATACTCATTACGAAGAATAGAGAGTAATTCACCGCCGCCGCCGATACTTCTTTACGACGAGTCTGAGAACATTTATTATGCATTTGGTTTTTTCATTAAATTTTATAGTTGACACTGGCAAACCTTCTCGTGATCATCAAGGAGAGATGTAAACGCGCTTGAAAGTTATTCCACACTCTTTTCGAGATGTCAGTATTGTGTTATAATTAACGAATCATAAAATTAATGAAGAGCAGCTACTGTATGTTATGTCATGATGTGGGCTACCTGTGAGGGTGCTAATGGACGATGAAGAAGCATCGGAGGAAGATCTCGATTGCGGACCCAGGTCGCCGACGCCGCCACCGCTGACGCTGACGCTCAGAATTAACTCATCCCTGTCTTCGACATTCACCAAGTTGTGGTTGTCCGAAGAGTGGACGAGCCTTGGAATTCGGGGGAGGTGACTCAGTCTTCTGTCGCCTCCGAAACCGGATGAAAAGGTCCATTCTGGAGATGATGCTGAATCGTCAGTCTCACTCTCCCCTAAGGAATCAACTATGCGATGACTTCCCGAGCCATCCTCCCTGATTCCGTATTTTAGAACAAAATATTATTATACATCATAGTTCATTAGTATAAAGTGATACAAAATGCAAGAATATCTAAATTACCGTTCTTGGTAATCTGCTACCTCCTTGTTCCATCTTGCCCCATAACTGTCTTTACTTGTAAAATTTGCATCTACTGAGCCACCTATAATTTTCATCCCCTCATTCTGAAAAAAATACAGCCCTACAGGTAAGTACAGTATATTTTTAAACTGATATTACTGTGTAAAAACTGATAGCAATAATAATGAGTTGGGGAATTGTTGGTTGTGTATTTGTTGGTGAAAGTTTGTAGAATGAGCAGGATGGCATGCATGCTCACACGAAATATCCGAGAGCTATTTTCCATTACCATTTGCTACAGTAAATGATGAAATAATTTACGCGATCAGCTCCACAAGAGTGCCGACCAAACAAAACCGAACACTTTACATGTTTCTGTTCATCGAAACTTTTCCGCATGAAACGTAGGCGTACTCGAAGTCCTCAAAGCAAACACATTCATCACAATTTTGCATGAGCATGAACTCATTTTGCATCCCATCAAATCGGGTGCAATGAAATTGGATTTGGTTTGATGATGAATTAAACAAGGAGCACCGACAGATGCGAAAGGCTAAAAAACAAAAGTATCATAACTTGCATGAAGTCAGGCTGATTTGCTTTGAGCGGAGATGGGCGATATTGTGTCGTGGAGAACGGAGCTCGGAGATGAGGTGAGCTTATGCTTATCTGCTTCTGAAACTTGACAAGGTGGCAAGTAAAAAAGTGACGGGAAGAGTTTTGAGAGAAAAACTGGGATAAAGAATCTTGAAGAAAGGCAGTCAGTGCTGCTAGTGGGGTGTACCTCAAGGGCAAAAGATTATTAATCATGCGGTGGTCGGTCGGTGTGTGTATGGCGATGGACGACTTGGACTCTATTGTGCAGACCTTATGAGAGTGACTACCTGTATTTAATTATTTCTCTATTGTTAAATCTCCTTCGCCACCGCCATCACTATCTATAGCTATAGGTACGGATCCATGGATATGTATACGGACGCTGGTACCTACTACGTGTGTAAGAAGACTTTGTATCTAGTATCACGAATGAAATGACGACGACGGATTGAAGCCCTGTGGCTCTCAAATTTTGACCATGGAACTAAACAAAAGAGCGGAAGGTCAAAGGGGTCACTTATTCAGTTTCAATGTAATTTTGATGAAGCCCCCTTTGGGAACGTAGTAGAGTAGAGTCGTCGGGTATTTTTTTATAAATATGTCTACTGCATATAAGTATGTAGCTACGTAAGTTTGATGCTGCCACTTTATATATGCCCAATATTTAACAACTCTACTTTTTTAAGCCAGTAGTGTTGCTTCAATTCAACAGTTTCCAACAATCAAGTCACAACAACATAAGTATAATAAGAAGAACAATAAGAAGGAAAAATAAAAACGCGTCTCATAACTCGTGCACCTCATGAGCAGCAGCCATCACGAGCAGTGGCGATGGAATGCAATTCCTGGGGACGTGTAATTACGGCAATCAGTTCTAATTATTCTGGTGCGCATTTTAATTCCGATTGCGATGAGATATACAATATTCTGCTTTCATTTGCCGACTTGCATACCTACGTCCCTTGAATACAAAATAGACAAAGTGTGAGAGAGAGATGATTACTGCAACAATCTGCATTTTTTCATCTCGATTAAATAAAATTAGTTTTGTACAAATTAACCATATTAATTCAATATTTGCACAATGACATTTGTCATGAATTCACGAGGAAAAGATGTACTCATTGCAAATGGCAGATTTTTTGTCGAAAAGAAAGCGAGGGGAAAGGTCTATCTATTTAAGAAGTCTTGAGAAAAGAGACAGCTAGAAGATGAGAACAGGTTATATGGCAGAAAGTTGTTTCACAACATTATTTGGTTTAATGTGTGCGTATGTACATATGCTATGGTTTTGAAAAAAAAACAGGTTTCATTCATTCATAGAACTAGTATTTACTACAATTTTACGTACGATTGTCTTGAATGAATTACTAAACCTGTTTCGTGTTTATATTTATCATTGCAGTTGTGCATATACATAGATAAATAAAAATGTGTTATCATATTTTGTTGTTTTGAATGAAAAAAATATAAGTAACAAAGCGGACGACGAACCTTATGAAGTGAAGAAATGCAATTTTCACCCTCCGAATATTGGTGCATGTCAAGTTTGCCAATTTTGATAGAACTAGGAGTTGCTGTTCCACATTCGCAGAGGGGAGAATGGACAGTGAGGATTCCTTTGTTAATCAGCAATTTGATGCTTTTTCCGTTATGTCGAATTGACCTTTGGTATTTAAAATCAAAATAATACGTATTTAATAATATTTTAGATAAAAGTAACATAATTTAAATTTTGTTATTAATTTAGTATTTGATATTAAAGTTGAAAGTGTCCATATTTAATATCAATTAAAAATTACTTTCACCACCTTTTCCAATCCTTTGCGGTTTCTCTGCCACTGATGCACTGAAACTCATTTGGAGTCAGCCAGTAGCAACTTTCAAAGAGGATGCATGATCCTTTTGAACCTTGGGAATAAAAAAGGTCAAAAGGTTATGACTCACTGAAGGTCGACATATTTTACTTATTTGATACTCCCACTGATGCATTCAAATCTGCAATGCAAGCAAACTATGTTGTACAATATTACATAATCCATACATAAAGCAGTTAATGGCCTCTCTTTGTTTCCATTGAAAGAAAATCAAATTTTGATGTGCAACAAATTACTTTCACCACCACTCGAGTGATAAAAATGTTTATATAATTTACCACCTTGTGAGACATGGGCTGCATATGCATATCACATAGAGGCAGATTAGAATTACAGATATTATCTGTATTTCCCTATACCTGAAGCATCGTTAATATACTATTTCTCATGAATAAGCGCTTACCTTGACATAACTTCGAGAGAAACATGAGAGCAGCATTTCTGCCACACTCAATGGGCAAAATAACTTGATGCAAGTTTGTATCAAATATTGGATTGATGTAGTTCTCCTTGCTGGACTTTATAAAGTTGGGATTGAATATTGGTTGATGAAATGGAGAAAGGTGAAGGCTGAAGGATGGGAATTGGCGATGAAGCATATTTTGATGCTGATGGTGATAATGGCCGTTTGTGTTGCGGGATTCATGGAGGGTATTGCTTTCTTGTAGTCGGGTTGATAGGGATAAGCAATTATCATTATCATTCTTGTTATTGTTATGATTATCTTGATCTTGATCTTGAACTGGTGAGGCAGATTCGTAGTGTAATAAATGAGACGATGTGATTTTGTCACACGGTTTGTTGGTTATTTCTAACTTACTGATTTTTGAGACTGATTGCAAAGTTAACGTCATTGTCGCTTATTTTGATCACAAATAAACATCCACGTCCCAACCGAAATACTCTTTTTGCTATAAATAAATTTACGGTAATTCACAATAACTCACATCGCGATCAATTATTCTAACTAAGAAAAACTTTTCGTTCGTACTTGGTGTTATTAATTGGATTTTAATACATGTGAACTGACGACGGAGCGATTTGACCGTCTCAGGAGGCCGACAACCAAAAATTGACATGAAATTCACCAAATATTTGCCAGGTAAGTAAATAGCATGTGATGGTTCATCAATTTTGCAGAGCAAAGATCAATGGTATATGAAATGTGGTGCAATGAATCAGTGAACGAGAACCCATATTATCGACATCGATGAATGTCTTTCAATGAACCAGGTTGATATAATTTTCGAGTACAGCCAATGAACGATGAATAATATACTCTTCAAGGGGCAGGCAGATGACAGCTAATAGTGACAGCTAGCACAGGGAGTACAGTTTCGTTGTGTAAAATTTCGAAAATTAAAACCACTTTCATTTTACGGGAGATGAGCTTAATCAAGTAGAACCAAATGATTCAACAACGTTTCCACATTGGTTCGAGCAATTTGACTTATTGAAAATAGTGCAAAAGTCAAACGGCTCATCGTCTTTTTGCATAGTTGACGAAAGTAAAAGTGTAGCAAAGTGATCGATTAAGTGAGAGAAAGCTTGCATGATTTGTCAACGATACACCTCGACGTTCGACAAAGTCAAGCTTGGATAAGCAAAAAAAAAGAGATTGCCAAGGCTGGGTGGATAATCATCCCATAACAAAATCCCATGATATAATTCTGCCTCTCAACATTTCGATCAAATGTTTACTGATCTTCTTACGTTTGCATTTAATGAAGTTAAAATTATCGCAACATTGACTTCCGATGGAAGAAAAGCAGTGAAAAATTTATAAAAAATTGCAGTGAATATGTCATCGTTATCTTATCACTTACGTCACTAGTTACCTCTACCCTGTTGCAACAGGAGTACAACAGGAGTACAACATGTTGTACTCCAAAAAACAATGAGCAAATAGTACAACCCCTTTGACTTTAGCCCTGAATATGAATTTGTGTAAACTTTCAAAATATAATTTGCGTTTGAAGTTTTCTATTGCTAACGATGCAAATGAAGTTTGGTAATTTCATTGCTCTCATCAATTTGTACTGACTTTAGTTTTTACGCATAAATAAGACGCGGCTTGATGATGACTGGGAAAAGTTGACTGATTGATTGCCACAAACTATTCTTTTTATTTTATTTTATGAAAAAGAAGAAAGCAAGTAATCGTCTTGGCTGACTTCACGACATGCACATCATAACATTCACTGTGACATTCCACAAAAATGATATTATTACTTAACAATGTGACTCAAAAACATGACAGGTGGATTTTTCACCTGCGTCGTCACCAGCCAGCACTTTGCATGATGATGAAGTCAGTTTAAGGAATTAGCAGATGGGCACGATAAACGATAAAAAGTCAAACGACCCATTCCATCGGACGGCATCTAATAAAATTTAGCCCTCTGCGCATAATTGAAGTCATATGGTTCGAGGCGATGATGGTAAGAGATGACATTGGAGTTGAAATACTAGTCCAACATTCTTTGTCCACGAACTGACAAAAGACAAATTCTTCAGCCTCCCAGGTTGAAGAAATACTCTTTTGGTAAATAATACTTTTGGTGTGGCTCATTTTTACTAAAAGCTGGGAGGTGAAAGAAATCCAGGCGACGACAAGTTACGTCGGGCATCGTGACGAAAACTTTTTTTATTTTTTGAGTCCGTTGATGAGGCAAAGCACAGGACAGGACGAGCACACTCATCTTTTTTGGTCGGTCGTCGGTCTCGGGTAGCAGTTCCTTTTCATTATCATTAGAGGACCAATGAATTATTTTGTCCTGCAACGGAGCAGCAAATGTAAAACGAAATGATAAAATAATTCCATCACCTCCTCCACCGAGAGAGATCTAGAGAGACAGGGGTTTGGTTTGGTGGAGCGAAGGGGGAGGGGCGATGACTAGTGAAATTTCTTCGTCGAGAAGATCCTTAACTGACTGATGAGAACCCCACATTCATTCTGTCCTCTCTATTTTCTTTCATAATAAGTCCAACGTCGTATTCCTATCTACAAACTCAACAGTCGTGATTAAGATCTTTGGGACTGATATCGCATCTCTCTCTTTCATAATTCGGTTTGGATGGTCAGATCGTCATTTTTTATACCCATTCAGAGAGTTATGTTATCAAACTCTTTTCCTAACCCTGGAAAAATATTCAACCAAAATTACAATTTCTTGGGAGTTTTGTGATCCAAAATGTGGTGAAAATGATGAAAAAATAAAGTTGGGGCTACTTGCAATTGCATTTTTCATGCATAGCTTGATAGCGAGGCATATCACACCCACCCAATCTGATGACGGGTGGGTGGTGCAAAGATGTGTGAAATCGTGACATCTACACAGGCAGAGTATACATGCAAATGCTTCTTCTAGCCTCGTGATGATAAGTCGAATCGATAATATTTTATTGATACAGATTCATGTTTATGGACACGTAAGTAAGTATCATCTTCATTAAGCAGCACGAGCTACTACTGATCCGTAGTGATAGAACAGGTATCTTGGAAATTATAGATTCAGCAAATTCAGGTTCATTAAGTGAATTACCTCCTTAAAAGTTTTTCCATTTTCCACCAAACTCGTGCGAAATTGAAGTGAAGGCACACATACGATAGGAAATCCTTTCTACATGGTTTGATTAAAAATCGTTTAATCACTCGCTTCACGGCACAATCCCTAATCACTTACGACGTGAAGAGAGAGATAGGAAAAAGTTGTGGAGATATTTATCCAATGCCAATTCTTATATCGGCAGCTTAGGAGAGGAAAGTTGAGACGGACATGAGATGAGAGGAGAATTTATTTATTTTGTCAAGAAGAACGATATTTATCCCAAGCTGGTCCTGCCCTCTGCAAATTCGCTCACAATCACCAGCTGACTCAAAGGAAATTCAAAGAGAGAGAAAAAATTATTTGCGAAAAGAAATTCAGCAAACATTTATTTCAAAGTGAAAGAAATCAATTATTTTTTTGTTTCTCTCTTTCTCCTGAAGATATATCGATAGACTTGCTAGCATTCCAAATTCTTGTTTCTGGTCAAGTTAGATTTCATTTAAAGTAATAATAATAATCGTAATTATACTAATTTTTTAACCAGCCAAGCTCTAATGCAGAGAAGAGGTGATAAAAGGAGAAAAGATATAAACAAAAAGGCTGGTCCTTACTTAATTGAATGAAGGCATATTGTTAATTAATAACAATTTGTTATACAATAATTTTACGTTTTAATTTCTAAAGTGTTGAATTGGATGTATATACAGTATACTGGTTTTGTCTAATGTCTGAACTACTTGTTTTATATTTTATTATTATTTTGAACAAAGCAAAAGTCTAAAAGTTCTAGTAGATTTTGTTCGTATCAAAAGATTTAAGAAACGTAAGGAAATTCATGTTTAAATTTTATAATTGAGTCAACTTTGCCGTAGAAATCACTCGAGTCCATTTACGATTTATTTTATTTAGTTTATACGTTCTTGTAATGTGACTCGTAGCCTGTAGCGTAGTTTTTTCTTTATCTCAAGTTAATTAATAGCTATTAAAGTTTAAAAAATACAAATTCGAGTTGAAGATGAGCAAGGAAAAGCGGACGACGGGAACAGCGTTGTCCCGACTTCGACAAGATTATATGCGCCTCAAAAAAGACCCAGTACCGTACATTGTTGCAGAACCACTGCCCAACAATATTTTGGAGTGGTAAGGAGGACAATCTTAATTGATATTCTATATTTATATGTATAATTGGGCTCAGAGTCAGGACATGATAATGTATTGTTCTTGTAGGCATTACCTGGTGAGAGGACCTGAAAATTCTTTGTACGAAGGTGGGTGACAAATTGACGATCTTTATTGCCTATTATGATTCACTCAATTTTTCAATTTAACTAAATAGGCTTATTTTTACCGTTATCAGGTGGAATTTATCACGGGAAATTGAAATTTCCTCCTGAATTCCCTTTTCGAGCCCCAAGCATTTATATGATTACTCCCAGCGGCAGGTTGGTTAAATCAAATGCAAATAATTTATTTGAAATATGATATAGCATTTTGCATTCATATGATTAGTTAAGTTAATCGTTAATTATTTATGTGCGTCATACAGATTCAAGACAAACACACGACTTTGCTTATCAATCTCAGACTTTCATCCGGGTTAGTCATATATGTTGCAATTATTGGTGTTTTATAGTTCTAACCGATATGCCATCATCCTCCTCGTCATGAACTTTTTACTTTCATCCTTTCTAGATACGTGGAATCCAGCTTGGTCAGTGGGAACGATTCTGACGGGTCTTCTGTCCTTTATGGTATTATTATTTGAATAAACTATACATATTCAGTCCATCAAGGAGTAAAACATATTAGGAACTGAATTTATGCTACGCTAATTTTATTTTAGTTAGAGAAAAGTCCCACCCTAGGATCTGTTGAAACAAACGACATGGAAAAGAAATCCTTTGCATTAAAGTCTATTGACTTCAATGTAAAAGATAAAATCGTAGTCGAGTTATTCCCTGAAGTATATGAAGTAAGTTTAAATTCCTGTCTGTAGTATTATTGTTATTTGGAATTATTGCTGCCATTCTAAAGCAATATATTCATAACAATTGTGTTTTATAGGAGATGAAAAAGATTCTCGAAAGTCGTCTGGATACCGCTTCAACGTCCCAAAACGGAAGCAGAAAGGCGTCTGTTTCCCTTGCAGTCAATCAAGGTTCGTCCAATAGCTATCAGAACGTTCTCGCAACTGCTATTGTCGCAGTGGGTTTCGCTTTCTTCGCATACAGCGTCAGATACGTATTGAAGACCATAAGTTACGACGAGCTCTAATCATAATGTAAAATTTGTTTTTTGTCTATTCTTCCATTACTTCCAGTCTTTTTAAAAGCGTCTTGTTGATTTTAAACGTAACCCATAGAGGAATAGATAAATTACATGCATGCAACTGATGTATTAGTATAAAAATTATTTTGTATGCCTAGGTGTTTGTAAAAAAGATAAGTAGGAGATGACGGCAATCAACTACTACAACTCTCTCTTACTCTTCTTGAAATACCTTCAAAATGTCCTGTAATCAAATAACCAACAGTGACTTCAATTTTGCAAACTCACCTTCACTCTGTATGTATTTTGTTCTCTCATTATGAATGTCCTCGATATTAGTCTATACCATCGACCGCAGATGAAAATGTCAAGATAACAATCATTGTAATTCAAACCAAATCTTTCGTGTTATTTTTGTTTCATTATGACAGAAATAAACTTACACCAAGATGAATTAAAGCAAGCACTGTGTAGTAGGTTTAATCAATTATTTATAAAGTATTCATTCATGTAGGTATGCGGACGTCAAGTGTTGATGAGAATAAAACAAATTAAAAAAACTTGAGTAATTTCCACGTGTAATTTTGCTATGTTTATTTACGAATTCAGTCTGTCGACAGCATAAATAAGCCGACGTGTTTTGTAAAAAAACATTCGAGCATAAACAAATTATAAAACTCTTCTGCCCCCAAAAAATTACGAACTAGTGACAAGGGGGGAATAACTAAATACTGAGAACAATGGAGAATATTATTTAGATTTTTAAGTAAATGTGATTGTTAGGTTAATCCACTTCCTCCATTCGAGAAGCGTCCCCGGATTCACCTTGAAGTTCTGGAAGAGAATCCCCATCCTTTGTCTCTTCCACAGCAGCGGGCTCGTCGTCATCAATTCCAAGACCCAATTTGATCATTCGATGAATTCGAGCGGCATGAACCTAAAACACAAAAATAATAGAATATAAAATAAATGTACTATTTTTTAACCAATTACTTTAGTAAATATTATTATAAACCACTAAAAACTTACATCGGGATCCTCAAGGCTAAATCCAGACGACAACAAAGCGGTCTCAAACATGAGCATAACTAGATCCTTGACACTCTTGTCGTTTTTATCTGCTTCAGCTTTAACTCGAAGAGTCTCCACGATGGGATGATCAGGGTTGATCTCGAGATGCTTCTTGGCTGCCATATAGCCCATGGTGGAGGTGTCGCGGAGGGCTTGTGCTTTCATGATTCGCTCCATGTTGGCGGTCCAGCCGTACTGAGAAGTGACAATGCAGCAAGGAGAGTCGACCAACCTGTTGCAACAAACAAAATTAAAGTTTTAAATTTATCGCTTCAATATATTATTCTCATCAGTATCGGATAAGTCATTTCTTGTTTTTCTTACCTGTTGCTTACAACTACTTTCTCGACCTTCTTGTCCAAAATGTCCTTCATGACTTTGCAAAGTCCTTCAAACTTTGCCTTTTCTTCCTCAAACTTTTTCTTTTCCTCTTCATCTTCAGGAAGTTCCAACCCCTCTTTGGTAACAGAGACGAGAGTCTTGCCATCAAATTCTTTCAACTGCTGCACAACATATTCATCGATTGGCTCGGTCATGTAAATGACCTCGAAACCACGCTTCTTGACACGCTCAACGAATGCAGAGTTGGCAACGGTATCCCGAGATTCACCGGTGATGTAATAAATGTGCTTTTGGTTCTCCTTCATTCGGGATACGTACTCCTTCAGAGAGCATTGTTCATCACCAGAAGCTGATGTATGGAATCGGAGCAGTTCGCTGACTTTCTTACGGTTGGCGGTGTCTTCGTGAATTCCAAGCTTCAAGTTCTTCGAAAACTGTTCATAAAATTTCTTGAAGTTGTCCTTGTCTTCAGCGATTTCATCGAAAAGCTCCAAACACTTTTTCACCAAATTCTTTCGAATAACCTTCAGGATCTTGTTTTGTTGAAGCATTTCTCGGGAGATGTTGAGGGGCAAGTCTTCGCTGTCAACCACACCTGATGAGAAAAGAAAGAAACTTATAAGTAAATCAACCAACGAATACATTGAATTAGTAGCTAATAAATAATACGCTCAGAACAAAAACTAACCTCGCATAAAGTTGAGATATTCCGGAATGAGGTCCTCGCAGTTATCCATGATGAAGACCCTGCGAACGTACAGCTTGACATTGTTCTTCTTTTTGCGATTTTCAAATAGATCGAATGGAGCCCTTCTTGGCACGAAAAGAAGTGCACGGAACTCAAGCTGGCCTTCAACGCTGAAATGCTTTACAGCCAAATGATCTTCCCAATCGTTGGTGAGGGATTTGTAAAATTCACCGTACTCCTCCTGAGAAATATCATCAGGATTTCTGGTCCAAATTGGCTTAGTTTTGTTTAATTCTTCATCTTCGGTGTACTTTTCCTTGATTTTCTTCTTCTTCTTGTCCTTTGCATCTTTTTTGTCTTCGTCCTCATCCTCACCGACATCCTCGATTTCAGGTTTGTCATCTTCCTTCTTTTCCTCACCTTCCTTTACTTCCTCCTCCTCTTCAACTTCCTTTTCACGTTCCTTCTCCACAAGCAACTTAATTGGGTAGCCAATGAATTGAGAATGCTTCTTTACTACTTCCTTGATTTTCCTCTCCTGCAATAAATATATTTAAAGATGAGTACACCAGTAAATACTAACCCACATTGTGCCACTGCATCCAAATTATCGTAACAAACGTAAAAGTGCATGCAAATAATCACAAATCACTAACCTCACAATATTCTGCCTGATCCTCTTTCATGTGAAGGACAATTTTGGTTCCACGTCCTATACTGGGCCCATTGTCCGTACGGATTGTGAAACTTCCTCCTGCAGAACTCTCCCAGACGTATTGCTCATCATCGTTGTGCTTGCTGGTGACGGTGACCTTGTCTGCAACGAGATAGGCGGAGTAGAAACCTACACCGAATTGTCCAATCATGGAGATATCAGCCCCGGCTTGAAGAGCTTCCTACAATTCAACAAAATTCATCTCAGTTATTACAATGTTAAATCATAATTATAAAATAATTAATAATTAAATGTTAATAAAATAATTACCATAAAAGCCTTCGTTCCTGATTTGGCAATGGTTCCCAAATTGTTGACGAGATCAGCCTTAGTCATCCCAATACCCGTGTCGATCAAAGTCAACGTCTTCTCCTCCTTGTTGGGGATGATCTTGATCTGGAGTTCCTTTCCGCTCTCAAGCTTAGACGCATCGGTCAACGACTCGTACCTGATCTTATCCAAAGCGTCGGACGAATTGGAAATCAACTCACGAAGAAAGATCTCCTTGTTAGAGTAAAATGTATTGATGATGAGGGACATGAGCTGGGCGATTTCCGCCTGGAAGGCGAAAGTCTCGACATTTTCAGTCTCCATTTGTTCTGGCATCTGTAAACCAAAGACAAGAATTGTATAAATTAGAATAAGTGTATTGTCATCACACCACACCCATCCATGAGTCAGGCAAAAAAAAACTACGGCCTTTCTCGCAAAACTTGACCTCCACAAAAATTGACAATTTTAATCAAATTAGCTATACATCTATAGCTAATGTGTCTATGTTTAACTAGTCCCAATTTCTCCTTACCTTTGAGAAGATTGTAGAAATTGAAGAACACTATCACTGGCGAAAATCCTGGCGAAAAATCTCTGTCAACGAGCGAGACAGTGTGCAGGAGGCAAAGGAGCAATATAGAGTGAACGAGGGAGACGAGGCTGAGTGGCTATATAAGCGAGACACACGCTTCTGGAAGATTCCAGACGAATCGAGACGACTGCCGGTCCTCGTGGCAACGGAACCGTGAACCAGCCAGAACTTTCCACTCGAGCTCAATCACCACCAAGCGGCGAGGGAGTGCTGCTTGCTGCCCATTTCACGCCTCCGTCAACGCGTCACGTGGTTCAGTTTATTCGCAAGAGTTCTCGCTCTTACGATCAGAGAGAGATTGAGAGATTGCATTGCACACGAAATTTCAATGGATTTTCATCATTTTCATTTCCTCTCGCCTTCATCATCTTGCGTGCATGCCTTTATCCCTTCGTTGACTAATACACGTCGTGTAATATTACAAGTGGTCAACAGGGGAATGATCTATTTAATGAAATGAGTCAACAATAATAGTTCTTTAAACTGGAAATGAATCGACGTTGTGATCGGTTTAACAAATAAATTGATGATTACGAATAATTACGATGGTGCAATAGCACGTATCATATGTACGGAGCAAATAAACGTAGTTATTGCGATGGATTTGTCCGCACGAAACGATTGCTTGACATTTAGTTCTAAGGATAAGTAATTAATCTTAGTGTTATTTCGACCTGATGACGTGTAAGCGAGGTTAAAGGTCATAAAATGTCGAAACGTCGAAAATGTAAAATTTTTCTAGCAAATGATACACACACCTCGAGTTTACTATATCTGTTGCTGGATTTTATCGTGTAGCGTAGTAAAGGCACACCTTTGGTCACGGTCGGATACTCTTTTCCTCTTATGTATGCTTGTGTGTTTGATATGTACCTGAATGAGGAAATTACAAACTAAATACTCTTATGAAATTGAACATTTACTTGATATGCATCTTGAGTTGAATATTCTGGAAAATGTACAAATTTTACTCTTGATGAGCAATTCTGTGGCTTTCAAGCAAATTCTAGAAAGCTCAGAGAGTGTCTCAAGTCTCATGCTGCCTCTTCAACAAGATGCCTTACTTTTCTGTATAAAACATCAAGGGTATGAAAATATGATATACTGTACTTTGCAATTTACAAAATAATTTATATACCTTTAATTGGCAATCATTTGTATAAAGATGAAAATAAAATACATTGTAAAAAAACAAAACCACATTATTGTCCTTAAATACCTATAAGTCCAAATACTTTTGCATCATTGTTGCGATTGCGAATATATGCTGATTGAGAATAATTAACTGCATTGCTCAATAATTTGTCAGATGAAAGACTGCACTCTGCATTGACCGAGGAACAATTGGTGTCGATCGGCTTCAGACCTCTGTGCGGAGGGCGCTCATGCTGCTGCTGTTGCCCTTGTTTCCACCGCCCAGTGGGTGGTGACCAGAGTAGATTCCTCCAGAGTCCAGATCATCCCGCCCCCCTCCTCGTCCTCCCCCCGATGCCACCCCTTTTTGTGCCACCAGGACGCTCAGACACTAAATTTCATGAGAACGTGTTTTATTTATGTACATTTGAGATCAAATCATAGTTTCACACTAAAATCAAGATAAGTTACCTGCACCCACTCGCTGGCATTCTTCCCATCTTTGGGCTTCAGCACTATCTTCTTCTCCTCCGTGAATATTTCAAAAGCTTTGGGAATACTCCTCTGACCTCGTGTGACACGGAGGGAAAGGATTTGATGCAGGTTGAGAGTAGACGAAGAGTCCGTCTGCATATATTCACATGTTATATTTTTAAGTTATTCTTCTGTATGGCAAAATATTATGGTTTGATTTATTCGAACCCCTTTTGCTTGAAGTTGCCCTCCGCCAGATAGTGTGAAATATCTTGTTCGCCATCGCTTAAATAGTCGCCATTTCCCCTTCTTTTCTTTTAAGCACCCTTCTAGAATGGGCTCCTCAGAGGAGAGGAATTCCATGGCCCTGTGTTAGGAAATAAAACTAATAAGCAAGTGGAATTGAGACATAATATGTAAAATATCGTCTGATAGGATACCTCGTAGGATAATTACAAAAGAAACATCCCCAATTCGTTTTTATTGCATTGAATTCAAAGATGTCAAAGAAACTTGCGTTTCTGAGTTCGCTTGAAAGGAGATCTTGATCCTAATACACATATAAAATATGCATGAGTATCATAATGTCAGCTAAAACAGTTTAATTTCAACGAATTAACCACCAAACTTCATTACCCTGGCGCTGGGAAATGCACTGGTGACGATGGCGAGGAATGATTTGCTTTCAGACTTGAGTATGTCCCAACAGTTTTTTAAACTTGTCACGGAAGAATCCCTCGAACTTATGGCACTACTATTTCGAGCTTGTAAGGCCAAGAACATGAGATGAATCCATATTCTAGGATGACGAGTCTTCATTGTGAATAGGCGATTACTAACGTATAAACAGTGGTTAGTTCTACACTGACATGAAAAATGCAGTTTGGCACTTTTTTTGGACTTTCGTTCTGTTAAAAATTACAAATGTTTCAAATAAATAAGATTTGACTTTAGGAAAGTGTAACAAAATATTATTTTAAGTAGGTAAATAATATAATTACCTTCAATTGTACATTTCACTGGAAGTGGTATTCTTACACACACTTTCTCCATATACGACTTGATTTTGTCTAAATGTTTTTCGCAAAAATGGAGAATTGTATCACGCATTGGAACAGGTTCAAAAACGCTGATTCGCTACACAGATAAATTCAATATATAAATAATAAATAGATTTATGTATATGTACTAGATTGAAAATAATCCACGTGCATAAGCACATGCACATAAGCACATGCCACTTACGTGATTATTATTGTCTGGATGGTTTGGACGGAGCACAGGGTCATTATTAGCGTGATGTCGTAATTCTGGCTGGCTGTAGTGATAAGGTTGGTGAACTGGAGCAGTGTGAGCGTCTTGCGGCGTAGCGTACTTTGGCGTCGGGGAGGGAAGACCTTTGGATCCCATTACAGAAGTTGAGTTCTGCTGTTGTTGGGGATTATTGTTGGACAAATGAGTGGTGGACCTGGACCCAAAGTTATTTGCCATTGCATGAATGGAGGCGGATGAGCTAAGAGTTCCAGAGTTTGCCGAAAAGTAGTTTTTAAGCAGAGACAAGTTTTGCTGGGGATGAACGGAATAAATTGAATTGTTGATATTATTGTTGTCCATCAGAGGGTTGTGGTGTCCTCCATAATGGGGTGTTGGATGGATTATGCTGGAGTTGCCAATTGTCACTATGTATGTAATGTAATAATATGTATATGAAATTATCATCTTTTTACGGAATTATTGTTCCCATCTTAATAGCAATAGTACAATGTACCAGAATTTTGAGAGTTTCTCATCGACTTTAATCCTCCAGTAGGAAAATCATCTAGTCCGATACTACTACTGCAAATCACAATTCCAAGAATTGCATTCAAATACGTACTTATATACATAAACCATATACATAAGTACACATACCAAATGCTTCTATTTTGATACGGGGAAACTAGTGCAGTTCGTTTCTTATATTCTCCAGTTATCACAGTTGCAGGCAGTCTATTTAGGCTTTTATAATGAGTTGTAGCAGCGTTCCCCGAAGAACCACCAGACCCAGTTGTGGTATAATATTGCTGAAAGAGCGTTGTTGAAGGTTGTGATCCATAAGGCTTATCGTTGAAAGTTTTTAAACCACCACTGCTCGTAGGTTGGGGTTTTATTATTGGAGATGCTAAATCATACATAAGTTCATGCAAATGTTTTGTCCGACACATTTTCTTCCATGAATATAGTGCACATAATTTTGCACAACGTAAACTGAAACTTATTACACACCTTGAAGTCGAGGGGTGATGTTGATCGACGGACCTGTTGTTGGACGGTGCCTGGGATGCGATGTATTTGAAATTGGAATTCGATTGACCAAATTTCCATATCCAGAGTTCACGTTTGAGTATAAGTACGGTGATGGGGAATGTGCTGTATTCCCAATGGGGGACTTTAACAAATGTTCAGTGGATGAAGATGCTCCCGTCGTTGTGGAGTCGTTATCTCTGATATTGACAACCGTAATATTCCTAAAAAATATATTGATTTCAAAATACTGCTAAAATTATTATTCGCGCAATTGTTTCGAGATAAGCCAATTGTACCTGCAGATGTCCCATAACTTGTCTAATAAAACCTGACGAGCCCCACTGAATCCCCTGGATATCGTCAAGTAGCGTTGAATCGTTGATATGACGGCTGCATTCATGACGTTTGGTCGATTCTGGGAGAAAACCACAATTTCTCTCAGAACTTGAATTTGTGTCGATGGATCTTGATTCGATGACTGAATCAATAGGATCATCTTGTTGAGAGAGTGAGTAGCCTTTTCCTGTGCAAGATTTAGTAGATATATAATAAGTTTCAGTTTTCATATAGTCACAACCAATTTTTGACTAAAGTAATAGGTAATAACTCCCTACATGTGAAGAATTTCGACCAATTTCCGCAAATAATTTGGCTGCCAGTATTAACGCGTTTGACGGAACTGCACTGCTCGATGCTCGATTGCTGATTATGTCGAGATGATCATGAAGTAGTTTTGACTATGTTGCATAAGACATTACATGTACTTTGGGTTTGCTAATTAATGATTACTCCTATTTTATAATCATTACCTCATTCGCCATTTCAACCAAAACTCCAAGAGCGGGGCCAATGGTTTCATACTCATTTAAGCAGTCCAGTAGTTGAGGAAGAGATGGTTCTAAAAGCTGATGCCAAATTAAATTGTTAGTTTTATCCGGATTTTTCAGGATACTTTATGGGAATAAATGATTCACTCACAGGTACTGTTACGGACGGATTACTTGATGCGACCATTTTCAGGAGATTCAGCAGACACGATTTCTCACTGTCGTCGCATAAACTGAGAATGTTTGCCAGAGCCATGATATGTTCATTCACTCTCTCCGGATTTAGCAGATATATTTGAGGAAGAATTTTGGCTAAGCTATAGTTTCCTGTAAACCAAATGTTTTGAAAATAATTTGGAGTCGCATATAAGACTAATCATACTTTTATATAGTCTCGTACTTATTTACAGATGAATATCTATGCATTAATTACTACACAAAGAGGTGACACTAATGCAAGCCTAGCTGTTTTTTTATAAATAATTGGTGTCAGCTGTATATTTTGGATACATACATGTACAAATAAACTGGTGGTGGAAACAAGCGAGTCTTTAATTAGTTAATTTAATTAATCTTACCTCCAATTAAGCTGTCAATAATTGGTTGAATATGCTCTGCAACGAGGTCAGGGTGTTCAATAGCCGCCAGTGGAAGATAAGATGATACATTTCGTGTCAACTCTCGGTTTCCTTTGTGTAGGAACTTGACAGCAATCGACATTGAATACTTCATCACACTCCGTTTTGTATAATTCTATAAAATTCGGCCAAAAAGCATATATACGTAAGTATTAAGCCTAACAGGATTTTCAACACCATATAATAGGCATAATATTGCTCAATGCATAACTGTTGTTAGAGTTTTGAGATCTTACAAGAAATATTGATGCAAGTACATCCGATGCAATTTTAGCATGCGGAGGATCAATGTCCTTTCCCAATGCCTTCAAATCATGGTTTAAACATGTTTTCAACAAATCCACCAACGCCTCAATGTGGTCCTCGATACAATTTGCATCTCTGAAAATGATCATGCAAAATTAATTTTGTAGAGTTCAACTGAAACCCGTTGTTTTTTAACGAGTATTTAACAAGTATTTGTTACCTAAGGGTGGCAGTGATTCGTGATACAATAATTTCCACAACCGACTGATCTGTCAAACTCTGAGTATAATGTACTGAGGCCGTAATTTCTCGTACTTTTGCCAAAATTTCGGATATGTCATTCATTATTAGACGATCAGATAAAGTAAACAACTCCCCCGCCTATAAAATTGCAATGATATTATACAATTGTTACTGAATGAATGCGATATTACATGATGATCATCGGAAATTACTTTGGACAGATCTTTGACGTTCAGCACTAATGAGAATAAGTGATGCATTTTGATTGATTTGCCAGTCAAGATTGGTTACGTTTGCTGGTTCAGGGACAGAACAAAGACCCAACGCGAAGAACAAGGGTTGACGAGCGTAAGTAAAGCCGACAATAGAGCTCAACCGGGTATATAGTTGCATAAAACCCGAACCCGGGTGCTTTGAGGTGTTGAAGCCGTAGTAGTGAGAGCATAAACGGAATCTTGATCATGCGTTTTTCCTTTTGAGCCTTTCCCTTTCTCCTTCCTCTCAACGAAACTACTTGTTTTCTCGGATTGATTTAAACGAGTCAAAATGTCAACTTAAGTTAAACATAGTACAATCGTTCTTCTGGGAGTCAACCACGCTGGAGAGCGAACGAATTAATTCCAAACATTTAACTCATTTTCTTTCGTTCAATTATTTCCTTTTGAGTAATAATTGGTCAGTTATTTGTACATTTGGTTCCGATCCTTCACTGGCATTCCTATTAATATAAAGCAAATAAATAAATTATAGAGTGAGAGTGCAGTAATTTAAGCCAACATATTTTTGGTTCAACCAAAAAATTCCTTTCACGTTCCAGCAACTATAAATTAACCAATTATAAAATATTTATCAATACCACAAATTACCTTGCACAGAAATAATAGCAATAAATTATTGTGCTGAACATATACTGGATTCAAATTTCGTTAGTTTCAACTCTAAAGTTACTTTCGGGCCAGGTAAATTGCTCAGCTTATGTACATTTATTCACGTTGACTTGATTCTTGCCTTTAAATCCTTCACTTTAATACAGCACAAATTGTGTTACACAATCATGAAATTCACTACGCACACCATGTACGCTAATATTTTGAGTATTTGCTACACAATTATAGCATTTATGAAACTATTTTACCGCATGTTGTCCTCTCTCAACAATTTCATTTAACTTTTAACCTTATATTACAATGGAATAAAAAACTCTATTTAGCATGTACATAAGTGCACAAATCTGCTGTCAAACTTGATCAGTTGGATCTATGTGTACGTATGTACATACATATCTAGAAAGGGTTAATATTACTCATACGCTTACACACAGCACTTTTGTGGACAAGAGCTCAAAAAGGTTTGTCTTACAAAGAAAGCCACTCTTATAACAAAAGTAACAGGATGAACCTGACTTGAAGGCTTACTTAAAGAAATCTGCTCCTTGTTAAATGACTTACACTGTCTATTTCTTATACACAAAAACAAAACAAAATGGCATCGCATGCCACTTAGATAACTTAACCCGTTTTTATAACCATTAGTAATTTTTAAACGTATGCCAAGCCACCAGTTTTTCGTAACAGCAAAATTAATTATTACGTACTTTTATCCATTTCATTACAATCGTTTGTATAGGACATTACTTTGTATTATGCAATTACACTGCACTTGTGATCCCAATTGTCACATCAGACTGTATAAAATGATGTCACCGTCACCATTGCATTTACATATGTACATAACATACGCACACCATTACATGGACTACTCCTCAGTGTTATATGATGCTCTGTCTTATCACGGCCAATAATAATGGAGATAAGAAGTAAAGGATATTTGATTAATACATAAGCTTAAAACATACGCAAGTAGTCGGTTTTAATGTGTCATAACCAATCAATCAATCCTAAAGATCATTATACATACATATTTGCAACATATGAAATTCAACGCAACGAACACTGAACAATGAAACATAAATATAAATGCAGTTATTATACGCAATAAATAAATCGGATATTTGATTTACAGAAAGACTGCTAACTCTACAATGAGCAAACCACCACACAATGACTCATTGCCACATTACAAATTGGTTGTTGTTGGGTAAATTCTATGAAATATATGTATAAATGCATGCAAAACTTTGCTCGTCGTAATTTCTTCAATGTAATAATTAAATGCAAAATATGAAATGATGCAGCGATGGGGGCGTCGGTAAATCAGCTCTAACGATTCAGTTCTTTCAAAAAATGTTTGTGACCGACTATGACCCCACAATAGAAGACTCGTACATACAACATTGCGAGGTGGATGGCATCTTGTGCGTCCTGGACGGTAATTGCATGCACGCGTCTTATTCTTTTTAAACCCCGTTAAGTTATTTAATTAGAAGTTATCCTGCATATGAATAAAAATAAAAACATTGCTAATTTACAGTGCTCGATACTGCGGGTCAAGAAGAATTTTCAGCCATGCGTGAACAATATATGAGAAAAGGGGACGGATTTCTGCTAGTGTATTCGGTGACAGGTACATGAGTTTTTACTTTTATGTATCTACATATTTCATTGCAAAATTGGTTACTGGTGCTGTTGATGAACTAAATTTCTTGTCTTTCGGTCACAGACACTCAGAGCTTTGAAAACATCACACATTTCCACGTCCAAATCAATCGTGTCAAAGATTGTGATTCATATCCAATGGTGGGTGCAAATTAAAGAGTATTTTAATGAATTTGCGGTTTTTTAAATTTTATTTTCTGTACTCTCAGCTCCTTGTGGCAAACAAAGTTGATTTAGTTCATCTGCGAAAAGTAACAGAGGAACAGGGTCGTCAATTAAGTCAAAAACTGGGTCTATCATATTTGGAAACTAGTGCAAAGGACCCCCCCTTTCAGGTGGATGCGTGTTTTCATGAAGTCGTACGAATCATACGAAACTATAATGCAAATGAACATTTTGATCGGAAAAATCAAGCAAGTCGGAGAAAAAATTGCTGCGTCATGTAAAACAAACAAATGATAAGCTCAGGAAATCCATAATACATATACATTCATAAATATATATGCAAATGGCTGATTGAGAATCGAAATAATATGCAATTACTGCGACCCACGTCCTGATATTTGTAATGATGTTTACCTACAAATAGTTTATTAAGAAGGAACCCTATGTTGGAGGTTAATTGTGATTTTGTTGGTTGTGCTTTTATAGTGAAATTATCTGTTGTCGTCTGAAATATAATTTTCACAATTATTATATTCCTACAAACAATATAAAACAAAGTTAGCCAATCCAATCAGACTTTTCTATGCAATTAAAATACTCAGCAAACTTTATTATAAACCAAATGATTTTATAATTGGGCGATATCAACGAGTTGAAGGTGAAGCATTCGGAATTATAAAATAATGTGCTTTACCAATGTTAAAGTATTTGTGTTACATTTAGGATTACCAAGATTATGCCAAATGTGCAAAAAGTCATTATGATTGTTATTTGCTCTGTAGCTTGTTCTCTCTGTGATGTTTTTTTATAAATCGTGCAATAGATTCATTTTATTTATCCGCATTTTATATGATTTATTTCTATTTATAATCTCAAATGTACAGCGGTCACCACATATATTTCTCACCAAATTGGTGGCAGCCACAATTTCATTAGTTTGATTGAGACAATTGTTTGTACAGGTTACTGACGCCTTATTCATTCGTGTACAGACAAATTTGACGGTGATTTGAGACATATGGCTAACACCTTGTTAATAATCATAATAATAATAATACTGTTACTGGAGTGTTAGAATAATAATTGTGGCTGTTCCAAAAACATATACAATATGGCTAAAATACCCCGCATTACTTACTTGTGAATAAAAAGTGGAACCAATTCATTATAATGCATTTAAGTTATGTTTGTCTTTTGTATTAAATTAGAATATATGTACTCATGGCCTATATCATTACATAAATAGAACAATAAAGTTTAATATTATAATTGCTAGTCCTCTTTTTAGTTGAGTTATTGATTCCGCGTGGGTATAATATCAAGTATCTTTCAGAAATGAATGCCAGATCTTGTCGGCCTTAAGATGCAATAATGAATTCATTCAGCTTACAAAGAGATTACATGTCATAATAATATGTACATGTTCACACTAATAAATATTTAAGTAATGTGGTCAGATTCCTTTTGACTTGTCCCATTTCATGGTGTAATTTTCCATTTTATGCAGTTTTGTATCATATCCGATGTGTGCAGTTTTCTGACAAGGTAGAAATAATGCTTGCAACTAAAATGCAAGATATTTCAAGCATCACTAGATTCAAGTAACCAACTACCCTATAAAAAACCAACCAAAATAATGCCAACGTAGACATGACATTAAAAATCACTGATCCACATCGTCTTACCAGCTTTCACTTTAAAACGCTGTTTGATGCACCCTGTCTGCACTCTATTTTAACCATATTCTCAAGTTTTTTGGGGGACTGTCATCATTTCATGGTTTAATCAGCCTCGCTCTCTCCCCTTTTTGACCAAATATTGGATTGGGTATATTGTCCCATCTCAGGAAACCATAGTCTGACACACTTGAAGGTACGTAGTATGCACTATGTAGGTAAGTACATATGCATATATTTAGTAGACAAGGGAAGAGCTGATCAAAGGAACAGTTACACTTATATTTAAACCTAACCCCAAAAAGAAGTTATAAATATATACATAGAGGCAAAAAGTGATTTACTATTCCTTCATTATGGTCTAAATATACATAAATGAATATAGGAAGCAGTAAATCCTTCTAAGCTTGACCAAAGTATCAAATTTCACAGCAAAATAAGGCTCATAGGATGTACGTGCAATTTGGCATGCATTTCCTTCATTAATCCTTTATCGAATTGAGGAGTTAAACGAGATAAAGTATTAGTCGAGTCTTTACACTATTCCCAGTGCAGCAGTGTATGCCCAAGCAAAGCAAGGGTGGTTAAATCATCATCAACTTGTTTCATTATTATTCTTGGTCTTCTTGGTGAAGCCGGATAATAAGACTTTGATGCATCTCACATAGGAAGGGGAGAGAAAGAGTTGAGATCTGCTGCCGACCCAAACTCCCTCCGCTGTCGTCCAGTCAGTTTGCCAACAGAGTTGAGAAGGATTTGAGCTGTCAAGATCAAAACGAACATCTCAAATTCATCTCAAAAAGTAAGATTAGTAAGAATTAGATGGGAACTGGAATGGTGGACGTGTTTTTGTTGTAACTAAAGTTAAACTCGTATATTTATTGTGAAACAACTCGAAATGTTTCAACTCAAGAACGGCTTCATTGCCTTCCTCGTCGTAATTCTTCCACTTTTAGCATTAAAAACTACAGCTGATGCAAACGACTCTCCGGAAGATATTGATAAAAACCGTAAGTCCACTTTTGGCTAAAATAATTACAAAGTTCATATAAACTGCTCAATTTATTTTGCAAAATACGAGACGGACAGGAGAAGAGTTGAGTGAAAGAGATAACATTAACATTTTCATTCAACTCTTAATGACAGCATGTCTTAACTTTAGCTTAGTTTCTTCACTAACATCTCTTCCTCCTTCGTTATCGCATATTATTATTACCCGAATATATAATGATGATCAACGACGTTGTACTACGGAGAGAAAATACATATTTATTCTAACCAGCCCATGTACATAGATACATATGTACGAGCAGTGGTTAATGCAAGATATGCACAAGTATTAAATTTCACATATATTTAACCATGAGATTTTCAAAAATATGTATGCCCTGACTACATTTTAATGCATACATATGCATACGACTGTGGGAATAAGATGTCTTTATTGTAATTTTAAAGAGAAGTCTGGTTTAAGTGAAATTTCATACCTATTTATGTAGAAGGATGTTTAAAAAAGTGAAGATTTCGTTCTGTTTCATTGGGGTTCAAACTGTGTAATTATCCATATCGAATTTTGATGAAATCATAATTTGACTTTCAAAAGTTAAAATGTGTCAAGCTTGCAAAAATATGTATCTCAGTGCCTAAAAGAATTTCATTATTCATGCGTAAAATTTTCTAAATTTTTATCCCAGTCATAGAATAAAATACAGATTATTTGGTGTATTAACCTGATCTATTGTATTTGAATGATGTTTAAAACTGTTCTACATACACATTTCAAGATTTTATTTATTGCAATTCTTAAACAGTGCAAATGTTCGACAGCATCAAAATGCGGCGTATATTTATTACATTACAATGTTAAGACCGACTGTAAGGTGATTGTCCAGAATTCCATGATATCACGTAGTCAGTCCGACTAGAGATGCATGTAGCTACGTGTAAAACCGGTTCTTTTTACCTGGGCAAATTGCATGTTTTTATTCTTGATTGAGTTTCTTGAACCTACTTGTTCATCTTCTTTTTGCACGGCATATGCATAAGACAAAGCTACACAAGGTTTGCATGCATTGTATAACGATGATGCTGGTACGTCTGCAGGTTTATTGGAGGTATGCATTATGTACGAGTAAAGCCGGCATGTTACTCCCTCAAGAATGACTGACCATGAACCCCCGAAACTTCGGGGATCATAATCACAATGTTTTAAATCCGTGTATAACAAGAAGCTCAACAAGTCTAAGCGATGCGAGTGCTGGCCAGCTACATAAAAGTCATTGTGTGAAATTATTTCATCTCTGGTATTAATAAGCATGTCTTGTATTATTGCATTTCTATAAAGTTACATTAGGAACTTTATGTTCGATTTTTGTATGTTATTCAAAAGCCGGGTAGGATTAAATAGATTCAGATGTGGTTATGATGGGGAGCTACATTATGGTACAAAATGTTGGACAAATATGCAGCTTAAAATGCGGGCGTGCTGCTATTATTAGGGTGCTTTATCACACTAAATAACTACTGCTATAATAGTGGTTGAGGGGAAAGAAGGTGCAATGATTGCGAGGATGACAGAAGTATATGATGGATTCATTGTGTTGAACAAAATCACTGTCCGTTACGTTACTTTATTGCATACATATTTAGGTGTTGTACGAGGTGTGGTAGTGAAATATGAATAGCATCAACCAGGAAATGAACAATGAGACAGGATAAAGATGCTATTGAAAAACATTATCTTTCATGATCAAAGAAGGGTGACAAATGATGTGAAACCCAGATTTGCTGAACGGTATTTTGCACTTGTAAATAAGTAAATAGTATGTACATATCAGTACACATGCTTCTTTTATACATAGATTCACTGAATTGACAATTAATGATTATGCGTGCACCTGCTAATTAGATAGTTATGCACATAATAACAATGACTCTTACGCTTGCAGATTTCCATGTATTGACTGTTGCAACGAAATGGACAGAATCGCTTGTTCGATACTTGAGGAGTGCAAAAGTCAATGGTCTGACCGTGGAAATACTAGGCCTCGGAGACCAATGGGAAGGAGGTGAAGTCCGAGTGGGGCCTGGAGGCGGTCAAAAAGTCAACTTAGTTAAGACTGCCTTAGAAAAGATGAAAGATCTTCCAGATTTCGACAAAAAAGTCGTAATGTTCACGGACAGGTGCATGAGACATCCTAAGCATACTGGATTATTGATAATTTAATGCTGATTTATGGTTTTAACGTTTTTAGCTATGACATTCTACTTCTCGGGAATACTGCACAAATTTTTAAGCAATTCAAAATGTCAAATTCAAAAGTTTTATTCGGTGCGGAGTCCTTTTGTTGGCCAGATGAGAAATTGTCCAACGATTATCCAGAGGTCTTGAGGGGAAAGCGGTATCTTAATTCTGGAGGTACAAACTGAGCAATGATGTCAAGAGAAATTGAAACCGAATAATTATTATATCAAGTGAATTTATCTCTAAAATGAATATAGGTTACATTGGGTACGCATCCACGCTGTATGAATTGTTACGCAGCAAAGAGATTGCGAATGCGGATGATGATCAATTATTTTTTACGAAATTGTTCTTGGACGAGGAATTGAGATCTAAGCATAAAATCAAATTGGACTCGAAATCTTCAATTTTTCAAAATCTTAATGGCGCAACTGGGGAGCTTGAAATGTGAGTGTGACAACTACCTGTTTGCGACATATCTTACTAAATACATATTACAGAGGAAAATATAAATGTTTTGTGCAATGCTTTATTTTAACAGGCGATTTGTTGAAGGAAGTCCCGTTCTTTTCAATACGCAGTACAACACATACCCGTTGGTCTTGCATGGCAATGGTAAGTGCAAAATATTTATAATTCTGTAATCACAAACTTTTCGAAAGCACCTGTACATATAGTGCAACTAAGTGTTACATTACCAGGCTAATTATCTGAAAGCATCTTTTCTATAAATTAGGACCCACTAAAACAGTTCTCAACTCTTATGGGAATTATTTACCGACAAACTGGAACGAAGAGAGTGGTTGTGCAAGTTGTTGGGATGAGATGACTACTCTTGCTGATATTAAGGTATAATATACGTACTAACATATTAATTGTGTGAGAGAGGTCAAAATTTATATAAATGCATATGATCGTTACCATTAACATATGTACATGTGATGCATTTTATAGGAAGATGACTTGAAACCCGTGTTAATTGGAGTATTTAGTAAGTTAATTCACTTATATGCAGTCGTTGGTAAGTAATCGCAAATTATCAAGTTTTTTTCCTCAGTTGAGAGACCAACACCGTTCTTGGAGGAATTTTTGCACAAAATCACCTTGTTGGATTACCCAAAGAAGAAAGTTCACTTTTTCCTTCACAATAATGTAGGAACATTTCTTAACATACATAAAGAATAACAAAATAAATATTCCTGTTGTTTACTGTTTAGGTTGAGTATCATTCAAAACTCGTCAATGAGTTTATCGCCAACTACACAAAAACGTATGCTAGCTTCAAGAAAATTATCCCTGAAGATAAAACCAAAGAGTGGCATGCAAGGAATTTGGCTGTGTAAGTTGTGTTGAGTCATATTAATTTATTTCGATGGAATAATTATGGATATTATTTGTCATACCAGGGAAGAAGCTGTGAAGAAAGATTGCGGGTACTTTCTCAGCGTTGATGGAGAAGCTCATCTGGACAATCCATTCACACTGAAATTACTTATTGAGCAGAACCGAGGAGTTGTCGCTCCAATGCTCGTCCGTCCATACAAGGTAAATGCGATATTTATCCATGCAAGATAATCATTTATATTAGTGTCAAATTAGTACCATTCAACAAGTTCATGGGTTCGACTCCAAATATTTGACCAAGTTCCGAAATCTTTTGTAATTCTGATATTTTCCCCCATATCAGGCTTGGTCCAACTTCTGGGGTGCCCTAACCTCGGAAGGATTTTATGCTCGATCAAATGACTACATGGACATTGTGAAAGGTGATCGAAGGTGAGTCTCAAAATGTGATTCGTAATACAATTTGCATTATGCATATGCACATATTTATGGTTGTGCCACATCATAATAATAATTATGTTTAATTGCATAGTTTTATAACTTACATTGCTTAAATAATAATTTACTTAACTGCGATTAATCAAAGCTTGTTATAAAATCAGTTCGAAACGTTCTCTTGTCCACGGCATACTTGTTGTCAGCATAGCATTCGTATATTCCTGCATCCATTTGAGTCGTTGGGTCGATTTCCATCTTGGACTTGATCCGTTCGTTCCCCTCTCTCCATTCATGTACCTAAATTATGATACATATTTTCAAAGATCAGGTTATGTATTATGATTGACCCATATACAAAATGCGTATTACCTGAAGGTAACTGTGCGAGTATAACTCAATCCCGTCTTTAAACCTTTATTTAGAATCAATTGCACATTTATTAATAACCCGTGGTATAATAACAATTTTAATATAATATAATTCACACCAAGTAATGTGAGGCCGAGGATGACCCTTTGCAACACACATGAAATTTATTTTGTGACCCAATGTGAATTCAAGATCAAAGTGTGATGATTTAATGATTCTTGCTCCCTGTTATTGACGGGTTAAATATAATTTACTGGAATCGGCAAAATCATTGAGATGATGTGATGCACCTTAGAATTTGTGTAGTACTTAGCAGTATCAGTATCCCTCCATTGCCCCCCCGGAGGAACCCTTGTATTTGTATTCAATCCACCTTTCCGCCCTTTTCCTCGAGCCTAGCATCACGCATATATATATTTATTTGAGGAGTATTGCTCAGCAGCATGACGCTACAATTATTTGATATCTCAATAAATATGCCGTCGCCAGCCTTACCCTTCTTGCAGACGCGAGATCACAAATAAGTAGAATAATGGCCACTAGGGTAAATCTTCTTAGCTTCATGATAATATTTTTAACGGCGAGGGGAAAGTAGGTGAAAGTGTGCCAAAGGATTGGATCGATGATGAGTACGTGATTGTTTTGGGGAGAAAAAGTCAACGAGTCGGACTCGAATCTTTGTACACCCGACTTTTACTTTGCAATGCAGCATACCACATCTTTGTAGTGGCGATGAATATGATATGCTGCACCGTAAACTGCAATATTCAAGTGCGCCTTACTATTTTACATTATTTGGTTTAGGGGATTATGGAATGTGCCATTTCTTAGCGGTGCTTATTTGGTCAACGGAAGTATTCTGAACGATCCGAAATTGCGGCCAAACTATATCAACAACCTTCTTGATGCCGACATGGCATTCTGCTTGAATAACCGGTAAGTGTGGCAATGAACCGATTTTCTAATAATAGTCAATGCATACTTATTTGTTTTCTATTTTTTATTATCAACAGAAATAATGACGTCTTCATGTACGTGTCAAACAGAGTGGATTGGGGACATTTGGTTAGTTTTCTTTTATTCAATTGTTAGGAAGAGTTTCATATATTTTCTCGTGTGTATTGCAGGTCAACTCAGACAACTTTGAAACGACCCATCTGTATAACGAATTGTATCAAATATTCGACAACAGGTGGGACTGGGAGCTGAGGTATTTGCATCCTAATTGGTCCAAAGGTTTGTAAAATAAATCATCAAACTATATTTTATTTACACGTATCAACTGAGGCATTCGCTAGAGAATTTCCAAATCTCTTTCATGAAAATGTGCATCGCAACTCCTATTAACTTGAATTCAATTATTAAAGCTTTGGATCCTAACCGGACTGTCGAGGCTATGATGAAAGACCCTGAAACAATGGTATGCATAAATAATGACAAAAATATGCATCATATTTCGAAAAAATTGTCAATTTGATTCTCATTATTTGTTCTTCAAAGCCATGTCCAGATGTTTTCTGGTTCCCAATAGTCACACCCAGATATTGTGTAGAACTCATTGGGGAAATGGAAAACTTTGGCCAGTGGTCCGACGGATCGAATTATGTAAGTCATGACCAGTTACATTTTCAATAAATTGCTGTGTAATATTGTACTAAATTATCAAACGACGTGCGCAAAATAATATATTATTTACATGTAATTAATATCAAATAACTTAAATCTGGTTGAAGGATACACGACTTGACGGAGGGTATGAGAATGTCCCTACGGTTGATATACACACTAACCAAGTGGGTATGGAGGCACAATGGTTGGAGTTTCTGCGTTTATATGTAGAACCACTGCAATCCAAAGTCTTCACGGGTTATCACCATTACGTACGTAATTAGCGTTCAAATGAAAGGACAACCAGTGAAACAAAGTCGAGACAAATTACGAGAATAATTTACTCTCATAAATAATATTTTAACTCGGAGACTAGGTTCTCATAAAGATAAGCATGCGTACAAGTAGTATTACATACAGCGCGATGGAAATAATTAAATTGTCTGCAAAGTTTTTGCGTACGTGGGGGTTGGGTGGGAGTGGTATGAATGAATGCATAGTAGAAATTTGATGGTGAGTGATTTGTATGTAGGTTGACTCAAGACCAGAAACAGGTCACGACGATGTGCCCACAGTGGACGCTCATCTGTTTCAGGTAGGCATGCAAGAAGCATGGCTACATTTCCTGCGTACCTACGTTGCGCCCTTGACACTAAAAGTCTATGACGGGTATGAAGAGGTAGGCACAAGAGTTTTATGACAGGCGGTCGGTAGTACATGCAAATTACAAAGAGTAGCCTTGTTAGTAGTTGTTAGAAAGCAAATAAGTAGGTAAGGTATTTGGTATATGGTATTTATTTCGACTCCCCCTTCCGAATTTCTGATACTGGGCTTTCTAAATATTAGAGCTGCGACAGATCACTATGTATATACATGGTAAAAGTACAACTCACTCACCATCTAAAAACTTGTACGAGTTGTGCCGACCTTACTCCATTATTTATTTGTATGTAGCACTATGCATACGTAGCATAATTTCAATATTTCTCTCGGCTTTGTCTCACGGAACCTGTTCTAGTATTTGCTGTTATACAAATATCTAATTTGTTGGATGTTCCTCTACATAGCCACCCTATGCCTCCATGAACTTTATTGTTCGGTACAAGCCGGATGAACAGCGTGAGGTAAGAAAAATACGTCTGATTATCAATTCATTGCTATATTTGTTTAGATAATTAGGTGCGTATCAAGCATTGAGAAAAGAAAAAAAGAGTGAAGAGTAGCTCAACTTTATGGATTCTCCTGTTACTAATCTTAATTATTATTTTTAGCTCAAACCACATCATGATACGTCCACTTACACAATAAACATTGCCTTGAATACGCCCCATGTTGACTATGAGGTTCGTTATCTTGCATCGTTTTCGTCACTATTAAATATTAATATTTCCAGTGAATTATAACGTTTTTTTTTTGCTTCCTGATTTTAGGGTGGTGGATGTCGCTTTACAAGGTACAATTGTTCCGTAGTGGACACAAAATTAGGACATGTGCTGATGCATCCTGGAAAGGTACTTACTGAGGAAAATTGAGATTTGTCCTTTTGCACGCTGATTAAATTTTGTGTTATTGTTTTTTTTAAGTTGACGCATCAACATGAAGGACTTCGGATTCTGAAAGGGACGCGGTAGGTCTACCACATATGAATGATTATTGAATAGTTATTTATATGCACATAATTCCCTTCACGTTAATTGTGCATGTTCATAATTTATTTAATTTGGGTTGGTGTTGTATGTTTCAGATACATAATGATTTCATTCGTGGATCCCTAGTCTGTGTGTATCCGATAATCCGACGACTACTTTCAACGTCCTCCTCACTTATTTACTACTCGTATATTACGCTCTCTACAATCAATTAATCACGACGGCTTCAAATCAGCGGACGAAAATATTGACTCAATAAGCGGCCTCCTCATATCTCTCTCATAAATGAATCTCTTACTTACACAAATAAAGATACAAGAAAACTGGTTTGTTACTTAAATATGCGTGTATTTATGAAGGAGAATAATTGTTTGTTGGTTATTGTGGAATAATTTGCTTCATTTTGATTATGACATAAATATGCAAAGAGAAATAAAAGCAATGACAAATAATTGATACAAGTATAAAAACAGGAAACGACTTTATATATTGTGGAAGTTCAGGATTTAGAACTAGCTCTGTATTATTAACAGTATTCAACGTTATGTTATGCATATTTACTTCACAATAGGCACTTCAATCAAAATTTAAATAAAATTTACATAATTAATTACTTGGCTGCTCTGGATCTTCGGAATTAGCAGGTGGGATTCTGTCGGTAATATAAAATGATTCCCATATTGTTTCCTTTTGAGCTGCGAATTAAATACAAATTAAGGATCAGTACACTGGCTCACAATTTTGAAATGGGATGACTCACCATCGTCAATTTTATTCCTATCAATAAAGTCACAGACTCGATTCCATAGACTTGGAAACAATTTTGGATTTGGAGGCAATAGAGGTATTAACTTTTTAAGGGCCTTTTCGTCCCATTGTCTTAATTTTGGAGTCCACGATATTATACAAATTGCTTCGATTAAACTATGACTTATTAACTCTTCACGTAGGTCCCATGAATTTTCCTATACACAAAAGCGCAACAATTAGTTCATTTTGTTAAAGGATAGTAGTAAATTAAAAAAAGTGGGTTGCAGTTAGAATTATTTACCTACTGTGTTAAATATAATTAAACCTATGATTGTTGGTTGTCGGAGGTCGGACAACTTACTTTCAAAGCTTGGCGAACTTCATTTTCATCTGAATTATTTACAACCAGACCCTTCTTTAGCACCGGTATCATGTTTTTCGCTATAAACAATAGAAAGTATGTTATAAGAAGTAGGGTTAATATTGTTTTATTATTCAGCTGGATGAATGAATGCCATATGTTTTGGGCATTTATAGCCAATAGGTTAATGTACCAACGCACCTATGGATTCGGGGTCTGGGGAAATCCATGGAAGATCCTGAAACACCCAAACTTTTTTTAAACTTTTGTTGAATAATAAATCTGAAAAAAGTGAAAACGAAATACCTTGAGGGGAATACGACCTTTATCCTTAGTCGAGGTGTACAACGTTCGTACCATTTCTTCGTTTGTCTTCGATCTCAGTGCGGATAAGGACTGAGAACAGAAATCGTTCCACGCGGACTCATATTCTTCACTGCTCTGAAGTACTTCATCTAACGCTAATAACCAGTCTAAATTGCGATCATCGTGAAATATTTCTACCAAAAATTGAGCCAAGTAGGTCGACACCTAAACAATCCGAATAGATGATAAAAAAATTATTCACTTGCATACATTCCCTCCCTGCCACTTTCCCTGCTTATTTAGTAAATTATCATACCATTGGAACATCAATCATAATATCTGGAAGATCTGCGATAACACCACGAGACAGCGTAGATAAAACCTGAATCCACATAATAAATAATAAATTAAATCAATAAATGCTCAAAACATAAAAATAAAATGTCGGGATTTACCGTATCTTTAGAAAGGCTAATTTCGTTGCTTTTAATTAATGAGCGAACTAAGCTACCAGCCTTTTGTTGCTGCGGTACTTTAGACATTTCCCCAACTTGTCTGGATAGCTCATCGAGAAATTCTATTACTTTGTCGCCTGAAATTAAAGAAACATAAATTTTAAGGTATAGAACATATATGGAAATACCCAATTGATGTGGGTTAAGTTTTTCTTATGTACCTGGGAACCGTTGCTGAATCCATTCAAGAGAATCAGAAGTACTTCCCACACTACAATACTCTTCGAATATATTTTTTACAGTCTCATTAACATCAGCAGTGCCTATTTCATTATTCATCCCCGAATTTGTCTCTTTGGGAGATACGGGTCTCGAATTTTCTCTTGACGAGGTGCTGCTTGGGGCGGGGGATAATCTTCGGGGTGAGGGTGAATATGTGGGAGTGTACGGGTGGTGGTGCTGTTGTTGTTGTTGTTGTACAGGGGGCATGGAATTACGTGAATTGGGTTGTTGTTGATTGGAATTCAGTCTATCTCTGTTGTCTCTGTCTCGCTCACGATCATCAGCTGCCAGGGAATTAAACCTATTTACAAACCGTGGAGGAGTTTCATTTGCAGGCTTGCTAGGCTGCATTCCACCACTTCCTGGACCCCTTCCCCAAACGGGTGGAGCCAGAAGAGGAAGAGTTGAAGGCTGAAAAATATAATTATAGCTTAACAACATGCCATCAATAAAGATATGTCAAATAAAGTCTACTTGAATCAGCTTACCGCATCTTTTGATTTGACCGCAAATCTACTCGATTTCGTTTGGACATTCCAGTCTCCCTTTTTAGGCTGAGGAGGACCTGGAGAGAAACAATAGACGGAGTATTAGAGAGAGAACGCATGGATCCAATCGCGTGTTGCTAGTACTATAGGAAGTATAGATGACACCATTCAGATGCATTGTGAATTTTTGCTTGATAAACTGCTGGTTTGTTGGACAGGACAGGAGTACGGACATATCAAATTTGATTAAAAATATGATTACATACTGTACATAATCCATACATAAACCCATTACTACTCGACTGGAACTTGTCGAGTTTAACAAAGCTGCAGCATGTACTATTTAATACCCTATACTACTAAAAAAATATTAAAACAGACAAAACAAAGCTTCTTCAGCAAATCGAAAACTAGTCATACAAATTCCGGCCTTATTTTTTATCCCTCCCGAGAGTACGAACGGAAAAGTTGAACCAGCTTCATCCACTTTTAAGTCAACCTCATCGGATAAGGTAATAATTGTAGAGAATAATACACATTGATAGCTTTCTTAATATGGTATTAATAATCCAATCGTAAATTATCAGATTGTATTATATAGTGCTGCTTTTGATTTGGCGTAGGTTGTAGATATCAGATTGTTAATTTATAAATACAAACTCCAAAAGCGTTATAAATACCACCACTTATCAATTTTACATACCTGCCCGACTAGAACCTCTCTGGTCTAATGACGGTGGAGGAAGGTTGCTTATTTGTCTTTTTTCCTCCATTTCCTGTCTGACTGCATCTCGACGAACTTCGTCAATGGTCTTTGGAGCATTTGCATCTCTTCGTGGTTTCCAATTATTATCACGGAGTTCCACGACGTCCTAGTTATTATTATTATATTTGTAACTTGTGACTTTTTATGTTTATGCATATTTTTTCATTTTAATTCTTTACACATGTGCTTACCAGCAAGGCGAAACGGATTCTGGAAGATAAATCTTTGTTTTCAGACAGGTTGCGTAACGCACTAAAAGTTTTAGTCATCCAACCATCGTCAGGAATAAACTTTGGCATTTTGGGTGCGTTTGGATCCTCTTGTTGTTTGGGCTTAAGGTTTCTGACCATGTTCACTCTATGCGTAATTTCATTGAGTTGCTCTTCTAATTTCAACCCAACAGTAGTGAGTAATTTGCAAAGACCCTAATTTAGTTTATAATACATACATTAATAAAATTGATTACTTTTAAAATATGATCAAATCGTATAATTCTTAATACCTCGAGGTTTTCTTCATCGCTGCTCGCTAAAAATATTAGTATAAAAAGTAATTAACTTTTATTAGCTAATTTTGGATAAAAGTTGTTACAACATTGAGGTAAAACTTACACAAAAGCATTACGACGCATTCTACCATAATCTTTGGGGTCAGCATTTGTAATTTGTACAATTCTCCAATAAACCGAATATTTCCAAGAGACCTCCTTCTGCTCTGAAATTTTAGTTCCTCCAGTTCAGCTTTCAGTTGTTCTTTCTTATCATCTTCTGCTTGTTCCAACTGTATCTCTGCGTCTTTTATTTTTGACTCGTCTGTATTATTGTTTTGAAACTCTTGCTGACATTGATCAAGAATTTGCTTTCTGAACTTTTTGGAAGTCTCAAGTGATGTGTTGCACACGGCATGCACCTACAGATTTACAAAAATTATGAAAAAGTTTGAACAACTAAATAAATGCTTTAAATAACAAGAACAAAAACATGAAAAAATGAGCAAGTGTACCATTTTGGCATATTCTTTGGAAAATGACGGCTCATCTACAGCTTTCTCGAATACTACTTTAATCACTTTTGATATTCGTTCCTCTTTATCTTCTAATGGAAGGTTCATGAATTTTTGAGTAAGTTTACTAAAATTCTCGGGCGTCAGTTTATTAAGGATTCCACGTGTCTTTTTTACTAGATCCTATAAAAACACAAGACCCAAACAACCAAAATTAAGAACAAAGTAGGTGAAAAATATTGAATTTTACTGTTGCATTGTGTGCATTATTACCTCCTCAAGCGCTTCTTCAGGACTTTTCTGTTCATTTCCGCTACGTTTAATTGAACCCGGTTTCCACGCGTCTTTAGCTTTATGAAGCTTAACTTCCTCCCTCGTAAGTTCGATAACTTTTGGGGGAGGTGGTCGAGGCGGAACCATCATTGGAGGCCAACCCATCATCCCTGTATTTCCTCCCCTGTTTTGATAATTGATGTTCATCATGCCTCCAAGTCCAGGTTTGGGACCTTGACCTGGACCTCTGCGACCCATACTTCCAAATTGTTCTCTATTACTAGGCCCACCTGGCGATTTTGACATCTGCAAGAATTAACGAGCCATACCAATTATAAGTTATTTATACTAGTGAAGGTAATGAGTACGATTTTTTTTTAAAAAAACCCACATGTTGAGATCTCATCGAATTTGCGTCTTTGGCAACATCGGAAAGGACAGGTACGGTTGGCTTACTAGTTTGTTTGACTTGTTGCCCAACATTCATTAAAAATTCCCTGTCATACTTAATCTTTCCTTTAGGTTGCTCTTTATCAGTTATTTCTCCAGGTTCAATTTCACCATCAGTTGTCCCTAATCCATCAGCAGCACCACCAGCTTCCGTTCCATTGTCTAAATCGTCAACCTCCTCTGGAACCAGCTCACCATCTTCAAACTCCAAGTCCCCATTTTGGTGAACGATAGAGACCTGCTCTTCGCTTGGAGCTCGAATTTCGTTAGTAGGTGACTCAGACTTATCATTGACCGATAACACTTCGTCGTCCTCACCATCGTCTTTGCAACTCTCCTCTGTACAACCATTGTCGATTTCAATCGTGGAAGTTTCAGAATCTGGCTGAAGTGGCTGAGCTTCTTCATCTTGACATGGGCTGATGGCAATGTCTTCCTTAGTTTCTACAGTTGTGGAAAATGATTCGTCTTCATGTTGAGAGTCTGCATTTTCTTCTTCAAACGATCTGTCATCCACCTGTCCTGGAGCTGAAGTTTTTCGGGGAGTTAGATACGCTTCAATAGGGATTGGGGACACTGAAACCAAGCTGGTATCCTGAAAAATATTTTTAATTTTTCGAATGTCAAACCAAAACCCAATAAATCACCAACAGTCCCATCATGAATTAAACTAGTTATTTATTACCTTGGATTCGTCAGAGGAGGTGTTGGCAGCTGGAGTCGCAACTGCCTGTTGTGACTTACTCGAGTCAATTTGGGGGCTGTCTGGTTGTTCAGGAGCTTGAGCAGCAGGAGTTGGTGACGAACCTTGAGTTGCAGCTCCTCCCGATAATGCGCGACCTAAATTTAGCAAGAAATATAAATCAGGACCAAATACATAATGTTGACAACTATACGAGGAATATTGCTACTGTGAAAATTGAGTAATTATTGTGTATAGTTTTGTATCTGTGACACACCATTTCCCACAGATTTTGATCTAGATCTTAAATTGCGTTTCTTCTTTCTGTTTCCCATTACAAAACTTATTTGACATTACAATTTTAAATAGCTAACTCACTACTACCAATACTAGTCAATTATTAAAACCTACATTATTCTAAATAAAATAACTCCACCAGCTTGCAGAGGTGGTGTCGTGTCAACGTTTGTATCACTACACCAAATAAAGCAAGAAACGACACATATATAGCAGGCAACATTTCCTCGATTTGTGCTTAATTTAGTCATTCAATCTTGAAGCGACCGGATGCAGTCTAGATGATCTAGCCTATTGTAGTTATTTTTAGACTAATATCACTGAATGGTAAGCATCGAGCATGGCACGTTGCTGATTTAAACTACGACTTGATCACTCGGCCTGGAAAGCGGGGTTTCCAAACCCGGTAATGTATATACTTTACTTGTAAATGAGATTGTACACCACGATTTTAGTCAATTAAAAAAAAAACAACCACAAAAAAAATCAAACCAAATTATTTCTCCTTACCATCATTACTACCATCATCAGAAGCCTGTGTAATTTTCTGATAAAATTCGGCCCTAGCTTTAGATTTTGTCTCATCGACAGGTTCTTCAGAGGGAGGTTTTGCAACATTATCGACCTTCACAACAATTTCTTCAGCTACGTCAGTCCCGAGAGCGGATACTTCAGGCGGCGTTTGCGACTCCTGGATATTTACAGTAGGAACAATATCTCCATTCCCTTCTGCTACGGGTTCCTTTACTTGATTTGGTTCAGTTGTGGAGGAATTAGCGTTCGTGTCACCAATTACGCAAGCACCTAAAATAAAAATATGAATTCCAGTCGTATTTGTAGATGGGTTATTCAATTATATTTCAAAGATAACAACATCTTATTATTTACCTGTGTTTGGATCAACAATTTTGAGAATCTTTCTCTCTCGTTTCCATTCTGAAGTTGCTGCAGATCCTTCAGTCCTACTGACCATTTGTCCAGAATTTGGCGGTTGCTGCTGTTGTTGTGCTTGTTGTTGCTGCTGCTGCTGCTGTTGTTGTGGCACATGAGGTAATTGATGGTTGTGCTGAGTTGTCTGTTGAACATGCCCCCCACCCGGCGTTTGATGGACAGGGCCTTGAACTTGGACTGGGGCGTGTACTGAAGTAGAATGTATCGGAAGTCTGGGCTGCGGTGCCATATAATGCTGAGGCTGTTGTTGGTGATGATGGTAATAATTTGCTGCTGCATGTTGTGCTGGGTGATGCTGAATCATTGCGGGTTGGTTGGAGTGCTGTTTGCAAAAGAGAAAGATCAATTATAATTAGAAATTTCCAAGTTATTTTTCACAAAAATCAACGTTCTAATTAGTTGTACATACAGCTGTAGTTGCTTGGAACATTTGTTGGTTCGGATAAATAACAAAACCCCCTTGAGGTTGCGCTGGGAGTGTATATCGTGGTTGGTTCAGCTGAACGTACGTGGGGGGACCGCCGTGCATATTGGGAATCTGGGCGTACTGCACTCCCTGCGGTGAGATAAAAAACTGATTGCCCGTCGGATAACTAGCAAATGCCATTTGTTGGGGGGGATGTTGTTGTTGTTGTTGCTGCTGCTGCTGTTGTTGTTGTTGCCCTTGTTGTTGGGGAGCAGAAGGAGCGTGTGCATGGGGATGGGATGACTGGACCACGACCCCCGTCATCCCATGTGGAGGCTGATTATGATTATGAGCCTGTGTTTGTTGAGGTTGTGTCTGCCGAGGCCCATTTTGAACACGCATATTTTGGGGAGCATTGGGATTTCTTGATCCCACAGCTCCTTGTGGAGGCACGCCCTGCGGCGGTGGATAAGGCCGAGGATTATGGCTATACTGTTGCTGCTGTTGCTGCATCTGGTTGGGGTTCGGAAATCTGTGCGACGAATAACAAAACAAACCAAATGAGGAAGCATGTCAACACATACATGGAGTTTTGTTTGCCGTGACTGTTTGGTTAGAAGATAAGAGTTGACTTTGACTTGGATAATGTATAGTAGACGGGACAAGGGAGTTATAATATGACTGACCTCTTGTTATTCATCATCACAGCTCCCGACTGGTGGAAGTGGAGGATAGGAGAGGAGGAGGTGAGAGGAAGAAGCCGTAGGTGAGACGGCCGCCGGGGGAGGTGCCCGACCGGGCGTTAGATTCCTTCCGTCCGCACAGGATAATACGATCAGGGCCTGGTCACCCGGTACGAGAGGGAATTGATTAATAATAATACAATACGAACTGTCATATTATTTTTGTCGCAGTCACTTGGATAAATGTTGAATTGAAATCAGCAAGAACTATACTGTGGCTGTGGGTGAGTGTGTGAGCCTGTGACGTGAGAGTGTTTCATCACGATTCTGAAGGGATGGAGTGAGCGGAGCCACAAAACCACCAAAATATAGCCAGATGGCTCCATGGGCTACGCAGGCTGAGCTGTACCTCTCAACCCACCCCAGTAGTAGTAAAATGAGGATCGTCTCAAAATACCTCGTCCAGCCCATATAGTCGTCCACTCGATCGTCAACTATACTTTCTCACCTTCTGCACTATCCTAACTTTACTCTTGTCATTTTAGTACTCACCCTAGAGGCTGCTGCTTTCTCCACCCAATCTGAGATTCTTGAGAAGAAAATATCCAAAGAGATGATGTCACTCTGAGGTGAGAGATTGTTGCACAGATTTTAAAAAAATCACTTAAAATACAACTGACCTTTCCACTACGATGAAGAAAAAAAAATCTTCAGACCTCCAATCTGGAGGAATTTTCAGTACGGCCTCAATGGTTGTCTTGACAATAGACACCAATTGGAAAATTACGATTGAAACGAAATAAATATCTACCAATTTACCTCCTCCCTCCTGCTGGATGCAGACCAACGACTCAGACGAAGTATGATAAGTACCACTACTAAATAATAACAACTATTTAACAGTGCTGACGATTCGATGGACGCGTGGTGGCGAGAAGTAATGAGATGTGCGTAGTTAATAATGAGTTTTGGCCACATCATTGTTGTGCACACAAGTCACAAGTTGTGTGACTACCAGAGTAGTCCTCCATACATATATAGTCCGTAAATATATTTAATGAGTAGGGATATAAATAGACATGACCTTTAAACTAAAGGGATGGAGTGGATTCCTGGGCTGGGAACTCTGGCGAACCCTGAACTTGGGAGGGGCGGATACTCAACTACACGTTTCCAGTGGATGCGAGGCGAGGGGGGTCGTCGGAGGTACCATGTGCGACCTTTGCCGCCCCTCCCCCCACCTGGCGACACACATCCCATCAATCAGCCCTGCCTGAGACAGTGGGACGCCGCCACGGAAAACCTCCCCCAAATCAGCATCCAAGACTATCGAATCGACCACGATAAGATAAAAAGCATGCGACTGCCGAGCGATGACCCAGAGACGGGCTGGGTGTTGGGATTGCCAAGAAGCTGGAAACCCCAGTCATGTCGAGATGTGAAGAATGGAAGGCCCAACTTTTGGGGACATTTTGACTATAGTCCAACTAGTATGAAGTGTAAAGAAGACGAGGCTAAAACCAGCAAAAAAGGATACCCCTTTCTTGGAATTTCATCCTTATCGTCGTCAAACAGGGATAATAATAGTAATAATAAATCAGAATTAACAGATAAAACGGTGACGAATGCAATGATCATGGACCACGAAGGGTTTCAGAGGGGATATCGAGTCCCTCCTTCTGCAGTTTTCGACTTTCATTATGATTCATTTCCCGAAGACTGTGAGATTGTGGACGAGTACAAATATGAGAAAGACTTTGCTCCTCCCATCTCCCCAAGTGTCACGGACAGTGAAACCCCTCTAGGAGTTCTAGATGAAGTTAATAATAATGTTCAGGTGGTTTACCATTGATAGTAATTATCATAATATAATAATAAGATTATTTACGAGTGAGCATGAACTTGTATGTATAGAGGCATCATGGGCTATGCAAACTTATTAATCAGCTATTGATGTACTGTGATCAAAAATTATCTTATTTACGCGATTGTCCCCCATGGCACAGAGTTCAAATTGGCGTCCCAGCTCTCAGGATTATACAAGCGATTTACACACTATGTTATCTCACTGGAGTCAGGAATCATTGTTTGTACGCATTTTATTTCTTAGCGTCGCATTTGTCAATTATCTTCATACAAATATTGAGCGTACAAATTTTGCGTTAATTTTCAGACAAAATGAGAGACCGTTTTGTACATTTCAGAAGAGTACAAACTGGCGCAACCTCATTCCCTTTTTGTTAGCTTGCATTTTCTTTTTAATTTTACCTGTATTTACCAATTAATTAAAATTAATTCAAGCTTATTTTGTAATTCAGAGCAATATATTTTGGAATAGCACTTCCAGCAATTCCTCTCCTACCGACGCCTTCTTCATTGCACTGGTATAGAACTTTCCGTTCCTTTAATGCTGTCCTATTCATCATTCAGGTGAGAAATTTGGAAGCACGACAGCACACAAAACAATGTTTATTTTATCAACGCCCTTAATGATGGCATTTCTTGACCTTTCCTTAAAGACAATGGCAATGGCTCAAATAAGCACGGCTGTCTATATGCAGAACCCTCCAGGAACACAGCGACTCATTTATGAATACCAATTTGGCCTGATTTTCACCAGTCTATTTTTAATCGTGTACTTTAAAGTAAAGTATGACAGACAGGTGGAAAACATGCCCTACTGGAACGTCTTTACAGGATGCAGAGTGAACAAACCCTATTATTGGACTTCTACCTATTATGGCGACAATGATACCAGGGGTTATCTCGTGTATTCTAGTATGATCCGTCAGTTTCATGACATTTTTAGCCAGGCTCGGATGGTACAAACATGTGAAAGTCGGATCGCTCTCCCAGGAATGCATAAATAAGTAACAAATAGTAATATTTAAATGCTTGCAGAATGATCGCGTCTGGATGAGAAATCATGCCCTTTTGGATTTCTTCATTCTCGGGTATTACCTAGTTTCGGGGGCATTGTTGACCACGCTGTGTCAGATGAGCCCCTGGCTGAAGGACGTCGTAGGATTTTTCGTTTTTAATTTTGCACTAGGCATTGGAATGTCTGTTGTAAGTCTCGTAATTATTATTTCTACACATGCAATCTCAGCAATTAATTTAATGTTTGTGCATGTAATATCTCGGCAGTTTCAATTGTATTGGATGCACCACATCTTTTGCAAACAATCTTTCAATATGTATCATTGGGGTGACATTTTTATGGTAGCCACGATCACATAAATTGTATATGTGCAGTTTGTAATTGGCAAATAAAATATTCGGAGGAGGTAAAAATAAGTTTACATGCGGAAAGTCGCGACATCATTTTATTATTCGCATTCGTGTCTAGAGAAAGGGGCGAGTAGAGGATTTGGGCGAGAGTGAGGGCGGTGAGGTCCAAATGCGGACAAATCATCTCTGACCAAGTAATTGCATTGCTGTGAATCTGTGCAGATGAATAAGTGTCAGTCTTTTTGGTGGTGACACTGCTCATGTCGGTTGTCGGTGGACTCATCATCAGCAGCATTTAATTATTTGGATAACAATTAGCATTTCTTGGCATCTAGAATTCCACGGCTACAGCGGCATTGCTCCATTAGTCCCAGGTATACAAATTATAACTGCAAGCTATTAGTATTATTAATTAAGTAAATAGGAGTATTACTCTTGATTTTTATCCCAAATTTATTATCAGCATGTATGGCTATCATCAAGTTTTATTTTATCGGTTTAGGTAATGAACCAATATTGAAAAGTGCAAAGGTTTTGAAAGGACGAGACGACTAGGGCAACGCTTGGAAAAGAGCTTTAGTTCAGTGAAACTATAAAATTTGATTGACGAGATTTGGCAAAATTATGGCTGCGGATCCTACCCTTGGTGCTACTCCTACCTGGACTGACACTAACAGTGCTAGTGACGACTATGGTAATGAATGATAACTTTAACGACAATATCTTGACCACCATGTTCATTAAAAAATAATATTGTTATGTTGCTGATGGGTTTGTACAGATTCAGGAGCTCCTAATGCTTTCACCAAATTTACCAGATCGATTGGAGTCAAATACCAGCTCTTACTGGACAAGTGGACCCCTCATGCTAGATCCAGATGGATCTTTGCAGTCTCGCTAATCATATTGTTTATGCTTAGGATTATCTTTGCTCAGGTACTCTGTTCAGTAGTATAGAACGTGCGGCAGTAGTAGTGGGTTCAACTAAGTACATATGTATATATCTTTTAGGGATGGTATATCATTACTTACGCACTAGGAATCTATCATTTGAACCTGTTCATCGCCTTCTTGACACCCAAGATCGATCCTGCTTTGGACTATGAAGGTATAACGAAAAACAACACAAAAGTACTGATTACTGATTAATGATGTGATTGCCATTGAAGCAAAATTCGCTTCCCCTTAGAAAACGAATGACTTGTTGATATGTATTATAATTGTATATTGAATTTTGCAGACGATGGCTTAGATCTTCCAACAAGGTCGACCCAAGAATTCCGCCCGTTCATTCGTCGGCTACCAGAGTTTAAATTCTGGTTAGGGATGGTCAAGTCAACTTTGATTGGGTTGTTTTGCACCATTTTTGACTGCTTCAATGTCCCTGTGTTTTGGGTAAGTATTCGTTCTAATTTTATAATATTTACAAGGTTAATTAATTCATACGAGGGAAGAAATATAATATGTATCGTATAAATTTCAGCCAATTCTGGTCATGTACTTCATAACGCTGTTTTGTATAACAATGAAACGACAAATCAAGCACATGATCAAGTACAAGTATATTCCGTTCACTCATGGAAAACCAAAGTATCAACATCCTCCACCTACGACATCCTAAGTTTTGTAGGGTTAAGCTGTCAAATAGAATATATAACTTTTATTTATACTATTGCATACGAATCGATATGAAATATATAGGATATTACTGTATAATGATATGTAACCATTGCTCGTTAATGTAGTTTAATAAATAATAAGTATTCACACCCATTTCGGTGGTGATGTGCACCGTTATTATTATGATAGATTTCAGTCAAGTTCTTAAATGCTTTAATAAAAATTTCGTAAATCATTTTAAAATTTTCTGACGAATTTCCCATATTATTCATAAAGATGACTCTGTGCTAAACAAAACAAGGACAATGTTATTAAGAGCGTTAATATTTCCATTCATTCCTCCGTGGACCAAGAGCAAGATTCCGGTTGACTTTGTCGCACAGTGCGTGTGCCGGGTTGTAACTCTAGCTCAGAATTTCTCTTATGCTGTTTGACCATATGGACTTTTTCGGGTAGTCATTCATAGGGCTGCAAGTTGGTCCGGAAAAGTATCGATTTATTCTGCCCAATATAAAATGCTCTGCTGTTCTCTCCCCACCACACTCCGAACAAACCGAGACCGAATTGGCAAATCGGTATCTCCAACATCCCCGTTGCTCTACCCGTTCTTCTTCTTGTAGGTCTTGTTAGTCACACGAATTTGTACAAAGATCTTGCGCGTTGACCAGACACTGGGAGTGACTGTTCTTTAAGTAGACTTAGAAAATTTAATCATTCAGTTACGCCAGTTTGTGCCATTTCACCATCGACACCTCCCCTTGAACGTACCACCCCCAAGGGCTCTCCTGTTCAAACATGTCGTCTGTCAAAGTTGCCGTCCGAGTGCGACCTTTCAACAACAGAGAAATCACGAACGAGAGCAGTATCATTATTTCAATGGAAGAAACGTCCACTTGTAAGTTTTTTGTATGTAACTTAACTGCAGAAGTGCATAAGCAATCAGAGTATATTATCCGTTGTGTCAATTTGCCATCCTTTCAGATATTACAAACCCAAAACAAAGTGGGAAAGATGCGACAAAATCTTTTAACTTTGACTACTCTTACTGGAGTTTTGATGTAAGCTAATAAATAGTGGGGTGTGAGACCGCATTGTCCAGAAAGCATGCTACATGAAAATATGCTACACTATGCGGTATCTAATATTTTTCTAGACCTCTGATGCACATTTTGCAACTCAAACACAAGTGTATGAAGATATTGGCGAAGAAATGCTGCTCCATGCCTTCGAGGGCTACAATATTTGCATTTTTGCATATGGCCAAACAGGGTCTGGCAAGTCTTACACTATGATGGGAAAGCAGGAAGAAGGAGAAGAAGGAATTATTCCGCAAATGTGTAAAGATCTGTTTAAAAAAATCAACGACGATGACGAAGGTCTACAGTTTTCCGTAGAGGTTGGGGAAATGAAACTCATTTATTTTATAGTGTCATATTTTATAAGCATTCATTTTTTCGTGTTGCTTCATGTATGATAAATTTAAAGGTCAGCTATATGGAAATTTACTGCGAACGGGTCCGAGACTTGCTAAATCCACAAAATAAAGGCAACTTAAGAGTTAGAGAGCATCCACTTCTAGGGTACGAGTTTTTTTATTCAATAACAAGTATACTAATATAACAATTTTTTTTAGTTCATCAATACTCATTTTGCTTTGTTTTTTGCGACAAAATCTTTGTTGTATTGTGGTAATTCGTGGATTTTGATTTTGACGTGGATGTGTCCCAAAAACTCTTTCTTATATTTCTAGGCCTTATGTTGAAGATTTGAGTAAATTGGCAGTAACGTCTTACAGAGATATTCATCAATTAATGGACGAAGGTTTGTTCCGAATTCACATATTAAAGCAATAACGTCTATGACGCTAATTTTTTTTTGATTGAGTGATAATTTCAACAATTTTACCTTTATGAATACACATGTTGATATGCACATCTTTCCTTTTCTAGGAAACAAAGCTCGAACGGTAGCAGCCACAAATATGAATGAAACCAGTTCTCGATCACATGCAGTATTTACAATAATTTTAACTCAGAAACGATTAGACTTGGTTACAAATTTGACTGCTGAAAAGGTGCGTTTATACTCTTGGAAAAAGTGTTATCAAATCTAGATAGATAATATTACCTACATGCATTTTAATTAAAATTGAACTGCTCATGTAGGTTGCAAAAATTTCGCTAGTAGACTTGGCTGGAAGTGAGCGTGCAGATTCCACAGGTATTATTGAATATCGAGAGTATTGTTGAGTATTATTAATTATTAATACTATTATTGGATTCCACAGGAGCGAAAGGAACACGCTTGAAAGAAGGGGCAAACATTAACAAAAGTCTCACAACTTTAGGTAAGTACAAATTTTACTACTTTTAGCATTTAATTAAGTGGCATAGGGGCTGGAACACTTGGAACTTCTTCCTGCTTGGGTATGAATGTGCCTTCCTTGTGTTTGTATGCAATCATGGAAAAAGAGAAGCTAAAAGAAAGTAGCTTTAAGCTCCCAGAAATTTGTCAAAACCGTAACCCATTTAAGTACCTGTTAAAGTTGTACTTTTAAATAGCAAGAATTTTGATGGTGTAATTTTTTATTTATTTTTTATTTTAGGGAAAGTCATTTCCGCTTTGGCAGAGAATTCGGTAAAACACTTGATTACCTTGTAATAATAAATTCGTCAGTTTGTTGAATAGTTCAATGAGTATAATGTCGCTTCAACAGTCGGCCAAAAAAAGTACGTCGTCGTCTGGCAAAAAGAAAGCAGAATTCATACCAGTAATTGATATATGTACCTATGAATCATAAGAAAACTGGGGGAGAATGTTGCCATTTATCGTATTTTATTTTTTATTGTAGTACCGAGATTCCGTTTTAACATGGTTGCTCCGAGAAAGCCTTGGTGGAAACTCAAAGACTGCAATGATTGCTGGTAAGTACGAACAACGAAAAGCACAACATTATGCAAGATTACAGTTCAAACAATATTTTTATTTTTCTCGGAGCAGCCATTAGCCCTGGTAATAACTTCAATGGCACTACATGTAAAATGTTTAATGGTATTCATGTGTATCTCATCCCTCTTTATAGCTGACATTAACTATGAAGAGACGCTAAGTACACTAAGGTACAAGATAATTAAATAAGTGTTATGTAAGTCTCTGGAATTTGAATTTTGAGCAATGTAGTGTTATTTATTCGTCTTCCTTCAGGTATGCGGATCGTGCGAAGCAAATTGTTTGCAAGGCTGTGGTGAACGAGGACGCTAATGCCAAACTGATCCGAGAACTGGTTAGTAAAATGGTTAAAAAAAATTGGAATATGATGAATGAATAGAGAGAATTAGACGGTATCTTCGTCATCATGGTCATCCTCACTGTCCACTCATAACTAACTACTCAATGTTTCCCTATTAATACAGAAAGACGAAATTCGACGTTTGAAGGAGTTGTTGGAAAAGGAAGGAATTTTTATGGAGGGTGGAGGAGACATGATTCTGGGTGATGGAGAAATTGAAGCCTTTCAAGGAACGAGCAGTGAAACCAACTCTAATTCCACACCGGAAAGAACAAACTCGGTGAAAGCACTTCGAGGACGACGAGGAATGAATAGCACGAGCAGTATTGCAGAAGAGGCAGTTGACCAACTGCATGCCAATGAAAAATTGATTGCAGGTAAATATTACTCCATTGATATAGAAATACATACGTTTGTACTCGTAAAAGTTGTTTACGAAAAATATCCCCACACAACTGCCACGTATATCCGTACCAAAATTCTTACATGTTTTTCACAAATAAATGTACAGAGTTAAACGAAACGTGGGAGGACAAGCTCAAACGGTAATAAACACAAATATATTAATACTCTGCTGCAACTCGCCATTTAACCAAGTTCGCATTTTACTTTCTCAAAGTGCTATATCGATGATGTTCATTAATAGTTTTTTTTCTCTATCGCCAAAAGAACAGAGCAAATTCGTATGCAAAGAGAAGCTGTGTTTGCAGAAATGGGCGTTGCTGTTAAAGAAGATGGTACGTACATATTTCTTAGTCCCAATTCCTACTTATGTATTCCGAATTACGTATATTTATTATCATGTATGGAAAGGATGCAGATATTATGAGAATTTACTGGTCCTTGGGGAATTTGATACAAACTGGTCATTTAAATTCAAGTGATTTTGAGATAATATTGCTCATATTATTATCTACAGGCGGTACTGTTGGCGTCTTTAGTCCGAAAAAAACTCCTCACTTGGTAAACTTGAATGAGGACCCGTTCATGTCGGAATGCTTGGTGAGTGAAAACCAGTGTGACACATTATATGACGGTACAAATATCGACGAGCTCTTGCCATTTGTTTAAAAGTCTTAGAAAATTGTCAATTGTTATATTTAATTTTAAACAATGCAATGGAAAGCATACATCTAAACGCATATGAAAAATTATTTCTATTCTTGATATGCCACAAAGTTCGCTTATGAAATCAAGCATTTGATGTGTGCCCATATGTTTCAGCTGTATTACATTAAAGAGGGCATCACCAAAGTAGGATCTGCTGGGTCGGACATTCCTCAAGTAAGTGATACAACGTTATTTTTTAACAACCCGATCTATTTATCTTATTCTGATCACATGCGACATTCGTTAACAGGATATTCAGCTTTATGGGGCACACATACAAGACGAGCATTGCAACTTCCAGAATTTAAATGACGTCGTCACACTGATTCCACTTCCCGGAGCCGAGTGTTACGTCAATGGTCGACAGTTGGACTCCCCATTAGAACTTACTTCCGGTTCAAGAGTCATTCTTGGCAAGAATCACGTTTTCAGATTTAATAATCCCAGTCAAATTGCAAAGAAAATGATGGAAGATCCTGAAGAAGTTCATCCAGATTCGGAAAATGTTGTCAGTGACTGGAACTTTGCGCAAATAGAGCTACTTGAGAAACAAGGTAAGTGGTGAAAGTACCTTTTTTGTTACATACGTATACAGTTTGCAGTAACATATCACGTCGTAAGTCTCAATGGGATTTGATTAATTTGGAGTCATGGTGTGACTCGGAATTTCAATAAGATTGAATGAATCTATTTTCAACACATTTTATTGATTTCATGCTTTCTCCATTGCTACATTTGCATACTTTTTATAGGTATCGATTTGAAGTTGGAGATGGAAAAGCGGTTGGTGGCCTTGGAAGAACAATTTAGAAAAGAAAAACTGGAGGCTGACACTGCTTTCGAGCAACAAAGAAAAGTAAACTATAAAATATGCACTATACATAAATACACACGGCTTTCTCCAAAGAATCCTCACATTGCCCCATTTTAATCTACTTACCAATCTAACTAACTATTGACTAGCATGTTGATGCTGGATGGAAACTGACCTGGCTGATCTGTGTGTGTATAACACCCTTTGACCTTTTTTGCAGGACTACGAGGCTCGCATAGATGCACTACAAAAGCAAGTTGAAGAGCAATCCATGACCATGAGCATGTACAGCAGCATGTCGGCTGCCACAAATATGGAGGATTCTCACATTATGCTTTCCAGCTCCTATTTGAGCCACGTTGACGAGGGGGATGATGCCATTGGTATAGATTTTATATTGCATAGGTCACAATTGGCAATTTTTTCATTTCATTTGCTTTTTCATCAGCAGAAAATGATTGTGAAGAACTTGTTCAATGGTCAGAAAAGGAATACAACATGGCAATAAAAGCATTCCGCAAATGGCGATCTCATAGGTTCACCTCAATACGCGATGATTTGTGGGGAAATGCTATTTTCTTAAAGGAAGCCAATTCAATATCTGTTGAGCTAAAGAAAAAGGTACTTCATATCAAACGATCTGTCCAGTCAGTTACTTCATTTATAATTATACATACAGCGACAATTGCATAAATATCATTTTATCAATTGCGTAGGTTCAATTCCAGTTTACATTATTAACCGAAACTTTGTACTCTCCCCTTCCTCCTGAGCTGACTATAATGAACGAGAGCAAGAACAGTTTATTCGACGAAGATGATGAGCATTTTGAAAAAAATAACAAGACAACGGTGGCTGTTGAAGTCCAGGATATGAAAAACGGAGCAATGCATTATTGGAGTTTGCAAAAATTAAGGTAAGCTTTATAAACGACGATGAAGATGTATTTCTGGAAACATTTTTGAGAAACATTTATGTGTCACCTAAAAAATGTTTATGAATGCTAATGTGTTCATAGACGACGATTGGAGTTGATGCGAGAAATGTATCAAAACCTAGCTGACGATATTTCACCAACCACTCCTGGGCAAACTCTTTCTATAAATGGGAATCAAGCACAGCTTCAAGATGGACCCAACGACCCATTTTATGATGTACGAACGAGTAATTGTAACCATTATATAGCTGTCTCAGACAAGTAAATCTTAAAGCTAAGACATTAATACTCGATCGTATTCCTTTTTCTCTAGCGTTTTCCATGGTTCAGACTCATTGGTCGGACTTATGTGTACCTTTCTAACCTGCTTTACCCGGTTTCATTAACTCATGACCGAGTACCTGTCGTAAACGAACATGGTGACGTGAAAGGTATTGCGTCGAAATGAATTTTGTATCAAATTAATCTCATCTTAATCATGAAACTCGATTATAATTTATTCATAAATATATTTCAAACAGGGTTCGTGAAATTAATTGTCCAATCGGCAAAACCTGAAGAGCCCGACAACTCCATGGTCAGCACAGAAGGAAACTTTGTAGTACGTCAAAGTGCGAGTAAGTATGAGATCAAGTCTTAATAGAAATTAAGAAGAAATTTAGAAGAGTGAATAAATGTTTCTCATTATTTTCGTCCCGTTTCCAACATTCATTCGTTCCCTTCGTTCATTTTAGGAATAAATTTTGACGATGAGTTCAACGATGAAGTGCACAGGGAAAATATCGGTCCAGATCATCTACCACATTTACAAATTGGGAAGGATTTTACGTTCCGTGTCGTGGTTGTTAGCGCTGTTGGCATTGACCAGAACTTCTCGGATGTTTTCATTCAATTCAAGTGAGTGGCGTTTCAGGATGGTGACTTTCTCTGCTGTGTAGAGCACAGGTTACATAAATATCAATATTGATATTGTTTAATTGCTGAATATTTTCAGATTTTTGAACAAGAATAATGAGACGTTTTCTACCGTAAGTAGATAAATTCTAACTTGTGTATAGGATGCTCTTTAAACTTTAGCTTTAGGACAATTCTTCCTAGAGCTAAAGCACGCATCCATGCAGAATAATGCCACTAATAATAGCTTAACCACGCCCTGTGTTTTTCAGGAACCTGTAAAAAATCCAGGAAAAGGAGTTCCAATTCAAATAGCATATCATCAAAATGTGAGAACAAATGCATTTAGGAACTATTTATTATCTATATGGCTTGATCGAAATGTACATAAGTTAAGTACTAATTTTAATTGCCTCATGCAGATTACGGTGGCTGTGACAGAACCTTTCCTCGACTACATAAAATCTCACCCTATTCTTTTTGAAGTTTTTGGTCATTATCAGGTAGGTCACCAAGTCATCCAGCTTTATTCTTTGTTGAGTAAGAATCTCTGCTCTCAATTTTGTAGTTGCATCCCCTGCATAAAGACTCAAAACAAGATGGAGTGTAAGTATTTGAATATATAATTAAATAGGATTCAATTTAGCCAACGTACATATTTCATGCTAAATTCCAAATTATAATATGTACAGATTATCCACACCATCTCGCCATCCTCCAAGACGATTACAACAACTTCCGCCTATTCCTATTTCCGCTCCCGTCAGATCCAGCAAATACCCAATGTGTGCAGCCCTCACAAACATTTCCACTGTGTTATCTCCATCAAACTCTATATCATCTTCCCATGTTGCTAAAAAATTGGAATTGCTGGTTTGGTTCGAGATTTGTGAACTGGCTCCAAGCGGAGAATATGTTCCATGCATCGGTAACTTACATGAAATATGCACACCCAAACCTAACAGGTTTCATGAATTTTATAATCGAGCAAGGTATGTTCAATTTTTACAGTTAATCATGGAGACACTAACCCTTGTCGAGGAGAATTCATTTTACATCAAGGAATTCAGCGTAGAATTAGAGTAACGATTGGTAAGGAGCATAATAATGAAATGTGAGGTGTTTGTTAATCAAAGTAACAATTGTTTTATTTTAATTGTCCACGAAGTTCACGAAACTGATGAAGGCAAGTCACAATTATATCACTATCGCTAATAAAATAATAAACCCAAGTCACTATTAAGTCATTACTTACAATGCGATGGTGTAAAGTGTAACCCTCCGATTTGGTTGAAATTTTGAAAATAAGTGGTCCATGTCAATACAACCAACGTTTCTTCAGGCGGTTTGTGCGATGGTCAGAATTTGGCAAAATATTTGAGGGTAAAGTTGAAAAATGTGTAATTTTTGGCACGGGAAGAGAATGGAAGTTGAGTTTGCTTCCTCCGTCTGGTAAAAACCGCCCGTTTTTCAACTTTGACCTCAAATATTTTGCCAAATTCTGACCATCGCACAAACTGCCTCAAGAAACGTTGGTTGTATTGACATGGACCACTTAATTTCAAAATTTCAACCAAATCGGGGGGTTACACTTCACACCATCGCATTGTTAGTAGAGATTTGATATATTTTAACTTATCGGTTTATTAAATTTTTAGACGTTAAGTGGAGAGATGTCCGCGAAGTCTTGGTTGGTAAGTGTCTTATTGTTCTAGAATATTCCGAGAATGCATGCAGCATCCTTACCAATACTTGACATACATAAGTAATACGCTTACTAATGAATTTGGCGCAATATTAAAGGTCGAATTCGAACAACTCCGGAATCCAATTACGGCGATGATGGCTTAGAAGAAGAGACTGACGACCACGTTTTAAGTTTAGGTTTATTTCCTGGTGAATATCTCGAATGCTTAGGAGAGGATAGATCAATCTTTAGATTTGAGGGTGCTTGGGACTCCAGTTTGCATAACTCGCCTTTGCTAAACCGGTCCACAAACTCTGGTGAACATGTATTTTTGACAATTTCTGCATATTTAGAGGTATGTTTTTAAGGATCAGTTTCTATAAGTATTTGGCCTTAATTTTTAATAAGTACATATTTATTAACAAAGCTGGAGAACTGTGGGCAGCCGGCAATAGTTACAAAGGATTTGTGCATTCAAATTCATGGGAGATCAGGCCCGAGGTCATTCAAACAATTCTTCTCCAGTCACACTAGAAATCCTCCAGATGCGAATCGCCTCACAGGACTCTATGACCTAGTCCTTCGAAGAGCTACGGATGCCAGTGAGTAAATCTAATCTCCGCATAAAATCTGTGGTTTCCTAAATTAGCACGTAATAAAAACCTACATACAATAAAAGGTTGTGGGCGAAGCTGTCGTCGCTTTCGTCGCGTATTGGATACGAGCACAGCTTATGTACGTGGAGAAGAGAATTTGTGTGGTTGGAGACCCAGAGGAGATTCTTTGATATTCGATCACAAGTGGGTACTCTGTTGTGGACCTGTTTTTGGAATTTGTATTATGTATGTGTACATATTAGAATTGAATTTGTCGACCAGGTGGGAGCTTGAAAAGATAAGACGGATTGAAGAGGTGGAGAAAGTTCGCCATGCACTCCTACTCAAGGACGCCCTCGTTCCTCCCAACAAAGAGGTCAACTCCTTCAGACGCAGCATTTGTAGCAGCAAAGAAGAAAAGGTACACACAATTTTAATCCGAAGTATACATTTGCGTAGTGAAAGCTTGATAGCTGATGATGTCCTGTTTTATAGGAGGTTTGCAATTTAGCAGCGAAAGAAGGGCGAACTCATGTGGTGACAATGAAGTCAGCCTCAGTTGAAGAGAATCTCACTCAGGATCAAATCGACTTGCTTCTCAAGTTTGTGAATCTTATGCAAGACAAAATGATAAAGGTTCTTGAACTATTAAATACGCATAGCTCTGTTAGTAACTACAACTCTGCTACTTGCTAAATTTATTCAAGAATTGAATTTGTGTACAGAATTTCCAAGATAGAGATTTTGATCGTAATACAATCATGGATGAAAATAATGAGGATGGGAATGTGGAAGGAAAATCTCTTACGCCTTCACCTTCTGCAGAGTATGCACTATCGATAATTTGACGCCTCATTATTTCAATTTTAACGTAGATGCGTACTTTTTAGGAATCTTATTGCTTCCCACATGGGTCAACGGGACACGACCCTAGAACGACCTCGCTCACTAATTCTCACAGGAAACTTTAACATAAACTCATTAATGCCACCTCAATCCAAAACCACTCCATCGTCTCCGACCAAAGAGTATTTTCTCTTTATTCCTGAGATTGAAGAAATAAGAATCAGCCCCATCATTTCTCGCAAAGGTTACCTGCATTTATGTGATGATAAGCGAGGAGTGTGGAGAAAGCGGTGGATTACAGGTTAGCCTTTCTTATTTTTTTCTCGTATGGGAAAAGTGAGATTCACTGCATTTCTCTCGCCATGAGGTGTCTCACACGGTACTTGAGCTGTTTGTTGCTTATGATATATAGTGAGACGACCACACGTATTCCTGTTCCGTGATGAAAAAGATCCCGTTGAACGAAACGTGATTAATTTGGCGAATTCTCAAGTTATTTATGACCCAGATGCTGTAGGACCACAAGCATCTATTTTTACGTGAGTCTGCTATAAAAAAGCTTTAGATGAATGCCATACATTTGTGGATATACTTATAATAATTAATATGCTAACATTCTCAACATGAAATAGAATCGTAACGAAGGAGAGGACTTATACCCTTCAACCACCACAGGTAAAAAAATTGATGCTAAATATATTAGTTTGGGGTATAATGGAATTATCGTCTCGTTATTACAGGATAAGGACGTCCTTGACTGGCTTTATGCAATTAGCCCATTACTCGCTGGACAAATTCGGTATATTATTATTGTTATTAAATTTCTTTTCTCCTTGCGCAAACTGAGAATAAAAATAAAAACTATTAAATCTCAGATCACGGATGGCTCTCCAGAAAGCGGCCGAGAAACAGCCTTCGCCTGTGACTGATTGTATCAATTCAATGTAAGCTACATGGAACGACATAACGAGAAAACGAGTTATTAATGCGCTACACATTCCATAATAATAATAATTATTATATTTATTCTCCTCAACTACTCTGGCTTAGCGCTAATGAAGCTAATCATAATCAGTACTTTTAAGACAGAATTTACGAGTTGTGAATTGCATATTTTAATTGAGTTGTGATGTTGTGATGTTGACGATGTTGTTAAAAATAACTTTAATTTTGCCACATGCAAAATAAATATTTACTTATGCAAACTCCTTATAAGCGAGCAAGCAACGTGTTTTATTAGTATGTTAGTTATACATTAAATTATTATTATTACAGGGAATCGTATGCATGGATGTGGGTATGGGCGCCGAGAACATCCTAGAAATAGTATTCAAAGTCCAGTGTCAATGTGCGAGTATGTACATTATTTTAGCATATATAGTCCAAATAAACGATTATCGTATTTGGGCTGACTCCCCGCATCGATAACAGCGACAATCCGCTGGTTCTTTAAGAGAGATAACGTATGTCTCCTTGTCCCCCGTCAACAATTTCCCGTCCTGATCATAGCATTTTGTCAACGTTATTTCTCTCGAACGAAGATTCGATTCTCGGCAACATTGACAGTCCTGAAAAATTTTAAAATTTCAGAAACCCAGTCAAAATGGTTTGCAGTGTGACAAATCTCAAACTGCTTTCACTCTGTAACTCACCTTCATGAAACCAGAATGAGATACAGCTGACGGTCGAACTTTCGAAGCGCAACTTCCTTCACATGTAATGATCTTAATAATTACCCTGATGCACTCAATTTATGCAATCAGTGTAAGGTTAGTAAATCAAGTTCTTACCTTCACATTTGCTCACGGCAACCTCCCCTTCGCATGTCCTTTCCATCTGTCCATTCGCAGCGTAGATTTCTAGAAACATTTACAGATTATTTGCACTCGATTATTTATGAACAAATGCACTTTTTCAAAAGGAAACTTGGTAATATAACCTTTGATGATATGAATGGTGGATGGGAGCGTCTCACAAGCTGAAGTCCCTTGAACTTGAACATCAGCAACTGCCAGAAGTAGAAGGGGAAAGATGAATCCCAATGACATTTTGTAGGATTTGATTATACTGGTTGGCCAAACTTTTCACAAATATTAACAAGTTAGTTAAAACTATCAAGATTTCCAGCACAATCTGACTTACGAAATACTTGCTTTATCTTTGACGAGTTAATTTAGGCTGGAAATCTTAGTCGCATCTTGTCTCTCAAAGTTTCAACTCAGCCAAGTACAATAGCCCAGTGATAATTATGGACGGGTTATTGGGTCGTCCCACTGGAACTGTCGACCCGTCGCCACTTGGCCCAGGTTTTCATCTCTTTTATACTGGCTGGCTGTTGTTGATGGGATGATAAAATATATTATGTACACGTAGTTTATACCCTTTTTTGATAAAAGGTCAAGCCTACAATCGTGTCACCCACCACGCATTGATCTCATCAGAACTCCAAAACATGAGAATCGTTTTAGCCGAAATACAGTCGTTTCAGTAATGAGTCCGCTGTGCAATATCATAATGGAGACGCAGCAAGGGTCCCTCCCAAGGGAGCAGAATAAGCATCAAAGATTTATTACTATTTTTATTTTTATATAACAAAGTAACTCGTCTGAGTAGCATTTATCAATGTCAAAAGTCAGATACTAGGAAAACTTGCTTTCTCCATTTCTCAAGTTACCTCATTTTCCTATATACGAATACGACTACCACTACCGACCGAGTACACTACAATAATAATCATAGAAACTTAAGACTCTCTTGGATGACACGTTGGCGCGTAATCTCACTTTACCCCTATCCAATGTATTTAAATGAAAAAGTCTAAAATCGAATCAACTTAATGAGTTTTGAGATAAATGCAACTTTTGATACTTTAATGCAAATCTAATTTTTGGTACTACAAACAAGTCGTTTTGAAAAAAATTAAAAAATTCGTTTTTGCAGAAATTTATTGTAAAAAGATGGCAAATAAATTTATTAATTTTTTTCCAAAACGACTTGTTTGTAGTATCAAAAATTAGCTTTACATTAAAGTATCAAAAGTTGAGTTTATCTCAAAACTCATGAAGTTGATTCGATTTTAAACTTTGCATTTAAAAACATTGAACAAGGGCAAGGTGAGAAAAAAACTCTATGACGGTGTAACAAGAGCCTTAATATTACGATAATAATACTACGGCAGAAAGCAGAGCGAAAACCACATTTCTCACGTTGCTGCCAACTCCAGCATGTCTTGTATTTTCATGGCAGAGATTAACAACTGTTCAACTTCAACGTCAACAGAAGTCAACACTGATTTGGCCTATCAATATTAATCTTTGTGAATATTTCGATTTGGGCAGTTAATTCGATTAATCCTGCAATTAATTTCACTTGCTCGACCTATAAATCTCATTGCGTATTCACTACAAATTTCGAGGTATTTAATTCGCTATTGATGGTTCTGGAGTAGTTTATAAATAGGTAAACATTTAATTTCTTTTTTAGGCGTAGTGAATATTTTCCTAGGGAAATGGATACAATTCAAAGTGAGAACGCTACCGTTCAAGAAGATCTTGATCGGCAGAACATCGATGCTCCGACGAATTCTACTCCAGAAGAGGGAAGAACCCAAGATCATGTCATGGAGGGTGAGACATCCCTGTCGAAACATCAACGGAAGAAACTTGCAAAAAAGTTAAAATGGGAGGAGAACAAGAAGCTGCGTCGAGCCAAGACCAAGGCGAAAAGGAAGGAACTCCAGGCTAAGATAAATGCCGGCTTGATTCCAAAACCTCTTTTTTCTCGAAAAGTCAAAAAGTCAAATACTATGAAGGAATCCGGTAATAGAGTCGGCGTGGCTATTGACATGAGTTTCAACCACTTGATGATTGAAAAAGTTGGTACTTATGCATTATGATGGTAATATAAAAATAAATCTATCAAATGTATATATTTTTATGAATTACAGGACATGGCAAAATGTATCAAACAAATAAATAGATGCTACAGTTTCAACAGGATACAAAAGAATCCGGTCCAATACTACGTATCAAGTTGTAATGCACCAGAAATGATGAAGAAATATAATGGTTGGGAACATTGGGATGTAAATCAACAATCGATCTATACAAACTTAATTTATGAGAGATTTTTTGATAGATTTTTATTTTATGCAGGTTAATTTTACTAGTAATTCATATTTTGAATTAGAAAATTTTCCAAAGGATAAAATAATCTATTTATCAAGTGAATCCGAAAATGTACTGACCACTGTTGAACCGGAATACCTGTACGTTATTGGGGGATTGGTTGACCATAACTCCCAAAAGGTTCGTTGAACAGTTGAGCTATCGCTTCTTAAGAATATTATATAGTTGGTTAGAATAAATTGTATTTTAATTGAGTCAATTCCTGCTTGCCATTGAAGGGCCTATGCCACTCTCTTGCTGTAAAGAATGGGATAAAGCATGCAAGATTACCGATTGATGAGCATCTTGACATGAAAACGAGAAAAGTATTGACCATCAATCACGGTTAGTGAATACTAGGGTAAACAGTACCGTACCACTATACTAATTAATACACTACAAAATATTAACTTTTCAGTATTTGAAATTTTGACAAACGTCTCCCAAGGTATGTATGAATCCTAAAATTTTAACACTATTCTTTTCAATTTTGCCCCTCCCTGCTATTGGTAAATTATGTATGTATCCTAAAATACTCACACTGTTCTTTTCAATTTTATCAAGGGATGCCATGGGATAAATCAATGATCGAGGTTATTGCGCCAAGAAAAATGGCTCAGCTCAAAATCCCGCATAGTTGACTTTAGAATTAAAATTATAACAATAAATAGAATGATTTTTGTATTTTATTATTGACATAATAGATATATTTGAAGGATGACTTTTTGCAATTAAAGAGAATATATACTATACTATATATGTGGCTAATAAAGCACTAGAAGAATGCTAAACAATGCTTAGTAAACATTTTAAGTAATCAAATCTACCACGACCGAATTTAGAGTTCCAAGGACACGATATTCTTTAATACGGAATAATATGCGATCAACTCTATAAAACTTTGTTAGTATTTATAATTTATATATTAATCACAATCACAATTCTAGCAAATTAAGTAATCATCGAGCAACTTCATTGGAATATTTGTCATTATAGAACCACCTAGCCTAACCTTAAATTTTATTTCTATTTTTCGGTGTTAAGCGCTCGAATAAATTCTTCTAGTTTATCTTGAATCTGCCGAATGCGTTCTGAAATTAGATGAACCACGATAGATTACATAAATATTTCATTGCTATATTAAATGCATGCAAAATAAAACTTACTCAAGTCCTCGGCTAGTTGAACACGTTTACCCGTCAGAAGTTGACAGACCTTATCTTTGTCTTGACCAAAGTCTTCCAATACTTCTTTTATTTCTTTTTCTAATCTGCGAGCTACAATTCAGGAATAAATAATTTTGCATGATACAAAAACCATATACCACAATAATTAAACAAAAAATAACCTTCTCTATTTACTACTTGCTGCCGCAATGCATTTGAAGTAACTTTTAGCATTTGCTGAATTCTCCAGAACAAGACAACCTCATTACAATCGATCTACAAAAAATATTTCTTGACAACTTGTACAAGGTTCCTCAAATAAAAACCGTTTGAAAGCGTCAATGGAAATTACCTCGCCTTCTACACCTCTTGAATAAATCCAATATCCTTTTTTGCATTCGAATGCCTTATTCAAACTTTTTTCTAAAAAGCCCTGACGGTATATGGCAAACCATGTTGTTTTAATTGTGTCCAAGTCTACTTTCACACCTCTAGCTTCCAAATTCTTTTTTATCACAGTAATTTCCTCTGGTGATAGACTAGCCGCATGTTTCTGAAAAAATTTTATAATTAAAAATGATTAAAAAATAGTCTTGATTAATGTGCCCGTGAGTGAAAACTACATAACCTACTCACATCGCTATTCCCACCGTTGTTCAAAATGGCTTCAATTTCAGATTTAACTGCCGCACGAAGTTGCTGACTGTCTGAAGGATATCGCCATTTTAACCACTTTTCAAATGTTCCAGGTCCTACCATTTGATGTAGAAACTCCTTCGACGCCTTTATCAGTCACAATCAATCAATTTATCAATCAATTTTCATCTTTCAATAAAAATTTAAATATATGTATATAAAAATAAATTAACCTGGAGACGATCCTTAAGACACTGTTCAAGGAATTTTACGGCCCCATCCCACTGCCCTTTGTCATGAACAGAACGATCTTCTAATGTATTTAATTGAATTACTCTTAAAACTTCAGGGGCCTGCAAACAAAATATATATCTAATAAACGAATACACAACTGGAATTTGTATTTACTGTAGTTGAGTTACCTTTTCTTCCCATTGGTGACGTTTAAAAGATTCATCAACTACAGATGCTTTAAGCGCGTCAAATATTTTATCGTGGTCTTTTGACGCCTTGGCAGATTCTAAAAACTGGCAAAACTTGTCTCGTAGTACTTCCCAACCGACCTCAACACATTTACTGGGTAATTTTTGCTCAGCCCATTGCTTTAATCTAATGTCTACTGCAGTATTAAAAGTATTTGATGAGCCGGACTGTGCTGCTGGGAGGAAAATATTTTCAAAGACGTGTAAACTCATATTTTCCCAAAGCTTCTTTGTGATCAATTCTTCCCATTCTTTTGCAGAAACTTGAGACAAATTTACAACTTCGTCTAGAATTTCACCACGAGCCTTTTCGTATAATTCATCTCGGTCAAGCTCACGTAATCTGGAAATGGAAATCAGATATAATCACAGCGTTAGTGAGACAATTAAACCCCACGACAATTTAAGTTTAGCATTGTTTTTGTACCATTAAGGATAAGTGTTATTAAATATTTAACTGCGAATCAAACAGTTGTAGAGATGATGGAAAGTTTAGATAATTTAAGCGACAATAAATTATTGGAAAGAATAAATGAAACAACACGCCAAATTTTAAGATATAGTTCCTAGTTGCAGAAAAGAAAGCGCCATGAAAGTATGCGGACACTAGCATTATCATAGCCAAAAACACCAAGTGTTGAAAGTTCGGACAGTGACACCGACCCTGAAGCAGATAGACGAGGGGGAACATGTGTAATAACCTTGATATCGTTTTCCCTTATCTGTTTCTGACATACTGAATGAATAAAAAGCTTTGTGATATTGAAAAATTGATATATGAACCTGACCTTGGAAAGTTGTTTTTCCATTCTGTTTCCAAGTTGAACCTCATGGCTTTAAATCCATCCGCTTGCTGTTCTACCGTTTCCCTCACCATTTTCCAGAAGCATTCACTGACAGCTAATGATAAGTTTTTCGTCGTTACTTGAGTCGACCCAATTTTCCCAGATTTGAAAAGCTTTGAATTTCTGAAAAAGTTTTCTTCATGTTGTTTAATTTGATCAATCGAGTCGCTAGCTTTTCCTCCTCTTCCAGTAACAACTGCAAAGTATCCCAAGGCCCGCATTGGAAAAAGACTTCCAGACAAAATTTTTTGAATCCTGTCCGGGTTCGACATATTTTCTTCAGCCAAGTCTACTTTGGTAAGTACAAAAATGGTTCGCCTTCCATGAGGGTCCATTTGTGAGACTAGATCTGTAACATTACTTCTTTCAGCATCCACTGAACCATCCTGAATGCAAAGGATGATAGCATTAGGATTGGACATGTACTGCTTGCTCATTTGCAAAATTGACTCTTTGGTATCATCGGCCATTTCAATTGTTTGTGTCGAAATCACTCCTGGCAGGTCCACTAAGACCATTCTTGACAAGCCTGGTCCTTTTACTAAACAATTAACACAAGGATGTCTCTTATTCAAACATGTTTGCTAGCCTTGCTTGTTACATATTAATGTGCCATCAAGTTACCTGTCATGCTGATGACTTGATCAGAAACTGTTTTCCCACTGGATCGGACGCTGTTCATCATCCTCAATTCAACTTCACGTCTGAGGTCCGCAAGGTCCGTTTCCTTCGTGAGATCAAATTCTCGAGATGAATCTTTAAACTGCAGAGCAATAAATAATAAGAAGTTTTTTTTAGTTTTCATATGAAGTGTATAACTTATTATTAACTTATTAACTTCGACTTACCTGGGCAATGTGGTAGGGTCCTATAGATGAAGAAAAATTAAATCGGTTCATAAAATCAATTTAATTTCTAGACCGAGATTCATCAAATAATGTTCTTACCTTCACTTAGGGTAACTTTAACTGGGGCTGGAAGAAAGCAAAGAATATTATACTCACAAATTGTAAACTCTTAGATAGGTAGCTCAACTTCGCGTATTTTATAGAAAACATAAACAAATAAACAAACAACATACCTCTTGTCATCATTTCTCCGGCTCCTCGAGGAAAGATTCGAGCCTTTGCAATCATTTCCAAAACACTAGTTTTACCAGAAGATTGATCACCAACTACGACAACTCTTGGCAAATGATCTGCAGATCGGTAAGACGAGTCAAAGTCCACCAATTCATCTAAAACTTCACTGTACATGTCAATTAAGGATTTCTTAATGTTTCTTCTAGTTTGAACATCTTTTCCACGTAACAAAATTTGTTTCCTTAATTCCTTGTTTTCCTTCTCCAATTTTTCTATCTCCTTTTGATACTTTAGTTGAACCTTGATTAACTCGTCTTGTAACGACTCCAGTCGAGCATAGAGGGATTCTATTCTTTCCGCAGGATTATGGATTTTTCCAGCAGCTTTCTCTGCCGCAACTGACATTCGCTGAAGCACCCCTGGGCTCATAACTATTGCATCTCCGTTTGAATTTCTTGTCAAGTGTGTCTCTTCTGACATATGTGCAGTAGTCTCATCCTCGGTTGCCTTAATTGCTTTGTCTAATCGCTGATCAAACCAATGACGGAATTCCCCTAAGCGCTTTTGACCTAATGCCTTGGTCTCTGGATCGATTTCAAAATCCTTGACTTTATTTTTAAACTCGATTATTGACCCTTGCCAAGCATCTATTTTTTCAGGAGGAGGCATCAAATCTTTTAACCAAGATGTATCAGGGAGGGAATCCTTCCAATTCTGATAACTCTGCGAGGGAAATGTAAAGATTAGTATCGTTCATCAAGGGCTGATTTTGATAATTTCATATTACCTGATGAAGGCTAACCGTTCCAGCAGCAGCACCACCCAGAACTATATATCTCAGCTTCAACGCTGATCTGAGAACTCTGGCGACAAGCATGGCAAGTCCTCGCTGATGAACAAGTGGAATTGATTGAAGGCGCACCACAGACGCTAATATCGGCCGCACAGGATTTCTTTTCGGATTCATTCTGAGCATTTTTTCAAATTGATGAGATTATGTCGTGTCGACGTGAATATGTCAATCAATAATCAAGGAAATATGGTAAATTTGGAATTATGTCGTCTTCATCCTGCACTGACTAGAAAGTATGTACTATCTGTAAAACACGTTAATTTGTAATTGTGTTTGGATAATCACTTAGAAATAGAAACATGTCAGTACATGATATTACGACATCGAAAAGCAAAAAAATTACATGAGAATCATTCCATATAAATGACGCCCAAAGATCTTCGATGCCACAAATTTAAGCAATTTCAAAGTTCATCTGTCAGCAGTAGCTTCCCATTGTCGTGCGGCTCTCTATTAATTAAAAACTATTTGTCCATTAATCAACGTTTAGAGTAATTTTACAAATATTTAAAGATAGGATGCAATTTAGTAGCGAAAAAAGCAGCTCAAATTATAATTGTTTTCCAACTTACCCAAATGTCTGTCTTGAAGAATTATTTTTCTGTTCCCGGTTCTCACAGGTGTGGTTTCATTGAGCAAAACTCAATCTGCCCCGCCGGCCGGCTTTCAACTTGCAAAAGTCACTACATAAAAGTGCACAAGTAACTAAATAAATAATTAGTTTGATTCTGGGCCGTCTTGCAGGATAATCACCTTCAGTGCCATGTGATGATAACAGGATGGGTCAGCAATTGATTTTTCTATTTCCTGACTTTGATGGCACACAATTAAGGCTAATATCTAAACAGTTAACGCCATGCAACTCTAATGATGACACATGCAATTGTTTCACATGATATGTAAAACGAAAATTTTGGCTTGGTATCATAGCTGGATGTACACAGTTTAAAATACAATTGAATGTTTATTGACAGCAGATGATAGATAAAACATGTTTAAAAATTGAGAGTCGTACGACATTTGCAGCCACACACTTTTATGCAAAACTGCTTAGTGCTTACCATCTTATTATCTTTTAGATTATGACATTTTTTTGAACGAAAATAAACATTAATATTATCCTAATTATGCATGTAGTATAATAATTTACTCATTACGTTCGCAAGTACTTTTAATTAATTCTAACCTTATTTTATTTTAATTATTTTATTCTTATTGTATATATTATTTTATATAACCGTTGTTGTCAGCTGTAGAAGTATTAAATTGTTGGATGGAATTTGAAAAATGCTTCTCCTCATTGTTCAAATTCTTTAAATGAAAAAACGCCCTATGTAATTTAATCAATTATGCAGCAGTCACCAATTGGGGCTTAATTGATATATTTGCACTTGTACGGAAAACATTTAGCGAATAAATTGTAGAATAGAATAGAATATATATAAACCTTATAGATCAGAGATAAACTGCATTCATACACTAAAAATAACTATGTTGAGGATGTCAAAACAAAAGTGATAGCACACACGGATACATTTACCTACATGCTATTTCTGAATGGAAAATTATGAAAATTATTAACACAATCTGTTCCGTTTGTTGTATAGTTAGCGCTGATCCTACATATCGGTAACAATGTCGTAATAACATTTACTAATAGACTCGATCGCGATTGCCATGATCTCGTTTCACGTTTCATTGTTAAAGCCCTATATACTGTCCCTTCAATATACACAAATATAGTAATATAGGTAGCTAGATGATCAGCATAATTATCTGCCTAGAAGCTATCATCACAAAAAGCAAAGTACTTTCCTCTGATTTCCAATAAAACAATAATAAGAATTTGGATATTATATAGTATGTACTACCAATAAATTTCATTCTTACATGCGCGTGACATACATTAGGGAAGGGTAAAATACCTTCATGGTAAAATTGTATTTGGTAGAATATCGGATGTTCTTTGATTACAGATTTCAAGAAATTATAAAAGTGTTGGGGTGACAAATTAGTACAAGATAATTAGATTTTGGAGCTTATTTATATATAAGGTGGAGGTTTATGGAAGATATTACTCGTTCTAACAATTACTGTTCATTCACTAATTCATATAAACAATATTTTGGAATTCGCTAGCAAATAGATTTTTTACAGCCAGACTTGATTTTTTAGTTAGATGACTTGATAAATTAACGATTAGCGTTTTTCAGCTGATTTGATAACCAGTCCAAACCTTCATATAGACCGTCCCCTGATGTGGCACACGTGGCTTGTATGTACCTACCCAGATCAATAAAACGATTATTATTCACCCATACACTTTCATTTTAGTAATAAATAAATAATATTCCGATGTACCAGTTCCTATTTCGTAATGAGTGTAGTCCAAGTTTGTCCGTTATCTCTGCAGCGTTCATTGCATTTGGCAAATCCTAGTCGCAAACACGTTTTTAAATTTGACACGTAGTTTAACTCTTATACATTAACAAGTCAGGAATATATTTTTTAAATTTATGGTTAAACAAACCTGCTTGTTGGCGAAGATAAGCAAAACGGCATCACGGAGTTCATCTTCTGCCAACATTCGCATTAGTTCTTCTCGTGCTTCTCCTATACGTTCTCGATCGTTGGAATCCACCACAAATATCAATCCCTAAACAAAGAGTAAGCGGTAATTAAAAGATTTTGTAGATAACCACCTCATCAGTCCAAGGTAGATTATTCGCAAATGTCGTGTCATGTGTCATGTGTATTACCTGTGTGTTTTGGAAATAGTGTCTCCACAAGGGTCTGATTTTATCTTGGCCACCCACATCCCACACCGTAAAGCTTATATTCTTGTATTCGACAGTTTCCACGTTGAAACCTATGTAATATGAATTAAAGATTGTTTTACTTCATCAGTTTAGTTCACCGTCGACGATACAATGCACAATGAATAATTATTCAATATAACATATCGGAGGACACTAGGACAGCATTAAACAGGCGACAGGGTTGGGTGGTCATGATGGGTAACTAGAATGAATAGTAATTAGTAATTTGACTTACCGATTGTAGGAATAGTGGTCACGATTTCTCCCAACTTGAGTTTGTAGAGGATAGTAGTTTTACCAGCCGCGTCCAACCCCACCATCAAAATTCTCATTTCCTTCTTTCCAAACAACCCCTTAAATAAACTGGCTGTAAATATACAAAACACAAAATATTTTGTTATATTTTTGCAAAATACTTATTTGTTCAATTGCCCAAGATGAAAAGTTTTCATTGAAAACTCCAGAACTGAGTCATAAAAAAATAATGAGCTTACCGAAGATATTCCCCATTCTGATATCGTCAACAGTACTTTTCACGCTTACTCGATTCTACTTCTTTCACAGCAAGTGTTCTATTTAATCGTGAAATTCGTGAACCGTTTTAATTAAAGTAGTAAAGCACAAAGTATGATAATATACTACTACTGGTCCCAAATCTTGTCCAACATATCAACCCAAATACAAAATAATATACTTTTTTGACTTCCGCGTTCTCGCTGTGTCACAGTAAAGGGAAAGTTCACGAAAGAAAGGGTTGTCGTCTGGCTACTGCTGAAAATGTGTGGCAAGATTCTTCGTCGTCGTACAAATGTCCACGTAGTAAGGAGATCGTACTCCCACCCACAGCAGAGGAGCTAGGCGATAAGGTGAAAGGCTAGAGTCAAATACTGTGGTCGAATGAATGACGAAGAAGAGCAGCTTTTTAGCAAGACTTGTAATATATGTGGTGTAAGTAAAAAGGTGGTGGATTTTTGAGATCGTGTGTGATGACAGAACAGAAGGGAGAGAAACTGACTCCATCAGCCACGTCGATGTATGGTACCCACGCGCCCTCTTCTCCACATTCCCATCACCACCAGCAACGCCGCCAAACAATGATGATATGATCACTTTTTACCACTTTTCGACAACAAAATTTATTCCACAACTTTCACTCCATAAAGGTCTTCAGACGGGAGGAGTCTTTCCTTGAGTGAGAAGGAGGTGCAACTGAAAAGTAAGCAACTTTGTTCATTTTATTCATGTATATATTCAGCTTCAGCAGTAATTCTTTGCCGTTTTCATCTCACATTATCATTACTATTCCATATTAAAATTAATTCTCATTGCATGGATTTTTTTTCATAATCTCACGCTACGTTTTTTTTCAGGATCAATATGCGGATGCTTCTTCACCATCAGAAGAAATGACGATGCAAGAAGGGCGAATGAGCTACGAACAGTTTACATTCGCCTGTGCTAATTTCATTAAATGTCCTCAAGCTCAAATAGATTCATGGAGATTAGAAGACGAGTCTCATGAGTTTGGAGAAAGCTTTCTCTCCTTGTCCACCATACGGCAAACTTCGGTCCCATCGAGTGGAACTGATGCAGATGTTACTGTTTGTACTGTCGAAGAGAGTGATGCTGGAAAAACAGACAATAGTTTTAATATGAAACTACTGCAATACCGATTTGATGTTCTTTATAGTGTCAGCCATTGCGTTCCAGTCCTATATTTCACAATTTCTGAAACGTCTGGACGGTTGTTAAGTCTAGATGAAGTATGGACATTATTTGGTCTTCAAGCAGAGACAGACACAAGTCTATGGAATGTGGTGTCCTGGCAAGATCATCCAGTTTTACACATGCCCTTTCTTTGTGTCCATCCATGTAGTAATTGGGCCATCATGAAGGAATGCTTTCAAGGGAAAGAACCTACTTGCGAACAATTTTTGATCTCGTGGTTAAGCTTTGTTGGAAATCAGTTTGGATTAAAACTTTCACCTGCTTACCTTCTTAATAGTTGACAGTTAACTAATTAAGTGTTTTGTAGTTGAAATATCTTAAGCAATAAAAACACGATACTAAATAAATCATTTTTAATTACGTTTATTAATTTGGTTGCATGTGTGATGAGTTTGTTAAATGGAAAAGTAAAGTAATAAGTCGAGTGACCCAATACTATAAAAGTAATCTATACTTTCTTTACAAAAACTGGTTCAAAACTGTTACTAATTTTATCAATGTATTTTTTAGAGAATTGAAAGAGCTACACACCAAAAACTGCTGACATTCATGTAAGATTTTTGGCCTTGTGATATAAGGCGTCGACAACTTTTCCCATATTTTGGACCAGACCCAAAGCAGCCTCGTACGCTTTATCTTCTTCATTTGATTCGAAAATTACCAACAGTCCTTGTCCTTGATCCAATACCCCCGACAACTTTTTGTCCAGAATCATTTGAGAAAGTTTCTGCTCCACGTTACTCTGTTTCAACCCGATAGTCTTTGCGATATAATCAACCTGCATTGGAAAGCAGTAACAGTTAGTAAAAAAAATACCAGTAAAAAACTTTCGTATGAAACAAATGAAAAAGTACAATAGTAAAACACACCTGCACTTTAGAATAAGGCTCTATAATACGACATAGATTTTGTTCCATCATGTTATCGTAAAGGGTTGCCAAATGGGATTTGACAACCATATCTTCTTGAAGTTCTTTGGGGAAAGTCGTTATTGCAGTTTGAAAATCAAAGAGCGATCTCTTTTGTGCAGAGTCAGCAATTGCCTTCATGGCATTCAAATCTGGTCCGACATATTTCAAGGCCAATTTTCCACTCAGCAAATGAGTAACTTCTTCCGGTCTATTAGAAAAACATCGAATTAATCAATCTGTCAGCCTTACAACAAATCGTAGAACGAACCATTGAAAAGATAAATGCTTACAAGTTTAACATTGTTTTGGACATTAGCATATACTTCAGGGCTATTAAAGCCTTCGGGCTATCAATGCTATCCAAGCCCTCAAAAGCTTCGTAGAAATATGAATATGCTGTTTTAAAGTCCTTCTCGTCAGCAGCATGAAGAATACCTATAAAAATCGTTCATGGTTTGTAGTATTAATATTATGTATAAATTCTTCAAGTACTGAGTACTGTATCTTTGTAAATAAATTGCTGCTCATGGCTTACCAGATTGTAAATCTAACGCAGCTTGCATGTTGGGTGGACAATAGATGGAATTAGCCGTTGTTCGAGCAGATGTGAGTGCAGCTCTGGCCCTTGGAAGATTTCCCAAAGCATGATAAGTCTTGCTTTCCAAAAGCTGAACTTCAACAAGCAAGTTTTTGTCATCCACCTTCTTCAACTCTTTTAATAGTTGACCACCAAGTGCTAACGCCTTTTGGAAATTTTCCGTGTCATAGTAGACTCCCACCAATCTTGCTTCCAAGGATTGCCTGAGAAAGGTTCGTTTCTCCTCCCTTGCCCATTCAATACACTCTTGCACGACTTTCTCTTGTTGTTCTGCTGGAGTATCCTCAATGTCCAGATACATATCCACTAGTGAACGGACCAACTTTGCAGCCTTTGCTTTACTGACGGAATTCACAAAACCTCGGACTTGTTGGAACAATCGCCCGAATCCAGCAAAATCCTTGCTTGCCTTGCATTTTTCAGCTTCCTTCATAATATCCTCTTCGTTGTGAAAAAGGGACGGGGCTCCTTTATCAGAAGCTATAAAATGCAACAAAAAATTAGGATTATGAATCGTGCTAAAGGCTAGTGTTGAATTGTATAATGTTGCATCAATAAGAAATAATGAATAATTCTAAATTAATATTAAGTGGGAAATGATTACGGTATTTATTACTTACATGTAGGCTTTGGACTTTGAGTTTTCCCTTTGGGGAGATTTGGTCGAGCAACTTCAGCCGCTGCCATTTTTGACGATTTATTTGATTGATGATGACAATTTTAAACTAATTGTTCTTATATTTAATTCAGCAAATCAAACTTTGCTGAGGTGAATGGAGCTAGAATTATTACTTCACAAATATTTGGATAAGCTGACACGAGTCGTCACACGACGTCTCTCCTAAAGAATAAATCTTCCTTGTGATGCGAATATATTTTGCAAAAGGAAATAAATAGTTTATTTCCAAAATAGCGAAGAGATTGCAAAAATGAGTTTTTTTAGAGTTCAACCAGCAGCAGAAATGACAGTGCAGAAAGAGTTCAAAGTTTTGGTAGAAAATCTCACCGCGAAGTTTGAAGCATATTCCAGGGGAAGCCGCGAAGAGTGTTCAAACTGAACCACAACAAACTCTGAACTCGGTTTGCTTTTTTGACAGTTCAGCTATTTTATAATAGTTTTATTGTTCTCGGAAATAGTAATATTGTTAACCACATAATTGTATATTAAATGATCTGATTATTTCAGATCTATCAATGTGATGGAATTATAACACTTTAAATAGGTCAAAAACATTCACATTCGTGTCTTGTCTGAGTCTACCCAACGAGTGCTCTCCGTGCCTGGTCGCTTAATAGAAACTAGGTTAAGTCATTAGGCCACTTATATGATTGTTCAATTTGTGCACCATTAATTAAAAGAATGTCAAGGACAGAAGACGTCTTGCACTAAGTAATATTACTAAATGGAAATGCAAACAGAAAAAGATGAAAAGAATAGTGAGGCTTCGCCTGTTGATCGTTGGCTAGAGTTTAGCGAATCTTTCCTGGCGGAGGATGAAGGCGAACCCAGGAATCCAGCAGACGAGGGCAACAATGAAAATTCTCAAACGACGTTCAACTACGGGGCAAAGCTTGGCGACTTGTCGTGCTCATTGTTGGATTGTGTTGATGAGTTGCATGATGATGGAAATGGAAACTTGGAAGAAAGTACCGTATGTAGCTCACAATTTTGGAAACTACAAATCTTGATAGAATAAAAATGTTCGTACTGATTCTAACATTTAGGTGGAGAATTTAGTAGCCAAATTAAGACAAAGAGATAATTTAATTGCGAAATTAACTAGTGTGATGAAAAATATGTCAAACCACAAGGGCAATGGTGATTCAATTTTAAACTCGGTGGAGAAAAATGTAAGCGTTCTGACATCAAAATCATAATTCGTTCTGATGTAATTATTGTCATAATTTTCAGTTGGAAAGTTTTGCCGACGGGTTGAAAAATTCTAATTTTCTTACTACACCTACGCACTCAATATCAGCAAATGTGGTTTCCACTCAAACTGAAAACTTTGAAGATGAATTGGATGCATGTAGTAAGCAATCACGATCTCCCCATCAGGATGTAGGCACATCCGTTTGTCCTCGTCAGTCACCAGAAATTCACAAGCCAGACTCCAATTTTAGCGTATGATCATTTCTAATGGGGCTTGACTGAAACAAACGATATGCATGGAGAACTGTTTATTTTTATCAGCAGGCAGGAGAACCTCAGCATGATGACGATGTGCATCAAGAAGTGGATGATGAGCATGAAGCCGTAGTACATCAATCTCCTCGAAGGCTTTCTTTCGCTATGAATCCTGATGCGTTACGCTTAACCTTTTCTCCATCAATTTGTGAGTACGAGTCAGAATCATATGGCGGAAATGATTTATTCGGCCCTGGTGGGTATTCAACACTTGAAGATCTCAGATTGCAGGTAAACATTTTAATATTTTGCTCAGCTGAATTTTCTTTATCGAGATACTCTTTAACATCTTACAAAAATAAATTAATGCTATCTAGATCATGGATTTTGAGAGAAAGTTGGAATCTGAAAAGCGATTTTTGAGAGAAATGACGGTTGAAAGAGAGCAAGAACGTGAAGAGTATCAACGAACTATTAATACTCTGGCATTAAAATACGAAGAAGGAAAACGGGAAAAAGAAAAGATGGAAAATGTATTAGAACATCATCAAATGGAAATTCGGGAGCTTGAAGAACACCTCAGACACAAAGAGCTGGTGGAAGATCAGCTTTTAAATAAAGATTACCAGCTTCAGCAAGCTGTTGAAAAAGTATTTTAAAAATTTAATTCTACAACTTGCTGTAACTGCTGATGCATGCATAAATCGCATGTACATATAAATAAAATTAACATACTTTCTTTGTGACAGGTATTCGAGTTGAGAGAAATTATTAGAACTCAAGAAGAACAAATTGAGGCCATGACCAAACATTCAATGTCACTATTGGATGCACACAAGGATACTACTGAATTTCTAGAAATGGAGATGGATAATCAGTTGCAGAGTGAACTATGCAACCTGGTTTCCCACCAAGATGCCAGTTGTACGTCTGAAATCGATCATACAGAAGAGTTATGGGCTCAGGTATTAGCTACATATCTCCTTTAATTACACAAATTCATTTTAATTTTATTACTAACAAACCTTTATTTTTTTATAGATGCACGAACTTGCCAACAAAGTTGAAGAAAGGTTAATGGAACTTGAAAATTTCCCGTGGCAAAATCGGCCAAATAGTTCATGTTCGGCTGCTGGAGATGACATATCAGTTAGGTATGTATCGTCCAGTCAGATAGATGCATGCATGAAAATATGCGCATCAAAAAATTAATAATTTTATTTATTTTTTAGAGGAACATCTACTCATGTCAAAAATTGTGATGATTCTTCCGATGCCAGAGATTTTGTTTCAAGAGTATTCTGCAGTTTAAGAAGACTAGAATACAGTTTTGATGGCTTTGTTAGATTCCAGGAAATACTACTCAAGAAAATCAAAGATGGAGACCTCAAGATTCTTAATGAAAACAAAAAAATTGAAGTAATTTAATTTTAAAACTACTAATAGTAGTTTAAATTACACGGAATTCGTATAATCAATGTACTGTAATTTTATTAACAAATCTCATCTTTGTTGAATTAGGAGCTGAAAACAGAAAAGGGAAAGCTTGCTCTAGATCTGTCTACATGTCGTCAAAAAATCAAGGAATTTGAGAATTTTCTTACAGAGAATAATAACCCAAACTCATTCGCTAATCACTCAATCGAAAGATTACGAAATACTGGATTAAGTTTTGGACGAGGTTTAGAAAATACAAGCTCGCCTATTTTTCGTCACAGTCAGCATAAGAATAGAAAGGTTGGTGAAAGATTACACTTTATCCACTTTCTACTGGTACAGGGTTGTTAAAGAGACAGTAACTTGATAAGGGGTTGCGCAACGTGAGCGATTTTTTAAAAATAATTAAAAAATTAAGTTTTGAAAAAAAATTAATCACTAAGCTAAATCACTAAGCAAATTTGAGGGGAAACTCAATTAACCTTATAAAAACTAATTAATTTTGACCTGGATACCATTTAAAAACGGAATTAAAAATGGTTTCTATTGCATTTGGGGGCGGATTTACTGGGGGGCAGAATACCATTGAGACCGACTTGTGGGGCGGTGATAAAATCAGTTGGGGACTGAATTAATGCAAACCGATTTTGAATATTCTACTGATGCAGTTATGATTTATTAGAGACCTGGAACTGATTCGACAACAAAAATTAGAACATAATACATTTTTAACATGAAATTGCAACTGAACCAAATGAACACACGATATTAATTTTGATAAAAAGATCGGATTTGATTTTGATAGTACTACAAAAATAAACTAAACGAATAAATCGTCATCATTCATGTCATCAATTTGATGACACTGATTTTGGGATGCATTTTATATTTTAAACAAGTTATTAGCTATAATTTTGTCCTTCAGTGTTCTGTGACTTGTTCGGTGGTGACACTATTGCGAATATATTAGCTAAAGAGAACGTTGTGATAATTTTAAAAAAATATGAACTGTATCATATTTACAACATGATACAGGTCAGAGGTCAACGCCGACCAATTTATTAGCGGCGCCAATGTTGGATAATTTTTCGGGGGCGCGGCGTGACCTCTGATGCACTTCCTCCGAGTTCCTCCCCCCACTACAACTACAACTCTAAACTCTAAAAAAATTAGTTCAGGCTTGAAGAAAAACCAACGACAAATAAGGAGGAAAGAATGGAACTGAGAAAATTTTCTCGGTCATTTTATTTTTATTTTTTCCTACACCTTATTGATGTAGCCCGGTCTCAACGGAATTCTGTAACCATACACCTTATTGGTGGAATCCGTCGCCAACGAGAAAAAGTTGGCCTACACCTTATTGGTGTAGTCCGTCGCTAAGGCGAAAAATTTGGCCTACACCTTATTGGTGTAGTCCGTCGCCAAGAGATCGAAATCGCCCTCCACCTTATTGGTGGAATCCGTTTTTAAAAGGTTAAATCTCACTGTACAACTTTGCATAGCCCGATTCAGGAATTACCAGCATATGTACATACAAATACACTAGCACAATTTAATACCATTTTTTATATACATACATTATAAAAAGGGTCCTATTTAACTGATCATAATTAAATACTACTTCTGACCATAATTAATACTTTTTCCCCGAATACTATCTCTCATCATAATGGAATCCAAATTGACCATAACTAGAATACTAACTTATTCATTATAAATCCTCCCTCGACTACAACCAAAGGCTATGCAGAAAGACAATGGAGAGATTAAATGGAATAAAGACATGGTATTCTCCTTAGTTTTTCATGCTAGACCGAGGATTATACATTGCAAGTTTTGCGCAAAATAAACTTTTTAGCCCGAGTCAGGGCTTATGGAACCGTCATGTCCGTCCGTCCGTCTGTCTGTCTGTCCGGCACGATAGAGCCAAAACGGCTGAACCGATTGACTTGAAATTTTTACCATATGCATATTGGACAAAGTTAGGAAACGAGTTCGAAGATGGGCGAAATTGGTCCAGTGGTTGACCGGTGGGGGTCATCGGAGTGGGTGGGGTATTATGCACCAAAATTTCAAAGTTGTCGTAGAGAGCTGAAATTTGGTACAGAGGTTGCTAATGGCTCCTACGAGATAAAAATGACTTCAAGTTGGAAAAATTTTCATCTTGAGTGACCCCATGGGGTGACCCATACCGATTTTTAAAAATCATCATATCGAACTGAAATTTGGTGGAGAGGTTGCTTATGGGTTTTAATGAAAGAATATGATATGATATTGGTAAAATTGTTATCTGGAGCGACCTTATGGGGTGACCCATACTGATTTTTCAAAATCGTTATATCGAGCTGAAATTTGATATGGAGGCTAAAAAAGTGAAAACCACTGCTGGGTAGCACATGCATACAGCTTAGAACTTCAGGATGTTAAAGAAGCCCAGTGGTCATGGTGGTCAAGGCACATGATTTGTAACTAATTCAAAAATTTGGTACCAAATGGTAGAAACTATCTAACAAACTTTTGACCATCCACAACGCGGAAGTTTGTGCTATTATGTCGGTCAATTCGGAAAAAAAATTAGAAGCGGGCTCGGACTTATTGAGTCAGGGACATAGTCCCTGACTCGGGCTATATGGAGTCTGCACTGTAGGTTTTAGACATGGAATTTGAAAATATTTCGATATAGGGATAAGATATCTGCTGAGACTTACATATGTAAATAGATTCTGCCAATTTCTAAAATTCGAATCAGACGAGGATACCAAAAATATTTGCCACTACAAATTGTCCAAATTAGTAGTTCAAGGATTCGAATCAGATGAATCAGATTACCAAAATCATTCACACATGTCCACTGGGGCGCATGTGATAATAAAAAAACAGGATTAAAATCTACAACGCTGCAACGTTAAATGAACGATTATCATTACCTATGTTTTTCGGAAAGGCATTTAAAATCCTCCAACGCTGGTCTCAATTACGCAAATATCCGGGCCACGCATATCATTTCTTACCTTCAAACCGAATAAGTCTTGGCTCTTGGATAATACGCTTTAATCAGTCAGGTTCATGTCTATACATATGTCCACCGTATCTGAAGACATCATTTGGAAGCACATTCGATTTCGCAGCGATTTCGCAGCCTGCACCATAAGCTACACGTGTACCTATTGAAGAGAAATGTAAGCGTGGTAGACCGGAAAAACCTTCCAAGACATGAAGTTGACTAAAAATCGAAAAGTTTGTAAAGTTTTTTAAACTTTCATAGTTTGAAGTGATTTTAAAGTGTATTTTTACTTATGGTAAAATCGAGTAATTATTATACACAACGAAGCACTTTATTATGGTGAGAGATAGTATTCTGGGAAAAAGTATTAATTATGGTCGAAAGTAGTATTAAATTATGATCAGTTAAATATTCCCCATTATAAAAACACTCCACATTATTTTAAATCGATAAAAATTTGAATTCCAACAATATTAAAACACAAGGATAATTCAAAGAAATCTCAGATAAATATAAATTTCATCGTGACAACAGACGGACAAACAGCTACACTAATACCTTACAAACAGGGACGCTCACTAATATGGGACTTTACATGTACAGACACTTTTGCCCCCTCTTATCTCTCTCACACACTTAGACATGCTGGCACAGCAGCAAAACTAGCCGAGACCAAAAAACACAAACTGTACTCTGAACTTAAAACAAACTATATCTTTGTTCCGGTGGCTATCGAGACATCAGGAGTATGGGGGACGGAAGGGTTGAAGTTCATCCAAGATGTTGGGAGGAGGATGAAGGATGTCACTGGACCAATGTCGACAACTTTTCTCATTCAACGGATTAGTTTGGCAGTTCAACGCGGGAATGCGGCATCAATCATGGGAGCTGTCCCCAGTCAACGAGGATTAGAAGAATTATTTTATATTTTAAATGATAGGTCGTTTTATTTACAAAAATCATGTAAGGGGCCGAATGGTGATCTCGGACGCCTATCCGGATCAAGTAAAGGTTTTCCCAACCCACCAACATCGGGTTTTTCCTCTACTCCCCAAGCCAACTAAGTGTATTTCATAGTTTATCAATGTTTATGTTAATAATAAATAATACCCGCTTAAACAGCTACCAGAATAAGCCAAAAAAATAAAATTTTGCATGGAAAACCTAACAACCAATCAGGAGCTGGTGGTCCGGACTCCGGACCACCAGCTTTTTCAAAATTTAAAAAATCGCAAAAAGTGTTCACGTTGCGCAACCCCTTATCAAGTTACTGTCTCTTTAACAACCCTGCTACTGGTAAATAGTAATAATCCAGACAGTTTAATTGAGTACATTGTCATGACAGAATAAAGGCGTAGTAATAAGTCCTTAACATTTTAAAACTTGTGACGACTACCATAAAATTAAATAATGCTATACATAAGATTCCAAATTGAAATGAAAAGTTTGTGTAATGTGTAACGATAGAATGAATCCACTCTAATATCCTGTCTCGGGTTAGGTCAGGTGAAGGTGCTTTCGAAATGAGTAGAGACAGGTCAGATTGGTTATTGTCTCCTACTTTTAGTAGTATTAAATTTTATGGCAATAGCCTTAATTTTGTATAAACTGGACTGAATTTTAGTAGCGGAAAATGCAAAACACAAGTTCCCAGTTCAGAATCAAAATGTGAAAAGTTTGCTAGAGAACGCTTGCAAGGATGTCACAATACTACCTCACCTACCAAGGCTTCCTCTACTATTAGCACAAATAATGGCAAATGTGATGGAGGAATATTGGGATTAGTAACTCCTAGAAAAACTACAAATTTCGATCCATTGAAATGTCAGAACACAGAACCATACTCAAGTCCGTGTGGGTGGTTCAGTTCTCATGCCTCGTTCAATGTTTGCGGAATACAACGACTGATTCCCTTCTGTCAGTCAGGAAAACGAGCTCCTTTGAGACGCCCTTTAAAAATAAAAGGACTAGGAAAGAAAATATCAAATTGCACTCTTCATGGAATAGAATCTGTCAATGATCTACGATCATGGAGTCAATGCAATTGTGATAGAAGGAGGCATTTTTTAGAATTTATGAATCCAGTCCTAAACGAAGATGTAATAGTAACAACATGTTTTTATTGTCTCACAGCTCGACTGATGTTTCGCATGATTAATAATTGTAACACTAATACATGCATCCTGATTTTATTTCCAGAATGACAACGAAAGTTTTCCTATCAACAGTACAACCGGAGAGTAATATAGCAAATATATAACCTATATTATTATTATTAGTGCCATTATTATGTCGGCTTGCAATAACTATGCTGAAAACATTATTTTATTGTAGGATGCAACAATTGGACGAAATGGTTCAAGTTGCTGACAAAACAATCCCAACGCCCACTGCGCCACTTATTGCGGCTTCATCATCCAAGCCGCTGGTAGCTGTGAGTCCTGTTGCAAACACCACTTCAGGACAGTCAGCATCAACTATTCCACCAGTTTCAGCAGTCCCCACAAAATCGGGTAGTGGATCGACAGAAAAAACACATGTAAGTTCCCTACTTGGCTTCTCCTGGCTTTATTGCTACATATATAGATTATGTATGATTGTGGTCTTAGGTTGTGAAGCATCACCCGGAAATAACTCGACATATCGGTAACTCGGCACTTGCTGAGGATAGGTAAGTTAAGGGCGAACCTTAATTAGTAAACCCTGTTTAAGGTGATTTATTTTTCTAATTTATTTATTATATTAAATGCAGTACACGAGAAGCCTTTGTAGTACCTCCTGATCAACGAGCGGCAGGTTCGTTGCTATTAATAGTCTTGTTTTTCTTTAGTATCTTATTTATATTCTGGTAAATACTGCTTAACAAGTGTACCATGTTTTCAAACAGAAACAGTCGAAGCCACCAAAATTCCTCACACTGAAACAGAGGCAACAGAGCTTAACAAAATTCCTAGTACCGAAATTAAGACGACGACTTCGGTGGGCAGAGTTCCTTCCCGTGCTAACCAGCAATCAGAGGTATGTTTGTTTTACTTATTTGTGGCAGCATTATTATTTTTTTGAAAAGAGAGTTCTTATAGCTTATTCTCTGCAGGTTGAGATTCCCGGAGCTTATTCGTCTGAAGTGTTTACAGACGAACCAAAAAAAGTATCAGTAGAGAAAGTGTCCAGTAGTCTCAGTCTCAGTCCCAAGGTATCGGATTATGAGAATTCTCAAGTAACAAGTGAAGAACCTACACCTGAATCGAAACGAGGTTCTATTCCAACTGAATCCATTCCCACGTATGGCATCACCACAGTTTCGGACTTTAGTGTGGCGGAGAAGGAAATTACATATTTGGGTACCCAAGTAGTTCCCAACGACAGCGATGATCTACCTGCAGCAATAAAATCTATCCCGACAGATTCTAATACTGACGTACTAACATTCGAGAACATTACTGAAACTGTTGTAGATGTGGACTTTGTCGAGCGTTCAAGATCATTGATAATTCCACCTGAAGATTTTGATGCTCCAAGTGTGAGTAACGAGGCGCAAATTTCCAGACTAGAGGGAATGGACATGATTCTTGAACTCGAAAAGCTGAAGACGGAACTTTTGCAGATGCATAAAGCTCTTGAAATTGAGAAAAACAAGTCGCAAGTACTTGAGGAGCACCTTAATCAAGTATTTTTTTTAAAAGTTTTCCCAACAGATATGTACATTTAATATTCTGTAGTTAAACCCCTTTGAATAATTTTTTTTCAGATCATGGCAGAAGGTTCTCATAGTATCATCATGAATGACGGACCCCAAGGTCCAACAATGCAACAACAGCAAGAGACGGGAGATGTAAGCTCCATTAGAGATCCAACAATTGATCAAGAAATTTCTATTTTGAAGGAGAAAATTGATGATCTAAAGTGTCAAGAAACAAAGCATATAAAACATTTACGATGTGCTCTGTTGAGAATTAAATCACTTCAAGAAGAAAATGACAAATGCCGAACATACATCACCAAATTACAAGATGAACTACAACATTATGCCACAAGATTTGATTCAGAAACAGATGAATGATCTTTTTTAACTCGCAGATACTTGTAATTCAGAGAGGTCTATATATGCACACATATATTTTGTCCACACATCACTACACATTTTTTTTAAATTGGACGTAAATAAATTTTTGTACGTTTTTATGCACTATACATGCCAGTGGTTACTAATGTCATTATTGTTTGCACATGAGACTATGCAATTGGGAATAGTCAGATAACGTGCTTGATAAGATAAAACGCAACACTCATTCTTGGTGATTCAGTTATCCCGTCCCATTCCATCCGAATGTTTAATTTGTTGTATTAGAACAAAACATTGTGTAAAATAATGAGTTCAATTTCTTCAGCCACGAATCAAAAGCTGAAAAAGAAGAAAACTGGTAAGACTTACTATACCAATGATTAGCAATTTACTGCTTGAGGCATACCAGGAATTTAATTTTTGCCCAACCACATTTTTACGCATTATTTTATTTTTATAAATGCATAGGGTGGGAAAGGCTGAAACAACAAGAACTTGCAGCATGGCAGGTAAAACCATAGATGTGCACATAGATAATTTGTGAAAAATATTTATGGATTTGGGAAAGATTGTGATTAAAACCAAGCCTCTTGTATCCTTTATTTTAAAGTCGACTTTCAAGACCGGTGTCAGAATGTGTGCATATGCATCAGAATTTTCTCAGACTATGATTTCACAAATAGGTTGCTCAACAAACAGACTTGTTAATGTTGGTTGCAATTTGCAACCCACATTATTGCAAGTTGCAATAACTTTATTAACTTTGCCCAAATCCAAATTACTCTAAATTCAGGATTGAATCAATCTTGCATGGATTTAGCGTACATATGCTAACGTTATCTTTTCCATCCATTTACTGTAGTCTTACTTACAACTTGTTAGTTTTTTTCAATACTTGAGATAAAATATGCAGAGGAGCGAAATAAAGGTATATGTCAAGATTATGGTTTTTGATAAACTTTCAGCCTATTTTCTCTCCCAGAGGAATTTCCCCTCTGTTCCTGGTCTTCGGTGTTCTTCTCATCCCCCTTGGAGTTCTTATCTTTACAATGTCAAAAAACATACAAGAACTTAAATTCGACTACACAGATTGTCTCAACTCAAACGGAGACAAATGTTCGGATATTGTACAGAAAATGACTGGAGAAAGCTGTAGTTGCATCATTAATTTTCAACTCGAGGAGCCAATGAAGGTCATATTTAAAGTGAACATGTTGGGAACTACGGTTTTAATTACATCCTAAATTAACATTATTTTTATAATAATAAATAACAATAGGGAAAGATTCGATTATACTACGCTCTCTCTAACTTTTATCAAAATCACCGTGAATATGTTGCTTCAAGAGACGATGATCAACTCCTGGGAAAAATTGGAACGTCCACGCCTATCAGTCCTTCGTCAGATTGTGATCCTTTTGGGATAGGTGGGAACACGTACTTATTCATTGATACGTAATTTATGACTGTGTATTAAGCATTACTTTAATTTCTTCTCATTGAGATTTACTGATAATTGTACATATGTAGCTCCGAATGGAAAAATCTACTTTCCCTGTGGCGCAATTGCTAATTCCATGTTCAACGATACATACACAATGTTTCGTCATCTCAACGACGGGAGTAAAACTGAGGTGCGAATGATTCGCACTGGAATCGCATGGGAGAGCGACAAGAAGCACAAGTTCAAAAATCCTGACTTGTTTTTAGATATTAACAACACCAAATTCTGGGACAAGTTTGTGCAGCCCAGGGGTTATACATAATTTTACTTGTTTACATGGTTTGAACTCTAAAAAGATCAGTGCAAAAATGCCAAATTTCTTACAATTGTGTGTAGATTGGGGCAAATCACTTTGGGATCTGGACAAAGTGGATGCAAATAATAATGGATTGCAAAATGAAGATCTTATTGTACGCACTTTTTTACATAGTTATTATTTATTTTCAAATAATTACCATCCGATACATAGAAAATCACCTACATTGTATTATAATTCTTCGATTAGGTCTGGATGAGAGTGTCGGCTCTCCCAAACTTTAGAAAGTTGCACAGATTCATTGACATGGCCTCCCTGGGAAGCAATGGGGAAATGCCGAAAGGGAGCTACTCGTTTGAAATACAATACAGTAAGAAGAATGCATAGCTTATTAATCCATTTAAAAAATTGGCTTTTTGTTCTCCAGATTACGAGGTTGCCTCATTTGAAGGAACAAAAACTTTGATATTAACTGAACAAGCATTTTTTGGGGGGAGAAATGTTATTCTGGGAATTATACTAATGAGTGTTGGCAGCTTTGTCTTACTTCTTGGGCTCATCTTATTATTGTTGAGTTTCAAGAGAAGAACGACATGGTCACGAGGGTGAGTCTCGCCAATTTAATTTAGAGCTTGAATATCAATGTTCTAAACCCTCTTGAAATATTCATGCAGAAGCAAAATATCACGTGACTATGGAACTCAAGGTACTACAACTGTAAGGCGATCTAAAATTGCATAACGTTAAGCTTAGTGTATATGAATAAAAAAGTCGTGTTAATAAGAGATCAACGAATAAAAATAAGAAAGGAAAGTTACATTTGGGGTAGAGTGAGAGCTGGTGAAAGTTGCGTCGTCTAATTTGTGTGTATATGTATGTATTGTACCAACGACATACATACATTGTATTTTCAAAGTAGTATGAATTATGCTACACTTAAATGACACCATAAAGTTTGTATCACGTTAAAATTACCTAAAATTGCTAGAGAATATAATATTCATTGAATCATTGTATTTGAAACCTTTGGTAAATGTTATCGGGGCACTGTAAGACAATATTTTCACTTTTAGTCCTTCTAACTCGGTATATGTATTAAATTTGGACACTACCATTATTGCATAACATCTAAATAACTAGGTAAACGTATACTGAAAAATAAATTGACAAAAGTAGGATTAATTACATGTCGGGAGACATAGTGAGTGAAGTTAAGGAACTTCTTCTTGTGGGATTGACTCCCAAATTTTCCCAGTTTATCCATGATAGTCTCGCTGTGAGATCTGAAAATTCACCAATTTCAAGTTATTATATTGTATGTAAATGTCGCTAAAATTATGCTTGTGTAAATATAATGCAAGTTTGAATACAAGCGTATAATGCAGGTGTAGATTAGAAAGAAGAGTTCGAGGGGAAAAATTGAGATAAGAATACGACATACCACTCGTGTTCCACATGGAGGCCCCTTCACACTTTAGTTCGCCCTTTAGACATTTTTCCACATAGGTCAAAGGGTCATACTTGGATATCAAAACCTCACGTAACAGGGCAATGTAGGCGATAGCAAGTCTTAACGTGTCGATTTTTGAAAGCCGCTAAAAAAGGTCAAAAAACGGGTAAGACTTGCTGCACCAACTACTTATTATGTAAATGCTTGAAGGGTGACAGGAATTTCCAAACAGAAAATTGTTACATGTTAAATGATGATATAATATTCGGTTTATGTTGCTGATGTTTTTTTGGGAACCAGAAAAATGTTAAAATAATGTTATAGTTGGTATCTTACCTTTTCATAAGGGAAAGTTGGAACGTGAACACGCAGCGAATCAAAGGCGGAATTTATGCTGTGGTTAGAAATATCATATCATTTACTAAAAAACACGATTTTGATTCAAATAGACAGTTCTAAATTCTAACCATTTTGTTGAAATGTTTGAGAGAAATTGAAAATGTTCATATTCTGACCTTGGAACAGACCTCTGCATTCGCTTTCTCTCTCGTACATTGGCATTTTGCCGTTGCACCTTGTAAGGGTGTTGTCGGGGGTAGTACGGCTGCTCATTTTGATTTCCACCACCCGAGGTCTCATCTACATTCATTTCACATGATTTCAATGTCTAAACACTATAACTCAGACTTTTGATATCAGATGAATTAAAATAAATACCTGTCAACCCAAACTGATGTCCTCCAGCCGATAACTCCGGCCTTCCTGAAGTCGATTGTCCAGCATTACCCCCAGAACCTGCATATGCACATGCAGGCAGCTCGTCTTCTTCGTGCTCCATTTCGTCAATGAGTTCGTGCTGCTGGCCCATGGAACTTCTGGTCTGGTTGTGACAATGATCTTGACCTGAACGTGGTCCACTGTTTGAAGAATATTGTTGCTGTTGCATGACGATGCCCTTGTCTCGAATAGGAGGCGAAGCGAGAGTTGTGAGTTCCTGCTGATGGTGAAGGTGGTGTTGATTTGCCCCACTTAAAGGATGAACTAAATTTCGATGATGGCTTTCACCACAATTCTCGTCGTCGTGAAGGTGGTGTCGTTGAAGTAAAATCTGCTGATGTTGACTTGGAAGACAATATTGTTCCTCTTCCTCAATGTCGTACTCAATGTTGGCAGTAGTTGAGGAGCAGTTATCAAATCGGTGATTATGATGCTGGTGGTGATGCTGATGATGGAGGGGAACTTGTTCTGGATGGATTCGAAAATGAGTGTAAGTGGAATCCATAATGTCCAGACGGCTTTTTATACCAAAGATGATGGAGTTGAATGGAAGGTAAAATAGAAAGCAAGAAGGGAACGACGAGACCGATGGGTTGGTTTAATAGTCAAGATTCGAGAGAGAACGGTGGTTTTGTGTGGTACACTTGCCTCGACTCAGCCAACAAATTGAATTCTCGTCCCTTCTTTTGATTTTGATTTCCTTTCTGCAAGTGAACGGGTCGTCGTCTGGTGCTGGTGGTGCTGGTGTTGTGTGGGTTCGTGGGGAAATCACTGGAGATTAGAGAAACCGACTTGAGTCAAACTCACGCTTTCTCTCCATTATTATTAGTTCCATTTGTGAGGGACTCCTTGGTTGGGTGCAACTGAAGGGCGGATGTTCTGCAAGTGAAGACTGGAAAATCACCTCTCAAGTCCAAAGAATTTACTCATGGGTTGGATTGGTTGGAGCGCTAAACACTTCAGATCAACGGCAGATCTTACTCAAAGATTTCTTGTCAAATGCACCTCCAGCAAATGAATATGGAATGCAAAGTAAGAATGTCGAAATTTTAAGCACTCTAATATTTTGCCAATTCCTTATAATAATTGTTAACCAACCGAAGCGATAAAAAGAGTGTGGCATGTACGAGTGAAAGATATTTGATAAGTGGCAACTTCCAGTAGTTTTCAGCTTATTTTTGCCATGTATGTATGTCTTACAGACAGAGTAAAAGTACACGATCGTGCATCATACCCCACTTGGCACGGAGGGGACCAGCTATACGACTTTCTCTCATTTTTATGTGCGGAAGGGAAAATCGCTTTGTTGGAAGGAAAGCAGAATTTGACAATTTCAGATCCTCCAGTTACAGCATTGTCAGCGATCCGAACCGCCTCCAGGATTCCTCTCCTCCAATCCCACCACGACTCCAGGCTAGCAACTCCTTCGACCAGTGAAATTCCACAGTTTTCTACTTCTATTCAAAGTATTTGAAAATACTGCCTGATTTTCGTACTTGAATATAAGTATGAATATACATACGTACATATATTGAATGTAAAATTACCCCTATTTACTATATGAAGACCTAATTTTAATATCGCTTTTACTACTAAGAAAAATGTTATTCCCAAAAGAAGTCGTACTCAATTTTGTTGTCTAACCAGACTTCTTTTTGCAAGGACTCGTAGAGCGCAATGGTAGAAGCAAACCTTTCCCTTTGATTTCTCCACTTGCATATGAAGTTATTACAAGCTATGCCTGTAGCCTGAAATAAATGGATGTGGACATAAACCGGATCTGTATTTGACAGGATAAATTGGGAAATTTCACGCTGGGAGAGACGACGGTGAAGCAACTAGCTCGAGTCAAGAGAGGACGCAGAACATTATTTTCAGCCACTCTCCACCACTCCGCCCACCTTCACTTGCAGCCATGCTGCTTTCTCCTCTTATCTGAAGACACTTGCAAACACTTTTCCGTTGCTTTCCCCCAAAAAATCTGCAACTTGAAGATCTGTATATGTGAACTTTCAAATTAGGGCTATTGAAACATCCGTCTTCAAGTCTCACGGTCGGAATATCAAAATTTTTAAAGTGACCCGTAAAAATGAAAGGGCGCAATAATAATAACAGAGCATTAAGTTTTTAAGTATCATATGTGCACACTTCAAATTCATTACAATTGACCATAATAAACGGGCAGAAAATTATTGAGCAATATGGCACTTGAGAACTAAGTAAATGTAGTAAAATGTAAGAGTACTTTCATCGAATACTCTCAACAGATCCAGTTTAAAGTTCCACTCGAACTCTTTCACTTGCCTAGAAGGTAAAGTCATGATGACGGTTTGCAAGTATGTTTTACCAACAACGTTCAATTAAACGGCACGAGATAAAAAGGTCGTGGCGAAGCGTATGCTTTTGACAAGTGGCAATTGATAAGGGTGCCAAGATTAGGGTGATGATGACTGTGCGATACGTTGGGCACTTAAAATTCAATTCATTGTTCCTCCAGTTTTCAGAAATGAATAGAGAGCAGGTTGATTGTTGGTTGTGGTGAACTTTCGCATCCCATCAACTTGAAGTGCATATGGAATTGGCAGTCATACATGGTCCCATTGTAAAGTCTTGCCCATCATCACCGCATACAACACTGTAAAGCCCAAGGCAGGCCCTTCACCAAAAAGGGTCGGTGCTGCTGATTCTGGATGAGAGAGAAAAGGGGGACTTTATGGGAACTGGCGTACGCACACACAAATATTGCGTCGGGCATCGGCACGCGACCACCACGGCTGCTTGAAGAAGATGGTCCAATTGCTTTCACGTCATCCCATGTCACTGGCTCCAATTGAGATTTCACGGCTTGTGGCTTGTTTGTAAATACTTGCTGTGCGGCTTTCGTTAAACCATAATTTACTCGTCCCCTAATATGTTTCCCATCAAGCTCATTTCAAAACCGGATTGAAATGATTTTCCGCATCACTCAATTTTAGTTCTATTTGCACTTGAGACTTGGGCTGCACGGGTAAACTGCAGGATATTATTCATGCCAATAATACACGAATAATCATCCATTATCAATATGGAAAAAAATCGTCGTCGCTTACGCATGCAGACTCTTGTCACTCAAATTTTAGCTAGGATATTTCAAGTTAAAATTTCCACATTTTAAAAATTTAGGTGCGAGAAAACATGGATAGACCAAACTAAAGTTACAATTATTGAAACAAGTTCGTGTAAGTAATGATGGGGCGATTTGGGGGATGATTTCATGTCCATTATCATCAAATGATACAATTGCCGTGTATCTAAATCGAGAGTAACAATTACGAGTCCCTTATTACCCGGAGCATATTGTTGCACACACACATTGTCACCGTGTGTGAACTAGTGGAGGACGCCCATCATCTATTCATGGGTGTTTCATAATGGCAAGTCGCTTGTGGACTGAAGGGTGCCCGGTTCCCAGGCCGTTTTCCTGTTACATTCAGCAGAACCAACCGGGCAGAGATAATTACCGACCACATACACGCATAAAGAGATAGGCAGCAGAGATTTGTCTCGTAATAGCTCTGTAAAAATTTGTCGAGCTTTATGGGAAGTATTTAAGTCAAGTCACTCGTGTGCATATTTTGCAATGAATGTGTGTTTTTACTACACATAGACAAATAATTATTACATAACCCACCAAAAACAACGCTTATGACGTGATAAGCAAATATAAAAATAAATATTCTGTACTATGCATAATAAACAATTACAGGCATCACTTATAATTAGAACGTGTCTCCAATAAGATAACAGTTTTCGGTCAAGATTCCACTTCAAATAAAAAATGAGTTTACAATATTTTGCAACCGTCGGTACGAATCTCTCATGAACTGGGAGCCAATGCTGAAAATTGATGGTGGGTGATAGTCGCTCTTTCTTGCCATTCCTGAAAAATAAAATGACGACTCAAAACCAAACCTTGGTCAGATTCTGAAAAATTGTGTGTACCAAGTGGGGGCATTAAATTGATTCGAATCCTATCTTCTCCATTCCTAATGTCGGGATTACTTGTGCAGACGTATGTTCCATACGGGTCCACCCCAACGTCGCTTGTATTGATAACGAAACCACTTTTGGGGTCATAAATGTGGAATGGCTGGTGTTGATACTTTAACCAGATTAATTAGATTAATTATTAATTGATCTAATCCATTTATTTATTTAGTAATAACTAATCTTTTACCTTTACAATTACGATGCCCATTCTCGCAATTATAAACTTTTTGAAGAGAAACACCTTGGCCTTCGGATTGTTTGCAATGCATGGCAGAGTGACAAGAGAGGATCCGGGCTGTAAATCAATAAGTTAGTCTCATTTTCCCTACAAGTAGTGATAAGATAATAAGTAAGTACCTCTTGCGTGACATTTATCGTTTTGCCCCTTTGAATGAGATACGGCTTTCCCCCCACTGTTGAATTATACGCAAATACATTATAATTTCGTATCAATATATCAATCAATTAGGAACACTATTACAACTTACTTGGAACAAAGAGGTGAAAGAAATTGACTTTGGTTGGGTCATCTATACTTCGGCAACTTTGGAATAGGTAATAAACAAATTAGTCCCATTTTCCATTTTATTGCTTTTACATTTATTGCAACATTTAGCAGTCGTTTAATTATGAAATTTAAAACTTCATGCATTACAAATTTTATTACCTGTAGTTTCCACTGATTTGATCGGAAATATTTCTAAACACTAGTTTATAGCCAGTTGGCATGTACAGATGCTTGAAGGTTGCGTTATTGGAAGCGTTTATCATTTCATCGTGGTCTCCAACTTGAAAGTCCTGGATAAAATTGTGCCAATTGTGTAACAATGAAGATTTTGTTGTATGGAAGTGTGTCCCAGAAATTAAATTAAACTACTTAAATCGTTATAAATAGTGACTTCACTTACACCTATACCGTTGTATTCAAACTCTACAGGACCAAGTCCTTGGTCATAGCACTCGATGATGACTTCTGTAATGAATTCAGACCTATTGGACACGGGAACTGACCACTCCCTTGCACCCCCCTCGCCCAGACAAACCTCGGTCTTTTCCTCCGTAACGTTCTTCACGGGACGAACTTCCTTCAGCAGACGCCTTCGTGCCATGCTGAAACTGCTGAAGATGACGTGATTTGAGGAAGGATCCTCCAAAGGGACGGTCGTAGTCACGGAGGTGACCTTAATTACAGGAATGTCATTTCTGCTCGTGCACTGCGTCCTTTCCAGAGGAAACCTTTTCTCATCCGCTCTAATTAAAGGGGTCACACCACTGCAGACTAACAATATGAGGGCGGAAATTATGACTCTGAGAATTTCCTTAAACTTGAACATGCTGGTTTAATGATACAAAAAATAAAAAATTGCAAAGTTCAAGGATGATTTATGTTTTCGTGTAGGTTTCTTGGTCAAAGTGTTTCACGACGAAGAGGTTGTCATCATCTTCTCTACAACAAAACAAGAACTGAGTCTGAGATAGACACCCATTTAAAGCTTTTGTGTTGCCCATTAACGGCAGTGAAACCCTACTGGATTCACTTTTGTTTATTTATAAACGCATAAGTGAAACCTGGTTATTGCCTTCGACAAGTGCTAATTGCTATCTGTTTCTTTTTATACTTTCTCGACCTGTAATTGACTGTAATAATTCAATCATGGTGATCTCTAAGCATAATATATGACATTACTGTTTAGTTTAGGTTTGCCCATATACATGTAACCAAATCTTAAAAAAACGCATCCCCTTTGTGGTACAAGTTTGCTGCACCGACATTTTTATTGTCATCATCCCACATCGACCAAGAGTTTTGTTTTACTACTCCGTTCGTGATTACATATGTAGATTCGCGTTGACAATGACTTGACAAGCAGTTTTAAATGTCTGTTCCAAATTCTGACTTTGCTTAGTTAGGTGGGATTGTTTGTTCCGGCTGAAGGAAGGCAGAGTCATCAAAACAGTCATTATTATTGTAGTCCCTTCTGCATAAATATGTATGCATTGAACATCGCAACGGTCTGATCTCCCTCTTCGTGACCGCCAATTGCCGATGGGGTCACATTCAAAATTGACAGGTTAGTATGAAATCACGTTTAAGGTTACTTGCTCAGCTAATGGTGCAAAAGCCATAAAGTAAATCGTAAACGAAAGTAAATACGCGTATTTGCATATGCGGTCTTCAGTAATTAGCATCTTCACTCACTCTTTGTGCGAAAGTCAAAGTTCTCTCTTGCCTTTTGAGAAACACATAAATAGACAAAGGGACTCACATTATGCAGATGAATGAAGATAATAACTCCTTCCTTGCTGACTAGTTAATGTATACACCAGATCTATTATGCTTTATTTTATTTACTACTCCTTGTCTGCATGAACTATATTATAATCCGCGTCACTGCATGCACTTGCGGTTTCATTTATTTTGTAGGTTATGAAAAGGATGGGATACAATTTTAAAATGAATAGATGCCTTGTTATTGTATGTAGGTATGTGAATACAGAATTTTGTGTACATATTTCGTCCATCTACTGATTTTTATTTACGCTGTTTTACATTGTTGATATTACTTGAATCGTTGAAATATTATTTTGCACATGCTTCCGTTTTCATATTTACAAACATAATTACATAATTACGAAGCTTAATCACATGAATAATAAAGCCATCCATTACATATGTCAATTAGTTGGATCTTTGAGTTGGGTTGAGGGTCCAATCTGGTCAAACGAAAGAAATAATGTGAGGCAAATCAATTAATAACTACAATATCTAATCACAAAACTAGAATTTTACCTTCATTCATACTCACTGAGGAAAAGCCAGGAAGAAGACAATGCATACGTTTGGTGCATTCCACGTGATAAAACAGTCCTGTAACGTAAATATTTACATAGTCCTTCGATTCAATTAAGTACCAGAATTAATAAATCTCAATACATATTTCTTATTGCACGTATTTGCATACCCTTCAAGTACGGTGTCGGAGTACACTCGAGTTCACTCGAAACCATCAGTATTTGGCAGGGATCGTAAATTCCAGACAATTTGAGACCATACAAGCCCAAAAGTATCAAAGTCGAGAGGGCAGCGAGGATGAAAACAATTCGCAAAGTGCTAATACAAAATCACACGATACATTAATGAGGAGAACTCGATAATTAAAAAGTACTTCTTTATGGGAACTGTGGTACAAGTATCCGATCAGGGTGAGAAATCCTGGACCACGTCGGGGATGGCTTGGAATTTCTGTTTCGTCCCGAGTCACAGCATCGCCTTGTCCAGGGGGCGAGGGAGGTGAGGAGGTGGTCGTGGTGGGTACGTCTTCCCCCTGTGGACCCGGTGTCGGCGCTGCAGACTCCTTCGAAGGAAAGGTCGTGTCGTCCTTGTGGGCACCTGCCTCGTCCCCTTGGAAGGTCTCTGTCAGGTGGCTACGACTCAGCAGCTTGTCCAGTGCTGACCTCTCCATTTTCTTGGCCATGTCGGGCCTGGTTCTCTACGAATCGGGGATGACAAATGAGATAGATGACCTTTGAAAGACGTCGACGACTACTTGATATCTGAAGTTGAAGCAATATAATTTTGCAAAAAGGGTCAAGGATCATTTTGTTGTAATTTTTCTGCAAAAGACGTTGTTATGATGATGTGATAAATCAAAATCAGAACTATTAGAAGCAGTGTTTACTTTTGATTTTCAAATGGCGATTTTCAAGAGTGATGCACCATACTTTTTAATGCTTCAGTGTAGTGAAAGTTTACGCATGTAATGTACCGACGAGATTATATATTCTATTCAAAATAACGTGACTTATTTGTCTCGAAATGGATCAAATCGTAGCTTTACTCATCCTTATTTCTCTCAGCCTTGGTCTTGTCAAGTCTCGTGAAGTGAGTTTTCATTTTCACTTGTATTATTTGAATCGCAAAAAGTCTATCAATTAACCTTTGCAGGATTATTTTAAGTCGTGTGGAATCACTGGAACATGCTTAGGTATTTATAAATTTGTCTCACCTCAATCTGTCTCTTGAAGAGACAAACTGAGGCGAAATGAGACAGGTAATATGTGTAAAATATTGGTAATATTTTTGCAATGGTAAAACTTGTATGTTAACTAAATCGTGAAACGATATTCCCAAAATAACAATTTGATTTTCATTTTGTGAAATAGGAATTCCGAATGATGGAAGTAAGTTTGTATTTAGCAAATTATTCTTATATACATACGCACTACGCTGATTCAATTTTGGAATATGAGTATAGCCCCAAGGCCAGAAATGCTTCAATGTGTCAAGGAGGATTGTGCTGCGTCTGTGGTGTTGATCCCATCCTTAAAAAATCAACCTGACCAACCGATCCAGTTTCATATGCAGTTTAACACTAATCAATTGGGCTATGCAGCAGTAGGCATCACAAGCGGAGAAAAAATGGTACGCACATTTTTTGTTGGTTATCAAACAAACTTGATTATTTCTCATGTACTTAAATTAATTAAGCTGCCTTCCGTTAATTAAAAAGGACAAAATGGTGATATTGGAGTGTGTAAAAGAGCCTGGCAGTGGTACTATACGGTCATATTTATCGTGGAACGAGGCAACCAAAACGTCTGGTATAACACACAAAAGCATACTATATACATATTTCACATATACTTTCATGACACATGCAAGTAAGTCGGAAAAAATAGAAAAACTAATTCTTAACATGAATAGGTATGATGAAAAATATTTTCACAGGCGCAAAAAATACATCAAGCGTATACCGTTTTATTAGTCACTTCGTATCCAATACAATTATTACGACAAACGATTTCGTCGATATGGAACTTGAATAGTGAGGGTTGAAGAAAGTCGTAAACGTTATGAGTGAGTGTGAATTTAATGCAACATTCTGCATGGCATTAGCAGGTTTCCAATTAACAATGCTGACATCAACGCTGTCTGGAATATCAATATTGTATTTATGATAGTCACTTACCGACATGAGTCCGTCCAATCGTGCTCATCGTCATGTAGGATCCACGAATTCGTCACGAAAATAAATTTTAAAAGTTGCGTAAATAGACCTTGTTTACCAGCTGAGGATGAGTGATGGACTACGATAGGTTCAGTCAAGCAATTGATACAACCAACACGTTTTCTTATCAGTCCACCTTTTCACAAGAAGCCACGCCACCACCTTGGCGTAAAGCTTACTTCGTTTGGTGCAATTACAAAGCATATTGAAATTTTGAATGAATTTTGAATGATGTTAAATTTTTTGCTTTAGTTGGCTTTTTTATTATCCCAATCTTTATTTTGTCCACAACCACAGTGCAAGAAATTGCTCCGGTTAGAGTTTATTCAAATGCAAATTCAACTCTCGATACAACGCAGCCCACTCCCTCACACGGAACTGAGCCGCCATCCCTGCCCCCAACGCCAGCCAACATTACTCCCCCAGAGTCTGAATCCGGAGTTGCCTACTGCGACTTTTATCTCCCACAAAAGTTAACCATCAAGTTACCATCGCAGTCCTTTACTGTTGACTTAGTAAGCACAGCATATGCGGTTAGTGTTGCAATAGGAAATGTGGCAGATGGACCCGACAGTTGTGCTGGTGTAAAACCAGACGGAAATTATCCAGGTAAGTACTTATGTATTGCATATTGGATACATAGTATTAGTGACAATTCTGTGAGATATATAATATAATTCATCTATGCTTCCAGGAACCTTAATATGCCATCACAAGGCGGTTAAGGCATCTACCAAATTTCTTCTTATGGAAGTCCAAAATAAAATCGCGTCGAAGTAATGAGAGAGTTCAATATATGTGCGTAAATTCAGAAAGACTTCATTACAAGAGGCTCTTTTTATTACTTTTGCAGGAGCTTTTTGCTGCAACACCTGCATGCTTTCTTCATGGTCCTTTCCTATTTCACCTTGATGCCGATTGCAACAAGTTAGCCTATTTACGCACAAGCTTTATTTTTGGGATCATAAAAGTTGACTAATTTATCTTTTTATGTCAAACTTTAGTCGTTGCAAGATTTTTCAGAGAAACCTGGTCGACCAGACAAGTTTTTAATAAACGTCTGTGGTTTTCCGTAAGTTTTTCCAAATCATTGCAACATTGTAAATATGTTATTTAGTAGTCATAATTATTACAATTAATGTGACAGATTCACGCTGGACTGTTGTATGGGGCAATGTTTTTCACAATTCTGGGATACGCTTGCATGGCAATTGCTACGGGAGAGATGTGGCCTGGTGAAAGTGGAGAGCAAACTCATGCATTCCTAGGGATGACTTCGATCGGTTTGTTGTCAACCCAAGCCATCCTGCCATGGATAGTCCACATACCAGGAAAACACTTAAATGTGAAGAAAGTGTACTCAATCATTCACGCCGTCGTTGGCTCCGTTTGCTACATGCTGGGACGTAAGTCTTAATTATTACTTTTACATACTGAACTAAAACTGTGGCGTGCATTGTTTAACTGTTGTCTCTTGAATATATTCCCACTAGTCTTAAATATTGCCCTCGCCCCATATTTAATGCCAGATAACGTGGATTGTAGCGTAATTTTGATTACATTCGTCTGGATTGGGTGTCACTTTTGCATTTACTGGTTGCTCTCTACTCTCCTCATAATCAAAGATCATCAAATGCCGAATAACAGCACAAGATTTCGGGCCTTGTTTTCTTATCCAATGCGACTAAAGACAATGGATGATGCTCCGGTAAAACCTACCAAATTATCTGTTAAAATGTCACCATTGTTCCAATAGTATATGTCGCTGCATTATTTTCCAGGGGAAGACAAAAAGAGAAGTATTTCTCGGAATACTCGTTGTTCTAAGTTTGGTTCTAACTATGGCCATGGGCTTCATAGTGCTCCGGGATGGGGGACATTGCAATCGTTATAATCCAAATAATAATGACACCAACCATTGACGTCCACTATCCACATAAGATTTTAACCTAAATAATAAATGTGAGGTAACAAAATATTCTATGTATTTGTCAACAAATATATATTTATTCATTTCATGGGAAACTATTAAATTACATTAACCTTTCGTTTCAATGACTATTGGCACTAATTCTCATCCATTAAATATGTATATGTAATTAGCATAAGTTATGGCTACATGACCGCTATCCGCTGTACAGTAATGTCCATGCGTGTAACGAAATGACATGGAATCAAACATCTAGTCCCAGTCATCAAATCAATACAACAATTGCGTCGGGTTGCGATTTTTGACGCCATAGCTGACGTACAAAGTTACTTCAGCAGAAACGTGGAACCAGTCTAGAAAAGGTGAAAAATGTCATTGTTTTATTGCATGTGTATACTTAAATACAATATCGGCAATTGTGTAGATTATTAGCATATTTACCTTTTTTAATCCAAAATTTCCGTTAGACTGTTTTATCACATTAAATATTTCTGATCTGGGATCACTGCCACTTGGACTGCTAGGAGTGGATGACTTGTTGCTTGACGGCGATGAAAAAATTTCAGATTTTGGCCGATTACTGAATGAAATATGTTGGGGCCTGGTGATTGTGTCCGAACTGGGCGGCGGAGGTGGAGGTGGCGGTGGACCACCTCCGTTCGTTGGAATTGAAGATTTTCGCTCAACAATTGAAACAGAAGTAGTATCACCCTGACTTTCTTTGCCCAAATTACTCTGCCGCCTTTCGTTAAAGGGGATTTTATTTCCGAATGTCGATGTCGCCTCGCCGTTTAAGGTAATTGTTGTAGTTGTCGTGATTGAGTTGTTTCGTTTCACATTGTTGTTACCTTCCCCGAAGGCAACAGGTTTCTTCTGACCAGCCCCACCACCACTGATGCTCAGACTGTTTTGCAGTTTAAACACATTATTGCTAACAGATCCAGCACTAGGTTTGCTAGCATCCGTATTAATAACTGGTTCTGCCTGAGCTTCTACGATTATTATTGACTTATTTCCAACATTTTTAATATTATGTGGAGCAGACTTCTTAATTTCGTTTGTGATGCGAGTAGAATTCTCGACCACTCCTTCAGAAGCAGCAGCAGAAGAGGAGGGTGTATTGCGACCTGAGCTGGTTCTTGACAATGTTGAGCTTGTCGATGAAATTGGAGACGGAGATCGTCTGAAAGCATCGAACGATGGTTTTGAAGATTTTCCCAAAACTCTTTGAACCATTTCTGCAGATGACATCATTTGAAACTGTCTGGGCGTTGTTGCCTGGCCAAATGGAACTGCTGAAGCAGCAGCAGCATTATCAGGGGGAGGACTCTTAATAATTTTGGGTGCAGGTTCGACAACAACGGTTACAGGCTTCGTGGGTATGGAAGCCAGATTTCTTTGAAGCGTGGGAGTTGGAGATGGGGATGGGCTATTAGAATCTGGTCTTTGTTGACGTTGCTCGAATACTTTTTGAATAGTCGCAATGCTGGTTTTCAAATTCACTGCTGGAAGTGGTACTTCTTTACTTGGACTTTCAACTGGGGAAATTCCTTGAAAGTACCTTTTGCGTTCTTTAAAAGATGGACCCCCATCGTTTTCAACTGGGAATGAAATGTCGAGTGATATTTGTGATTTACGTAGGACAACATTTTCTTTTGAATTTGAAGATGGTGTTTGGACTGGGGGTTCAATTTCTTTCACTTGAACTTGAGACAATAATTTTGGTTTTGACTCCATGGACGAGATTTTGAACATTGGTTTGCTAGGTTTACCCAAATCTACAGTGTCATGGGTTTTCAGTGATGGTGCAGGTTCTTGGTTAGTCGCAGGTTTCTTAAGAGGAGGTGGCTCTCTAGAGATAATTACAGGTCGTTCACTTTCTGGCATCTTCCTTTGAAAGTCAAACTTTTCTTTGGAGGCCTCTATATTTACGTTAGCTCCCACATCCACAATTTGCAATTTTGGCATTTTAACTGAATCATTGCTGGAGGACTCTTCATGTAAACTGATAAATTTTTGATTATGAGTTCTCGTGAACGTGTTTGGACTCTCGTTTTCATAAATATCAATTTCTGGAGGATGTCCCTGAGAGACATTCTTTTTCTTTTGGTCTTCACTGCTTTCAACTCGTTGCTTCCAAGTGGAAAGGACACTTTTTATGGTGCTCACTGAGTCAACTGAATCTACTGAAGAGATTGGACGAGCATTCAGTGTAGCAGAAATTCCTTTAATATTATTATTGTTGTTGGGTGAAGGAGTGTCTGGTTTTGAAGAAGGAGCAACGGTTTCAACCACTGATCGGAAAGTGGGTGAAATAACTTGAGGTGCAGGTTTAGGTGACGAGGTCGTGCTCTGATTGAAAGATTGGTTAAAAAATGGCTTTTGGGGGGCTTTTCCTGCAGATCTGGATTCAACTGTTGGAGTTACTTTAGGATTGGCTTGACCAAATCCCATAATATAGTCCTCGTCTTTCTTCACGGAAACGGTTGTTCGTGGTCGTTCAGTCCATGAACCCATGTTTATGGTTGGGGGGCCCGTATATTTTTGAATCGGTTTGTTGTCTCTTACTTGCTCAGAGCTTCTAATTGATCGAGTACTGAAATCAATAGGAATAATAAGTTTACTACATAAACCCCACGAAAGAAAATCAATCCTTTAAGTCTAAAAGTCTAACCCTTCCAAGTTATTGTGATAAGTCGTCGTCTCTTCTGAATAATAAGTCACAGTCGATGATGGCTGGTGAGAATATTCGTCACGATGTAAAGGTTCACTGCTGGGAACTGGGTTTTCATCTGAGCCATCGTCGGAAGAATAGGAATCCCGTTTCGAACTATCCATTGCACCCGAAGATTCGACGATTAATTTATTTTCTTGTTCCTTTTCCCGTTCGACCTGTAATTTGAGGTAACACTAATTTACTCGGGAGAACTATTAGTAAGTGGTGTGCGTATACGTATGAGGCATTGATCAAATATGTCAGGATGTGTCATGTGCAAAAAATGCACACTCAAGGTAGAAATAATTGCATTTGTATGCATTGTCCTACTGATATGTTTCTCAATATCACTAAATTGTGTACGTAAATCACGAGATACGGGAGAAAGATATCGGGCACATCATCGCCCGCATCAATACGCGGATATTGAATATAATATACACATTCAATTCAAGTACTCATTGCTCACATTATCCGAACACAAAATTCTTATCTCAAGCAATAAAATCCGAATAAAATAAAAATCACCTGGGACCCGCGGCAGCTGTGCCCCAAATATCGATTCTTGATAAGATAAACACAATAAAAACTAATCGGCAAGTTACCTCAATTTAAACTAGGCTGATATGTTTTGTGCTAGTCTTTAGATGGCATCATTCATATTGCTACCATAATAATGTATTATGCTTATCACTAGCATATTTGATGTGCATTTTATGTATGAAAATTTTGCATATTTAATTGCAGCATTAAAAATAACTCACAATTGAGCTTACTTGAGACTTTGAATCGTTGGTAGTAGTTCCTGGCTCAACTTGGTTTTTAATGAAATCCAGTTTCCATTGTTCAAACTGTTCTTCGAGTTGAGATTGAATTGCTTTCATCAATTCAGGATCGTTTTGTGATGACGACTCTGACTTTTGGATTTCATTAAGACTCGTGGTCTTGTGAAGAGAGCTGCTTTCTGCTTTGATTTCATGCTTTTCCTGCTGCTTGACGCCCCCACTGGAAAAGTACATTGGATTTCTTGCTACCTCAGTAGTCTCACTTTTTATATTTTTATTGACTTGAGTTTCTGTGGAACGTGTCAGGTCTTCTTCTGAGCTCGAATGACGAGATGACGACAAATTTGAGCTTAAACTCTGAACTTTTTCATATCTGTCCCCAACTGCAAACTGCTTTCTCTTCATTTGAATAAACTCGAATTCGGAAAATGATTCAGATTTTGAAAGTTTTCTTGAAGAAGCAGATTCGGAGGAGCTATGTCTCTGCGTAGACTCTTTTGTAAGATTTTGGTCATCGTCGGTGCTTGAACGTTCAGTTCTGTTTTGATAATTATTCAATTCATCCGAATCGAGCTTAATTTTGTCCTTAGTTTCTACATTATTTAAGCTCTGAGGTAGCATTGATTGAAAAGTTTTTTCCCGTGCCTGAAAATAAATAGTTTGGTGGTTTAACAAGAGCGAAAATTAAATACGTAAGTATTTAAACTCTGTACTATCAGCAGTATTATTATTATGTTTACCTCATGACTATTTTCAGCCTTCTTCTTGAGTACGTCCCTCCATTGGTCACCCTCATCCGATCGAAATGAGGATCTGTTGGACGATCCTCTAGACTCTGACGTCTAAAATACACATTACGAAATTATTGTAACTCTTTAGCTGAAAGCTTCAACTCCTGAAAAAATAATTTGTACTTTTTACAAACAAACCTTTTCTTTTGTTGGACTATCTGGATCGTCGTCATCATGGTCAGAAATTCTTGCATCAAAATCCATTGGGGATGGAGTAATGGTTGTCGGAATACCGGAGTCAGTATATGAAACTTCACTTTCAGATGAAGTGTGTCCGGCATCATCTACATCATCCGTTTGGTCAACTACATCACGAAAAACACGTTGTTGAAAAATGACATTTGTTATGTCAAGCTAATTTACATATATTACGATTTTTGACGAACACTACAAATATGCACTGCTATACATACAATGTTTGTACAATTGGGACATAGAATTTTGAAAAGTACATAGAATTACGGGTTAGATTCTTGATTAACACATTTTACTATGCATTTTCAGTCTTCGAGAGGCGAGAGCTACATAGAGCCAAGTACAAAGTCGCCTTTCAACAAACCATGCAGCAAGAAGCACAATTAGTAAAGAATGTAAATTTTAGAAGCCATACATTGTAGATAGCACAGCTAAATAATGAAGATAAGCAAAGTAAGTCTCAAGAGATGCCAAAAATATTGACCTGAATTAAGTTTCCCTTCATGAAAGTCACGATCCGATGAAGAAAGTTTTGCATGTGACCGTTTAGCAAACTGTGCGGAAGTGTTACGAGCAACCTCACCCTTCACCGTTGGTAAATTGTTAGTATTTTTGTGATTAGAAGCATCAGAAGGATCAGTGCTGCTCTCATTAAGTGATTCCAAATTCTGCCATCGGTTCAACATTTTCCCATCTTCAGCCAGAGAAATATTATTTGAATGAGAGTTATCTTTGCTTGTGTTGGCGAGACGATCCGAATTTGTTCTAACTAACCCCATCGCATCGACCTGCAATTTTTCCTTGTCGCCAGATTTTCGCTTAAACTCCTGGAAATCTGACACACTCGAAGAAAGTACTCTGGAGCTGTCTTTTGGCCCGGTTGTTGATATGGTGTCATTACTAGCAACGGATGATTGAAGTTTTAATGTGGTTGACGACTGAGGATGTGGAGCAGAGGGTGTTTTCACCGTTTGTAAGTTGTTAGGTTGGCCAGTGCCACTAGAAAGTGACGACGTGGGGCTGTCCCAAGAAATTAAATTGTGCTTGCTGGGTTTTGAAATAACAGGCTCAAAAAGTTCAAGATTTTCTTCCAAATTATCTGAATCTTCGTCTTGAGATTTTTGTCGTTTGGGAATAGCCTTGTAAGGTTTCGATTCATCTTTTACTATTTTAGTGGACTCTGACGGGGAAGAACTGTCCGAGTCTCGTTTCCGAAGTTGGAAAGCAGAATTTTTTGAAGATGGTGGGAGAGGAGGCTTAATTGTGGTGCTGGAATTTGTTGGTGGGGGTGGCGCCGATGTTTTTTTATTGCGTGATGCTACACTTCCACCACTGCCACCTTCCTTGGAATGAGAGCTGGGCTCATATTTACTTTCACTTCTATCCTCATTATCTGAGAAAGTTGTTGAAGCTGCTTTCGCAAGACGGTCTGCTCGTTCCTTGAGAACTTGGTCAGGCAGAACTTTGACGCCATATCTGGACAAGGGGTTTCTAAGCTGATTTGCATGTACTGGTTGTGCTTGAGGTGGCAGATTTCCTGATTCCTCTTCATCATTGTCAGAAGAAGTCAAGGATGGCTTGCTGACAAGATCCGGTAACAATATGGCTGGACTGTCACTGCTTTTACGATCTAGTCTTGGCTTTGGTCGTGGTTTTGGCTGGGGTTGTTCTGTGATTCCCTCCTGTAGTGGAACTTCCCTTGTTTTCCGAGGTGGAGGTAATGGTGCAGGGACTAGTGCAATTTACAAGCAGAAGCAATTGTATAATAAATAAGTTAAGAACAGGATAAGGTGAAGGAAATGGGCAGTCGAGAACGAATAATTAAAAGGTGAAATGGTTAGTGTTAAGTAAAAATGGATAGAATTCTGTTTCCTCAGATCTTTTCTACAACAAAGGGGTGAATATGTATGTACATTTTTATCCTCCCAAATAACAGAACCTTATGAAAATACGAAACTGGAGTAATGGGACAAGGTTGAAAAAAGAGAATTCGGTAGCTCATTAATTGAGACGTATTTTCAATGTGTGTTTGTAAATGCGGATAGTTATACAGTTACCTATAGGTAATAACAGAGCTACATACTAGCTAAAGAGGAAGAGAGAAGTGGCATTTGAAATAGTACAATACTTTATGTACCACTAATAAATATCTCAAAGTACTACACCCCACAAACTACGGCTTTCTTCAAGAAATTCCTCCATTTTATACAAACTCGGTTCTGTTCTGTAAAATAGGTTCTAAGTTATGAAGGAATTTTGATGCCATTGCTCAAATTCGAGTCTCCCTTTAATTTAGTAATTATTGTTATGAACTATGCTTCTACTTCCGGTCCTCGCCACCAATCACTGCCAACCTTACCTTGAGAACTACCAGTAGGCGTGTGGTCGGAAGACTGCATGCTATCAACAACAGGTTCACTTGAACTGGAGCAAAAATTACTACCCTGAAGGATAGTTGGGCTACTGTTGGGATTTAGGTCGGTAGCAGGGCCAGGAGTCTCAGTGTTTGGTGGTAATGGGGAAGTGGAAGAACTTGACAAGTAAGACCCCGGACTGCTAAGACTTGATGCAGGGGTAGAAAAACTGTACTGATCTTCCTCTTTACAAGTGTTTACTGAAATTGGGGTACTCGCATGCACGTCAGCAGTGATAGAACTTTTGTGTACATCCACTTTCACTTCTACACTGTTTTGCGGTTGTCCAGTCTTCTTATCAGATTTGTTGGCTGTCGCTGGAACACCAACTGGACCACTCAGGGAAGATGACTCAGAGTAGTCTTCCTCATCAATCTCAGACTGTGGTTTTAGTGGGGGGAGGGCTGTTGGGGGCGTCGGGGCTTTGCGTTTCTTCGATCCACCTCCAGATGAGGATGCCAAAGATGTGTTTGATGTGCTGGAAGTCGTTGTCAGGTTTGAAGCACTCTTTGCTATCGTTTGCCTCGATAGCATTGCTGGTGATGAACTTTGTCTGCATCAAAATAATCAGCAAGGGTAGTACAAACCAATTATAGTAATCGAGACAATTATTAAATGTGTGGGTTGACAACTATACAAATTTAATGCTCAAGAATGACGACGTGCTTAAAATGAGACAGCCACGTAATGTGGTTAAGGTCATTAAGAGCCATACATATGTGTTTATGCTTATCCTTAGCATAAGCATAACCACGGCATATGCTCAAATGTATGTGCATAGTCGGAACCGTATGTTTTGCACCAAAAGGGGAATTAATATAGGATGACTGGCATGCTTATCGCTGGTTGGAACATTTGGTTCTGTGACACAATACATATTGTGGGATTTATCGGAACAATGAGTTTTTTTCTACGCAATAAATATGAGATATACATATTTATATGAATTGGAGTGAAGGTTGAGATAAGCATTTTATCTCTCTCCCTCTCGGGAAGCAAATTCTTTCTGAATTCCAATCCTGTTCAAAATAGTTTGTTACAACATATGTGCTCAAAATATTTATGGGAAAAGTGTTCCAGAGAATGTGTGTTTTCGTAGTTATCTTGGATTAAACTTAAAGCTCCTCACCTGTCATATCGATGGAGTTCATTTTGTGTCAGACCGAACACACCGCCTTCGTTGTACCCACCACTGCTACCAGAACTATGTCGCGAATGATTAGATTCATGATGATGATGAGCTGACTGATTCAACTGAGTGGCAGATGATGTCAGGGACGATTTTAACATTAGAGCTGGAGCTCTTGGTGCCTCCTTCTTTTTTGGAGTCACCCTGGTTCCTAAATGTTTTTCGTCTATTGCACTTGCTGTGGGCATTGATGACATTGTTAGGGATTTAAGAAGCGGGGGTGGGAGGGGAGCAGCTCGTTTTTTATTCCGCGGAGGTGGGTGGATCCCACTCGATGCCGGAGACGTTGAAGCTGCTGGAGAAAACATGTTGGACATTGACATTGACTTGTGGACTACTGCTGGGACAGGACGATTGACATCTGAGGAAGAGCCAGAATTTGGTCGATGACTAAGTTTTCCTGGAGAGTGCATAGAGAAAGGTGACGCAGATCTAGAGTCGTCCGATCGGGTTGGAGAAAGTCCTCGAGCGCTTCCTGTACTTCCACTACTGACGCTGCTGTCCCCAACACTCTGTGTCGAACACAATAAAATTACATATCGAATATCAGTTATATTTCTTCTCGTCTAAAAGTAAGTTCTGGTGGCTATATTTTCATGCGCCCAACTGATCCCACTTGTGTCATACTAATGATGGCTATACTTTACGGAGCATCCAAGGACATCAACCAATAGTGCAATTAAATATTTGGCTATTATGTGCATAAATATTTCTGAAATCGTCGCATATTTGTGCGATTTTATGATATGCACATCAAAACCAATTCAATTATTTTATTGCACGACATAATACTGAAGTGTTGTACACCTGCTTCTCTCTTTTAATGTTTTCAGTGTCACATAAAAATTGAGCATGCATGGAAATGTCAGTAAAATTTTACATGTCATGAAAATGAGTTGGACGACCAATTACAGTTTTAAAGGTTTTCAGCATGGTAATATAAATTAAAGTGAGAGATAATGGAAGATGACATGACATAACCTTGAATAACAAAATTGTACAAATTCTACCGGAACTTGGTAGTGTACACCACCATGTCATGTCGTAATAAATTTAAACTTTGCCAATTAACAAGTAAGTAGCTTACCGATCTGCTATGTTTGAAGGAAGAATCCAAGTAGCCTTTCCCTCTTCCTACGTTATCAGTCTGTTGCAGTGCAATAATGTCAGCAGTAGAAACGGAATTGCTGATTTTTGTATTTTTAGAGACAACTGTTATCTCGTGAAGACCAAACTCCCCCAAAGTTCCATTAAGTGGGAGTCTTTCATCCAGATTCCCTAGAAAATCGTAACACAATGGCGTCAGGATGATTATAATTTCCATAATTAGTTTAACAGCAATTATTCAAACGATGCATATAATTGCCCTAAAGAAAACTCACCTGGATGACGGATCTCATATTTCAGAATATCCAGGTTCTTTTCTTGGCACACTTCTTTTAGGATCTAGAACGCGTCAAACATTGATACATTAAACCTCGGCATGACCACAATGAATGAATTTAGTTAAAATATTTACTTACATCTTCTAGCACGGTTTTCATGCTAACTCTCATAACATACAATTGATTCCGCGGAAGGTGTACCTATGTTCAAGAAGAACTATTTGTTAAGAAGTTACACAATTTCAAAACCACGTTATGAGCCAGCTTATTCTATTTGCTTGTCAGAAAAGCAATATTTGTCAAAGTCACTAAAAAATTCAACACGTACTTGCAATCTGAAAGTGTGTTCGAATGGTTGATTTGCGACCCTTGAAGGCTTCTTCACAACAATGTAATCGTTGACTTTGTTTTTTGGCACAATTTCAATCGTCGTTGTATCTAAAGCACCTGGAACACAAATTACATGATATTTATTTGCACCCTTGTTTTTTAGGTGAAACATAACGTAAAATTATTTTTAATAGTTTACCTATTGGAGTGCTTGGTTTGTATGGAAGTTCAAATCCCCGTTGATTTCGTACTTGCGCAATATGGTCTCCAGGGTTCAATTTATTGTGGGTTCCCACGTTGATGAGAATATCCAACATTGGCGTTCTGTAGGGAATAATTAGTGTGAAGACCTTCAAACCACTCATACATTAATAAGTAGTTGTTTTTATCGTGCAAGAAATCGCACCTTCGATCCACGGTCATTCGAACGGTGGACGTTGAGGGAAGAACCACCAACAGCTCCATCGTCCCTTCCAAAAGGTCCGCTGGTGTGTCCTCAGTCACGTCTCGGACCGATGGGTGGATTGTGGGTGCGCCGGAGGAGGCTGTTGTCGAAGGTGGGGGCGCCATGATGCTGCTACGACTTTTCCGTCTGAAATTCCGACAAAGTCATTTAGAGGAATGGATTACTACTTTTCAAGTATTATGCATATATAAATATATATAACGCCCTCGGATTATCAGACAGACTAACATGGAATGGAAACTCTAGGAAATTATGCAATTTTATGTTAGAGCTGTTAAAAGAAAACCTAAATGATGTGTGCGTACTGTAACCCCTGCTTGCTTCTGTTATTCATACTTACTAAATATACTTTGGCAATAAGTTTACAGTAGTAATAGCACATAATCTTGTATTGAAAAAATAAGTGCGTTGGGAATGATCCTTCAATAATGAACCTTCATTTATGTATACTTACTAATATATGTATCTACCACGTGCCGAAAGTGACTTGAAAATTATCACAATAAATCTTAAAATTAATTATAGATTATATTGATTGAAATACTTCGACTAATCCAAGTGCAAAGCAGTCAAATTTGATATGATTTGCTACTCGATAAAAATTATGGTAGAGGAGGAGGCATGTATCTAATCTCTGCAAATTTCGAGTACGAAGTATTACTGCTCGTTCATAAGTATGGCGACATCGACATTCGATTTTAGCTTTGGCAAGGCTAGGTTCGCAGCAGGATGCATTAATATTAATAATAATAAATTATGACAATGGCTTAATGACTAATGGGTTTGGTAGTACTGACATAGAATTGGCAAATTAATTCGGAATTGCTGAGAGTTGAGCTGATCCACCTGTCTGCTTAGGATTAGTGCTTACCACGTTTGACATATGCACAGATAATAAGTAATGCCCTCACTTTATATTAATTGTAATTTGTGTGCCCCAATTGTTGATTGTCATCCCATTCAACAAGTTACATTTTCTGGTTACAAAATAACCTACAGAACTAGAGGCTAACAATTTGCTGGTAACTCATATATCAATTCAGCCCACTGTCGCTGTATGAAGTCTCCATCGAAGCGTCTGCAATGCTACTACGTATGTACAAAATTATCAGTGCGGTAGAAATATACGCAGAACATCACTTTCCCAAAGATCACTATTATATGCATAATAATGCACTGATGGGTTTTTCAATAGCAATCATTGTACCGATGTGAAAAACAGATCCAATCCATATTTTTCAATGGTCATTAACGGATCGTTTTATTCAGTGAAGGATTGGCTGTATTATTTCAATATCAGCGGGATTTCAGAAAAACTCTGTTAATGCATTGTCATGAAAGTTTGCCGTAATTGTTGGAAATTTCGCATGACACAAATAATGCAAATTTTTATTCTTGGCCCTAAATAAGCCGTCAATTATGCCAGCACATCACCTTTTCTCACGCATTTTACTACAATTGTTCCACGCATTAGCAAAGCAAGTTGTAAGAGCATCTTTGTAATAAAGAGAAGTATGCAGTTAAGAGGGGAACAGTGCTGAGATTTACACTTGAGCTACATCATATTGAAGTGGAGTGGAGATAATAACGACCAATAAATGTACATAATTCCATAATAATAATAGATTCGCCTCGCTCCTGTTGGTGAAAATACACGCATATAGTTAAAGTTTGGCACAACCAAAATTGACCTCGATTCAATCTGAACAATCCAATTTACGGACAATTCTCGATAAAATAAGAAATGAAAGCTGATCCATTTTGTCTACAAAATTGCATATCAGTGGCGTTATAGATTCGTTACCAAAAACTTATTCGATTGCGAGCCGAAGTGATTTAATCTTCCATCAGCATATTTGTAGTTGCAATCAGTTCAAATTAAACGGCCAAGACAAGTCTTTGGAAATACCGGTTACCAACTAACTAACTAGGTGCTTCTTCACACTAGAACAGATTAGACTTGTGAGTTGGCCTTGCTCAAATTTAAAAATTTCTTCTCACGATTCTCAAACTGTTTAACCTGTTCTTCAACAATCCATTTCTGTTCGACGAACTTCGATCAGCGATTCATTTCTCGAAATCTACAGTTCCGATCAGCCATAATTGCTAAGGAATTACTGAGCAGGAAGCGAATGCATGCATAATAAAGCTGTACGTATAACTTTAGTTTAGACTTCTTATTCGTAATTTTAAATATATTGAAAATTTCTAAAAATCGAAAACATTGATTCCAATTGTGGCAATCATGGTTTATAAAGTTGGATTTGGATGATTTCTACTTAACTGCACACTGCAGGATAATTCTACGACTCCTATAATCAAAATCATGTAGCTTTTCAGTCTCTCGTGAATTGTAATAAGTACGCATTGATTGCAGCCTAAACGCTTACTAATTTAAATGATGAGACGTAAGTAGACGTGTAAAATGAAAATGCAATGTCTATCACATAAAGTTTATGAACGGCAACAGATTTTGGTACTTACAGCAAATGGTACGTATTGCGGAGGTGATTCATTTTTACTATATTTATAAATATTGTTGTTTCACTGTCACTCAATCGGAACAACACCTTGTAGAAGGAAACTCATCGGAAATGCTTGATCTTTTGAGAATACACAGGAGGAAATAAACCCCAAAATTAGTTATTATAAACAAACAATGCTTATAAACCTAACCCACATAATTAATTATACGTTGCATTAACCTTAATCTTTAGAGATCAGAAAAAGATATAAAAATAAATAAAACTTGGTAAAAATAAGAAAAAGTCTGTACAATTTCTGAAAAACGAAGAAGAAGACTCACAAATCAAGAGTCACATACTTTGTTTAACATGCTACTCTACGTGCACTTCACTACAAACCACGAATTCGCGTAGTATTCATTCATTTCTCCTCGTGCATTACTAAACAACCAGCGTAAATATTGTAATTGATCTATAACTGGGTTTATTGCCACAGTTAAAATAGTTTTGGTTGCCATTTGCGGCACCAGCCATTGTGCTGCACTTCTCCCTCTCTCTTTCCTCACAAGATAAACTTAATGGACTTGACCTTCTACGGAGGAGGAGAGGATTGGGGACAGGCACTGGAGATGATAATGCTCTTGTCAGTTGGCATCATTTGAGTTTATGTTCACTACGAGATTTGGCACACATGGACGAGATCGTCGAAATTATTGTCACTTCACTATATTCACACGACCAAATTGCTTTGCATAATAACTCCGGTGGCAATAAAGGGACGACATTCGTATGTAAGCGTCCTCGGTTCAATGAATTGTTGTTAGCAGCAATTATATTAGGTACTTGGAGATTTATGACAAATTCTCAACTTGGTTTCTCTTGTGCTGTTAAAATTTTATTACTGTATTGCTTTTGGCACATGAATCTCAAGTCCGTAGATGTAAATTGGGAGGATTTATCATGATCTGTTGATTCAAACGGCAAAAATACATCGCGGAATGAACCACAAAACTTTGAACTCGAATGAAATAATTCAGGCAACCAATTTAGCAAATCCAGAAAGTTGGAATATTATGCACACAGTTGAACGACACGGCCTCCTGTGAAGGAACCACCAGGATTATTATAGCAGCACCAACTCTGTAGGTACAAAATAATTGTGCGTGCAAATTCTCTATTATACAGAACTGCAGTTATTCGTTACATGGAATGTACATCTCGTCTCTTTTGCGGGCGAGTCAACAGGAAGTAATACGTTTTTTGTCAAGTTTTTGGCATATTTAACTCTTGAAACGCATTGGAATAGGTATGTATCAGATCTGACTCTGACATTGACCTTATCGAGCTCACATCTTGCTTGGTGTGAGATGAGTCCACACCCTTCAATTCACTTTATACAAATAAATAACCTTCTGTTGTTACCTCATACATACCTCCCAAGCACGACGGTTATAAATAAAGCAGCCCCTGATTGATGGAGATTAAACGCAAGAACGGTCATCTACAATCTTTAACGATGTAAAGGATGTGATGTAAAATTCGTCAGGCTCAAGATCAAATGGTGATAAAATCATTGTATCCATTCGTAAAGAAAATTCAATTCTTCGAGAGTGCTGTGCGTTGCGTGCCACTACAAATGCATATGCATTTACACCATTGCATATATTACATAAATACTAGAGGAAGACACGACTCCCGTAAAACTCTGCGAATAATCAGACTGGATGGAGAGAAAATTTGTTTTGAGTTTGCCGTTTGTTGAATGAGTTGTCAGTTGGTTGTCACTCGGTTCTTTACATGTGCAAATAAATCGTTTCTCTGTTTCGGTGTTACAGATATCATCGGTATGACATGCTATTTAGACCAGTAACCTACACCGTTACGACATAATCATCAAAAAACTATCTACTCATCCATGTCAACATTTACTGTTACGCAATATAGTTCGAGTGTTGAGTCCAATATGCAATATAGTTCCGTCTTGACGTCTTGATGCTTTTTGACTCATCCTTTCAGAAGTTCCGTTTGTTTAATGCTCTAATTAAAATTTATATGTATGTTGTTCTGAGAACGTGCACACAACAGCTCTAGAAATTGCAATTTGAAGAATTACCACATATTTCTGCATGTAAAATGCAGCAATGATGGTTAATAAAGACAGAAAAAATTGTAAGTTGAGTTTCATGTCATCTCTATCAAATTTTTGATAATTTGTTCTTATGTAGATATGCATTTATGTTGTTGACTATGTTCCTTGAAACAAATCCATTGGAAAACAAATTATTGAAAATCTTTACCCACACAATATATAGAAATATTTACTAAAATATACATACATATGTACATGCACTAAACCAGAGGTATTGTTCTGATTAAAAGCGAGCTTATCTATTTATCCTTGCAAGTACATACATTTGTGAACACACGCATAATTACAGTTTGATAACCAAAAACTTAAAGTCCCACCAATTTCACCTCACAAATTTTACTTTAGAAGTTGTAGCCCCAAAATCGATTAGTCCTCAGAAGCAGAAGACGTCATATTGTTCTTGAGTACAAGAGAGGATTAAATAAATTGGTGTGACATTACGACTCTGAGTTGTCTCAAATTTTCGCATTACAATTTTATGAGTTTGGAATTATGACTTGTAAACTAAGCAG